GATCGTCAACAGGGTGATAAATATAGATATAATGAGCATCCAATGAAAAGTCAGAAAAATTCAGCATCATCTGTTGCTAACAAATAGCATATCATTGGGTTTAGTACAACAACACAAAACCGAACTTCACTAATACTTCTAAACGCACAAACTGTGCTGGGGGAGATTACTGGAGATCTGAGCTACAAAGTGGGCTATAGTATCAGCTGTTACTGCTCCCACTGGGCAGCTATTCCAGGTATCTACTACCCTTTCTATATCACTGTTACTGCTCCCACTGGAAGGTTATTCCAGGTATCTACTACCCTTTCTATATCACTGTTACCGCTCCCACTGGAAGATTATTCCATGTATCTACTACCCTTTCTATATCACTGTTACTGCTCCCACTGGAAGGCTATTCCATGTATCTACTACCCTTTCTATATCACTGTTACCGCTCCCACTGGAAGGCTATTCCATGTATCTACTACCCTTTCTATATCACTGTTACCGCTCCCACTGGAAGGCTATTCCAGGTATTTACTACCCTTTCTATATCGCTGTTACCGCTCCCACTGGAAGGCTATTCCAGGTATCTACTACCCTTTCTATATCACTGTTACTGCTCCCACTGGAAGGCTATTCCAGGTATCTACTACCCTTTCTATATCACTGTTACTGCTCCCACTGGAAGGCTATTCCAGGTATCTACTACCCTTTCTATATCACTGTTACTGCTCCCACTGGAAGGCTATTCCAGGTATCTACTACCCTTTCTATATCACTGTTACCGCTCCCACTGGAAGGCTATTCCAGGTATCTACTACCCTTTCTATATCACTGTTACTGCTCCCACTGGAAGGCTATTCCAGGTATCTACTACCCTTTCTATATCACTGTTACTGCTCCCACTGGAAGGCTATTCCAGGTATCTACTACCCTTTCTATATCACTGTTACTGCTCCCACTGGAAGGCTATTCCAGGTATCTACTACCCTTTCTATATCACTGTTACTGCTCCCACTGGAAGGCTATTCCAGGTATCTACTACCCTTTCTATATCACTGTTACTGCTCCCACTGGAAGGCTATTCCAGGTATCTACTACCTTTCTATATCACTGTTACTGTCCCACTGGAAGGCTATTCCAGGTATCTACTACCCTTTCTATATCACTGTTACTGCTCCCACTGGAAGGCTATTCCAGGTATCTACTACCCTTTCTATATCACTGTTACTGCTTCCACTGGAAGGCTATTCCAGGTATCTACTACCTTTCTATATCACTGTTACTGTTCCCACTGGAAGGCTATTCCAGGTATCTACTACCTTTCTATATCACTGTTACTGCTCCCACTGGAAGGCTATTCCAGGTATCTACTACCTTTCTATATCACTGTTACTGCTCCCACTGGAAGGCTATTCCAGGTATCTACTACCTTTCTATATCACTGTTACTGTTCCCACTGGAAGGCTATTCTCTATATCACTGTTACTGCTCCCACTGGAAGGCTATTCCAGGTATCTACTACCTTTCTATATCACTGTTACTGTTCCCACTGGAAGGCTATTCCTGATATCTACTACCCCTTCTATATCACTGTTACTGCTCCCACTGGAAGGCTATTCCAGGTATCTACTACCCTTTCTATATCACTGTTACTGCTCCCACTGGAAGGCTATTCCAGGTATCTACTACCCTTTCTATATCACTGTTACTGCTCCCACTGGAAGGCTATTCCAGGTATCTACTACCCTTTCTATATCACTGTTACTGCTCCCACTGGAAGGCTATTCCAGGTATCTACTTCCCTTTCTATATCACTGTTACCGTTCCCACTGGAAGTCTGACAAAGATGAATTGGGCCTCATATGGAGAGCGAATGCCTACCACCTAGGACCATGCTGTTCAGACAAACCTTTCAATAAATATATATAGTACTTATGGTGGCATCTCCCCAGTAGAAGTAATTCAGGGGTCCCCCCAGTCAGTCAGATGACTCATTGTTGGTTGGTTATGGAGTCGTTTTCTACTTTTTTAACCATAATTTCTTATTTTCTTTTCCTCTGCCACTTGATGAAACTTGAATTCCAATGAAGCCAACTTAATTATCCCCTTTCCGAACACCCATCTAGTAACTAATGATACATTGGGGGATTTTAACGTTTTTTAACTTTTTATTATTTATTGTAGTCACAGAAGATAAGATGACTTATAAAGGGAATTATTATTTAAGCCAACATTAGCCTAGTTTTGTAACGTGCTTTAAATGAAGCACAGTATATGCAGGGTATCCATTCTGAACGCTCCTCGTGGGCGGGGCCAGTCTGATATGCCAATGCAATAGGTTCCTTCTCCAATAACACAAGTAAGATGTGAGCGGGGGACTCATTGAAGGGTAACTGAGTTTTGGCATGCAATAATTTCCATACATTCAGAATTAAATCTCTTACCATTTCGAAGTGTGACATAATGTGTATAAGAGTAGATGGGTGAGTGAAACCAAATGTGCGAGTGTCAGAAACGCGGTATAAATAAATCATACGTATTGTACCATGCTAAGAGGGAACGACGAGACATCAACGGCCGTTCATTGGATTTACCCAAATTACAATCCATCACATCTTATCACTTCTACGTTCCAGGATATGGGACTCCCTGAGCTCTGCTGATTACCATTGAAAACGTTAAATATGAGCTGTGTGCGTTACCCCTCTGCACTTTCTTAATGATTTGTTGTTGTAGACTTTAATCACTTCCAGCCGTACGCACAGTACTACCCATGGCCCTTGCTTGTGCACTTCTGGAAGCACACATTTTTCTTTTTCCCACCGGCCTGCCAACCCTGTCAAAGGAAATCACTGTCAAGGCTTGATGCCGTGGCACGAAGGACGTCTTGCCACGTCAGATGAATTGCTCTTTTTGGGCCAGACCGGTATGTCAAAGAATGAGAATGTTCTTCGTGTTTGGGGATAATTTGTTCAGATCAAAGATAAGAGGGAAAGAAATATCCTGAAGATAAAATATGCGAGAGTTCTGCAGTGTGGACATCAGGCAAGGCTTTCGATGAAATACACAATGCGTTGACTACGGTGGTAAATCACTTGAGGTTATGCAGAGGAATTTTGCGTGTTAGAACTGCACAATTCCGCAATATCTTCACGAGGTTGGGAAAATATTGGGAAAACAAACTAGCGACTCACGGTTTAGCAAGGTCTCTACTAATGGAGATCTTGATACAACATGGACTGCTGGTGGTCCCAGAAGACTGGTTTGAGAACCACTTTAAGATCACATTCTGGTATCAATTTAAAGGTTGTAAATTCCTCGCAGAAGACTATATTTTACACATGTCAGCAGACTCTATCAAACAGCTGTGCCTACGCTTACAGCAAAACAACCTTCCAACTGTGCAGACGAAGGTTGGATATGCCATATTTACGGAGCGCTCACTCCTAGTCAAGCTTCGTATAGTGACTTTCATTTCAAGAAACACTTACTGTGTTATTAGTTCATTTAGCAGGATAGATTATCAGAACTACACAAAATAAATCCATGTTAATCTGCTAACATGTACATCCGTTCTCCAGGAATTTGGTGTTCGTCCAATAAATATCCAGCAAGGTTACTAGCTTCGAAATGGTTAGTAAGGTTACCCAATTTACAGAGGGCATCAAAGAGCATTAACCATGGCCTCCATTCCAAAGGATTTAAAATGTTAATATTTTGAATATATGTGCTCTGTGTTGTGCCTCCATGCTTCTCTGCAGGCACAGTGTGGCGATTGCTGTGCATGCGGATCCATGCTTCTCTGCAGGCACAGTGTGGCGATTGCTGTGCATGTGGATCCATGCTTCTCTGCAGGCACAGTGTGGCGATTCCTGTGCATGTGGATCCATGATTCTCTGCAAACACAGTGTGGCGATTGCTGTGCATGTGGATCCATGATTCTCTGCAAACACAGTGTGGCGATTGCTGTGCATGTGGATCCATGCTTCTCTGCAGGCACAGTGTGGCGATTGCTGTGCATGTGGATCCATGCTTCTCTGCAGGCACAGTGTGGCGATTGCTGTGCATGCGGATCCATGCTTCTCTGCAGGCACAGTGTGGCGATTGCTGTGCATGTGGATCCATGCTTCTCTGCAGGCACAGTGTGGCGATTGCTGTGCATGTGGATCCATGCTTCTCTGCAGGCACAGTGTGGCGATTGCTGTGCATGTGGATCCATGCTTCTCTGGAGCCTGGTGTGGTGATTGCTGTTGTGCGGTGGATCCATGCTTCTCTGCGGGCACGGTCAATGGCGATTGCTGTGCATGTGGATCCGTAGCTCTCTACGAGGGCTGGTGTAAGCGTTGCTCTGTGCGGTGGGATCCATGCTTCTCTGCAGGCACGGTGGCCGGCGTTCCATTTGCGTGGATCAGCTGATTTTGCTCTGGAAACACGGTATTCTGGCGTTACTTTTATTATAATGGATCATGATTCTCTGCGACACGGTGTGGCGTTCTTTTTGGTACATGTGGATCCATGCTTCTCTGCAGACACAGTGTGGCGATTGCTGTGCATTCGGATCCATACTTCTCTGCAGGCACAGTGTGGCGATTGCTGTGCATGTGGATCCATGCTTCTCTGCAGGCACAGTGTGGCGATTGCTGTGCATTCGGATCCATGCTTCTCTGCAGGCACAGTGTGGCGATTGCTGTGGATCCATTTCTCTGCATCGATTGCTGTGCATGTGGATCCATTTCTCTGCAAACACAGTGTGGCGATTGCTGTGCATGTGGATCCATGCTTCTCTGCAGACACAGTGTGGCGATTGCTGTGCATTCGGATCCATGCTTCTCTGCAGGCACAGTGTGGCGATTGCTGTGCATGTGGATCCATGCTTCTCTGCAGGCACAGTGTGGCGATTGCTGTGCATTCGGATCCATGCTTCTCTGCAGGCACAGTGTGGCGATTGCTGTGCATGTGGATCCATGCTTCTCTGCAGGCACAGTGTGGCGATTGCTGTGCATTCGGATCCATGCTTCTCTGCAGGCACAGTGTGGCGATTGCTGTGCATGTGGATCCATGCTTCTCTGCAGGCACAGTGTGGCGATTGCTGTGCATGTGGATCCATGCTTCTCTGCAGGCACAGTGTGGCGATTGCTGTGCATTCGGATCCATGCTTCTCTGCAGGCACAGTGTGGCGATTGCTGTGCATTCGGATCCATGCTTCTCTGCAGGCACAGTGTGGCGATTGCTGTGCATTCGGATCCATGCTTCTCTGCAGGCACAGTGTGGCGATTGCTGTGCATGTGGATCCATGCTTCTCTGCAGGCACAGTGTGGCGATTGCTGTGCATGTGGATCCATGCTTCTCTGCAGGCACAGTGTGGTGATTGCTGTGCATGTGGATCCATGCTTCTCTGCAGGCACAGTGTGGCGATTGCTGTGCATGCTTCTCCATGATTCTTTATTAGCCAGGAGATCATCCGCACTTCTAATGTAGCCCCTGGATTATAGGTAATTGGGGGTCTGACAGATACATTTGAGAAATAAGCCCAAAACTGGCGACTTGCTCTTGTACATACAGAAATTACGGTCATTGATACCAAATTAAGAAATTGTCACAATCACCCTTAAATAATACCTCAAAGCATTCTACCAAAACCACTGCGCATTCCTACAAGCATTCACTTTAACTGTAGCTAGCATTTAACGAAGAGAGCGCTATCATTTCTATCCTTTACGAGGGAGTTAAATCTTTCTCCCAACACAGACCTTTAAACCACTTCGTTTTAATGAAGTGGGTCAGAAAAAGGAGGGGGCGGGGATGGGACGCTCAATAAAATAAATTACAAAGACAACAAGATTAAAATTGGTCATTGTGCTTTTGACTTTTACATTTTAAGCCTTTAAAAAGTTGACTGGCTTAAGATTTCACAGCATGTGACTAGCGGAGAAGGAGGAAATTTTATTCTCATTAAACGCAGTAGATTTACTGCCGTGGAAATGCGCTCGGTAATACGAGAAGTGACAGACCTTGTAGATCAAAGTTCCCCTGGTCTGGAAAGCCGTATAAACCCCACCGGCTACTTCCTGCAAGGGAAACGCTCTCCAGCAAAATAAAACAGACCAGTTTGGGGGAAAACATCTCTATTTTACGAGCTGTCATAGCAGATTCTAGTGGTCTGAAGTGGGCTAGTTTACAATATTCGATTACCTTGTATGTTTTGTCTTTCTGTAGATTTTATAGTTTGTTTAACAAAGAATGAAAAAGACAAAATATAGAACCGCAATCTTTCCTATTTAAATCTGGAAGATATAGAATGAAATCATCTGGCGAGCACGTATCCTGTTAGGCTGCGTTCGCCAACCGCCATCTTTAAAATTCGGAGCTACGTAAAGAGCCAAGGATGTGCACGTTATCGGCTAACAGGAAATCAAATCCCAATAGATATGAGAGACCATATTTTAGCATCCACCCATCTCACAGCTACAAATATTGGAAAGCAATAAACAAAAACAAGGACAAGGACCACTACAGCTCGCTCGAAATCATTCCACCACTTTTAATGCGCACAGCAATTCGAAGAAATCCCAATTCTCCCAGAATGCATGCTGGATATGCAAATGAGCCAGGCAGGCATCCCATTTTGGACTACATCCTGCTTTTATTCAGGCACCTTCTAAACCAAACCAAGACCTGTGATCCAAAAAGCTCCGGAACAACAGAGTAGCAGAGTAATGGACCGTATACATAAAACAACATATACCAAAGTACGCAAGTTTACGTCTCCTGTGTCAGACGAGAAAAATATAAATTTATATATCTGACCCCATGTCTCCACAGGGGAAGAAATGGAATTCATAGTCAGAAGAAGTATTGACCGGAGGATTATTACACGGGTTCGCAAGGTTTCACATACATAACGAGTCTGGGGGCTTGTGTAACCCACACTAAATAAACCTGTAAATACATTATATATATATATGATATGCCCGTCTAATAATACACAACGCTGGCTGAAATATTATTAATTGGACGGGATGCTATTTCACTGGAGAGGACCTCACTTACTGCGCAAAAGAAGGAGGAAAAAAAACAAAAAACAGTTTTATGGACATTTTAAAAAGAAAAAATGCCTGCAAATAAGAAGTGTCTGAATTCTGATACAGCATCTGCCTTAACAGAAATTGCTTCAAATGGATTTACAGTCAGCTAATAGTAATCCTCGAAACCTTAATAAATGGTTCTCCTGCGCACGTTAACAGCCCCCAGTCTAGCAGTAAAATAAGGTGCCTGGACGAAGACCATTTGACAGATGCTATTGAAAAGTCACTTAACATTTCTTTGTTGGGAATTTCAATTCACCGGAGAGAAATGATGGCCCATTTTAGTTAAGTACCTTTAAAAGTACATCAAGTGATTCCATCAGGAGGGGTACATACGCCGTACACGTTCTATATTCCAAAGGCAACGCATGAGATACCACTGCGATACAACCTGGATGGGAGACCCGTGCCCCATCAATCAATAGCAATTCGGCTAGCACAATGAATAGGTAAAAGTTGATTTAACACGGGCATCATTTGTAAGTACGGTGACCACTTTACAGGCGTGTCACACTGGTCAAGGACAATCCTACAGAAGGTTTCAAACAGAAGGGGAAGCAGAAAATAACTGAATTGACCATTACCCATTATCATACGCATGCTGTCCCATGAGATCTCCGTTCTGAAGGTTGTATTCACTGAAGAAGTCTGGACTCACAGCTCTGTCAGATGGAATCAGGCCTTCTGGAAGAAAGACAATGAATGAGGTCCTCTTTATCACATAATATGGGTACATTACGCCTTCCTGGTTCTCCACGGTTCAGCGCTTTAGATCATGATGGCCATAGACTCTATGAGGGGATATTTAGAAAAATGTTCTGAAACGTGTGGTTAAATTCTGCCAATATTTTGATACGATTTATAAGGGACATCAAAACACCTTTAGCTTAATGAAGTAGTTTTGGTGTGTATATCACGTCCCCTGCAGTGTCACTGCTCAATTCACTGCGATTCAGGCGCTAAATCACTGGTTTCCACTCATGCAGCCCTAGCCACACCTCCCCTGGCCGTGAATGACACAGCCTGCATGAAAACAAAATGGTTTCATTTTCAACCAGATGTAACTTACTTTAATATTCCGTCACGATTCCCTTTTATTCCAGAAGTTGTGTCCTTAAAGGGTTAAAAGTGTACCTCCTGCTCTGTAAATTGAACTTTATTCATACACAGGAGGCTTCTACAGGATCTAGCAAGCTAATAACAGAGCAGGAGATAAGAAATTTCAAATTAAACAGAACTTGCAATAAAGGACGTATAAACATTAGATGACACTTTACAGGAAGTGTTTAGGAAGACTGTGTAAGTCACATGCAGGGAGGTGTGACTAGGGCTGTATAAACAAAGTGATTTAACTCCTAAATGGCAGAGAATTGAGCAGTGAGACAGCAGAGGCATTATCTATACACCAAACTTGCTTCGACAAGATAAAGCTGTTTAGTGTCACTTTAAAGTGACCTCTGCTCACTGCTCAATTCTCTGCCAGTTCTTTATACAGCTCTAGTCACACCTCCCTGCATGTGGCAACCTTCCTAAACACTTCCTGTAAAGAGTCATCTAATGATTACACTTCATTTATTGTACTGTTTGTTGAATTTAAGAATATCTTATATCCTGCTCTGTTAATGGCTTGCTAGGCCCGGCATGAGCAACCTGTGTGTGATCAGTTTAATTTACATAGTTAAGAGTAAATTAAGATAACGTGATTGAAAATGAAAACGAAAACCATTCTGTTTTCATGCAGGCTGTGTCAGTCACAGCCAGGGGAGGTGTGGCTTGAGCTGCATAAACAGAAACAGAAAGGGATTTAACTCCTAAATGGCAGAGGATTGAGCAGTGAGACTGCAGGGGCATGTTCTATACACCAAAACGGTTTCATTAAGATAAAGGTGTTTTGATGTCTTTAGTGTAACCTTAAAACATAAGCTGAAACTAATGAGGCTACTAACCAATATTTAAGTTTCTGAAGCCAATACATTTTTTGGGGTTTAAGATATAAATTCCAGAAATCAATAGTTTTTTGATTCTGCCAGAAAAGGAGAAAAATAAAGAAATTAGGATTGCCAAGTGTTTTGCTAAACTTGCACAAAGTCCTGGTTCTGGTGGGAAGGAAAAGTTCTGCCGTGCCTGATTTACAATCCATTCAGTCCAGGAAGGAAATCAGTTCGTTGTTATTGCTCAGTGACGGCACCCCAGCTGCGCTACGTACCTGCAGTGTAGTATAGATCCGGCCGTTCCAGGATATCGCCCTCGTGGATAAAAGGTTCAATGGGTTCGTCGCCATATAGATATTGCTCGCTCTCATCCAGCTGTCGGCTCTCTACCATCTCCAGCCACTGCGAGTTGTGCCAGCGGAATTTCTCACTTTGTATCTTTTTTGCCCATTCCTCGTCATATTCCTATCACGAAGAAAAAAAAAGATATAAATCCGTTTGCTAATATGTGATTGTGAAGGAAGCCAGATGGGTGGACAGAGGCAGAGTTGAAATAGCATTGCTGCGAGATTCATTTCCTATCTGGGGCATTACTTCGTATTTCAAGTGTCTACAATAACACCTCAACGGCGAAGGGATATGCAACACATTAGAGATCTAAGCGGATAGGTGTAGGGAAATCCAATATAAAGCTCCCTTATGAATGGAAAAGAAAAAGCTTTGTGAAAGGGTATCCGATGCGTTCCATCTGTCTAGCAATAAACCCAGTGCGTATGGGAACTTACCGCTATGATATCAAGGGTGTTATCGCACACTTTCCGGATCTCGGAGTTTTTATCATGCATCAAGTCGATGAGGTACGCGGGCGCCTCTGCATTAATATAGTTAAAGGAACAGGTATGTAGGTAATGAGAGAGAGAGAGACAGACACACTGACCATTAAACTGCATGTCTGTTTATGGTGGAAACATGACAAGCTGGCTACATTCCCAAGCTGAGAAATAAAGGTCCAAGCAAAATACACTGTGGGGCTTATACACCAAACACTGATGTTATAACGTCGCATAAATTGTTAGTCTTTGACTGTTTGAAAGCATGCTTTGCATGATCAGATTTAACAGATTTTTTTAATATACATTTTTGACTAAAAGGGTAAATTCAGGGTAAAATGCTGTGACAGTGGCAGAGTTTGTGAATTTTGTCAGACCAGCTATCTTTGCCCACTTATACAAAAAAAAGAGAATGATACCGCACTCCAAATTGTTGCTCAAAAAAAAGCAAAAAGGTATTTAATGGATAGTGTAATCAATATTAAAAAAATATTAAAGGTACTCAATTAGCGCATCACTTCACATGAAAATCCATCTATATACACGCCTACACATGTACTTCCTACTAAAGGGGAATTCAAGATGGCCGCCCACATGGGCACATATATATTTGGAGACGGATAATTTGTTTACATGATGTATGCAACATAACAAACGCAGAGGCTACAATAAAGACACTATTTTACTGTAATATTGAAAATATGACAATTTTCCTTTAAAGGGACACTACTGCCCAAACACAAAATAAATGTCACTGTTTAATATATACCCCCCAATAACAACAAGCATGCATTTAATTATGCATTTTCCCATTGTTTTATATAAAAAAATAACATGTAAAAGCTGTAGCATTGTCTGCAGCCTTTGCAAGCCCTCCCCTTCTAACCCCGCCCAGACTTTCTGTGGCTGTCCAATCACAGACTTCCCAATGCAGCTCAATGAGAAGTCTTTGCAAGGCAGGAGCTCTAAGCAAATGCTGCCTCTTAAGGTTTGCTTCACTGAGCTAAACAAACCAGGAAGTAACAGGAGTGGTTATCTGATTGACAGCCTGGGGGGTGTAACCAGGTTCATTTATAAAAGTGACAATTTAAATCTATTGAAATATGTATTTTATTAATTTATTTTTTACACAAAAGGAGGACACAGTCTTCACACATGTATGTTCAAGACAAACTGCTCTCGGGTTCTAGTGTGTCCCCCTTTAACTGTTGTACGTGTCGGACAGCCTCAAAGACTGCTGGTGATAATATCCCAATTAGTTTAATACAAACGATCGGTATCTGCAGGTCTTCGGAACTGAAAAGCTGAACCCTGTTTATTGTAAAGCTAAAACTAAAGCCATGTTTGAGATAAAGGACAAGAGAAAAGAATAGACTAATTGTGTCCTTTGCCATCTGAATGTGTGTTTGACAAAAACGTGAGGCCATCAAGACTTGGCAGAACGTTCCGCTGACATAAGGCAGCCGAGCAAGCCGCTTTGTTCCCTGCTCTTTAGAGAGACCTGAAAAGCTGTGATTTAAACATGACAAGTAATTTCCCTGAAATGTCATTTAATCCCCAACGCAGGAACTCACCCAATTTACGTTTCCTGACCCAGACAGGACGGACGAAAAGCAGGGGACTCAGACCTTTTATCACTCCAAATTAGACTAAATAAAGGTTTTAGCCCAGAGTTCTGAAAGGGAGCACTTTACCAAAAACATGTAAAAAATATATAATTCTGCACTGACCGAGTGGCAGGGATCAATAAATAAGTCATTATTATTATTAAACATTCTATTTCTGCACAGTCTGCGCTTTCCAAAGTGTACGTTGAAGAACTAACCCAGTGATTAACCGTGATATTTCACTGCTCATTCTAGTAGCAGACCGGATTTACAGAGATAAATAGCGTGTGTACGAGAAAAAATAAACAGTCAAACTAGAGGGGACGGTCATATCCGAGGAGTTGGAATATTCCGTTTACTTATCCCTATATTTAACATGTGTTTGTGCGGGCTCAAAGACAAAGTCAATATAGGTATTCACACCCCTGCATTTAACGCTATCCTAAGTGTGCACCCCCATCTTGGCTCCCCGTCAAACACTGCATGTTCTCTCAGTGCAACATTTCTAACAGACAGAGGGAAAAACCGAAAGTGGGAGAGGTGGGGAGAGACGGACTGAAAGCAGGGGGTAGTAGGGGGAAAACTGAAAAGCAGGGCATGGGGACTGAGCAGGGTGTGGGGGGGAGAGGAAACCGAAAGGGGCATGGGTTGGGGTGGGGTAGAACCGAAAGCAGGGTATGGGGGAGGAGAAACTGAAAGCAGGGCATGGGGTGGGGGAACGACCAAAAGCAGGCATGAAGGGGTTAACCAAAAGCAGGGCGGGGAGAGGGGAAACCAAAAGCAGGGTGGGGCTTAACCAAAAGCAGGGCATAGAGGGGAACCAAAAGCAGGGCGCTTGGGGTGGGGGTGGGAGGGGAACCAAAAGCAGGGCGTTGGGGGGAAGGGGGGAAAACCAAAAGCAGGGGGGAGGAACCAAAACAAGGGAGGAAGGTACGCAACTGGGGCTGAAGGAACCAAAACCAGGTGAGAGGGAATCAAAACCATGGGGGGATTTCTTTGTTGTTGGTTACACCACCTGCCGGAGAACTTCTGTGATGGGTTTACAGTCTTAAAGGGACAGTCTAAGTACAAATAGAGAATTGGGCAGCGAGACTGCCGGGGCATGATCTGTACACCAATACTGCGCCATTAAGATAAAGTGGTTTTGGTGTTTATAGTGTCCCTCTAACACTGCCAGAGTATCACGATATTAGAAGTCCAGTGTGGGGGCGCCATAATATTAATTATTTATATAGCGCCATCAGACTCCCTAACGCTGTACAATGGCTGTACAATGGGTGGACTAACAGACATGTAATTGTAACCAGAAAACTGGACGTACAGGACGTACAGGAACAGAGGGGTGGAGGGCCCTGCTCCAGGAGCTTACATTCTAGCGATAAAAGGATACGGGTTTCCTTTATGATGACGTCTCTGGTGGCTTGGTGAAAAACCATTTGATAGAAGACATATACAATCTGACACACAAATTCATCATCTTCTTGCTGAGCTGAAATGAGAACGTTACGCAAATCAAATTCATACTTTCTCTGCATTTTAATCACACAATGAGGATTATGTGCCAAACATCGGGCTAAGGGAACACGGCCTCTAACCCTACAGCAGGATCGCAACCTCTACACTCAGCTGTAGTGGTTATGGTGCTTCGTATGGCTCTTTAATGATCAGAATTTCTTACAAAGCACAGACAGCCGTGCCCGTATCAGCAGGTTGTAGTTACCATTCAGAAGCTCAATGAGTGCTGGAATGATGCCCGACTTGGCCAACAATGCAGCGCAGGAGTCGTCCATGGACACTGTCCCAATCATGATGACCACTTCCAACACCAAATCATCCTCGGCCGACCCTGCATCAGAAAGCAATAAAACGGTTTAAACCAAGATCCAGCCAGATCCTCCCCTGATGAATCTAACTAGCCACGCTCGGAGTAAACAAGCTGTGTCTGATGACAAATGGAAAGATCTCCGAATATGAAACTAGGAATTATTACATTAGGAAGCGTCCAGGGACTGGCTGTATGACAACCACTAGAAGAACGCTTTCACCATTTCTCAGAAACATCAATGTCTTACAATGTCTGAGAAATGAGAAAGTGGCTATGCACCAAAACCACTTCATTAAGTTATGGTAGTTCCAGCTGCTTTCCCTTAATAAGAATAATCATTGGAAAATATGGCTAATAGTAGATTAAAAGGGATGCAGGCCTATTCTGTACTTCATAAAGATTATTCAAGTTTATTCATTCTCATTTTAATGCTTTGTACTTTCCCCAAATATTTCATGAAATTACATACGTTGGGATCGGAAGTATTTAGTTTAAATATTTGTTCGATACAATATTTTTCTAGTTTCAATATATCACATGTTCTATTCGTCTTAAGCACTGCGCAGAATTAATGGAAAATCGTTTCCGATCTGCAGATGCCATCCAACAGACAGTGTCTTTCCTTGATGCCCTGAAGCTGCCCCCTATCTGAAAATGTAGACCTTCCTCATTACCACGATAGGTTTTGCCCATCCTGAATAGCAGGTGGTCTACAAATCTTCCATATTGCTGGATTTTTACATTTTGAAACACCTGTAAGATGACTTTTTTAAATAAAGCATTCCTTTTGTTAGCTAAGTGAATTATTACAGCACTGCGTAGTGGTTATAATGCTATTGGCCCTTACTCTTGTCAAACCATTTGCTAACAAACAGTGCTTTAGCAGCACCCGCAGACCTCTCTAGTTGACTTGATTTACGCTTCCACATTAACGCTATCATTTTTGTCCAACATGGATGACACAGGAAAGGCTGAGTGTGCCAGGGGTGGGTTAGCAAAGCATTTCATCATAACTCCACTGCTATTCATGATGGGTGGAAACAATTGTGGTAATGCGGAAATTTAAATTTGCAATTCTCATTACGGATAGAGAATAGGCAGTTACAGAGTATCGAGGAGAGACACTTTCTGTTCAATCTCTCTAAATCCACCCATACACTGGTTAGTAATAATCCACCCATTCAGATGGGTGGCAATGTCTGGGGACTAAATCTAGTAAAGGAAGATAAGAGTACCTGGTTTAAGTTTGTCCTTCAGATAGGGAACAAGACGGTATTCTTTCAGTACTAGCTCCCAATCTAGATCGCCGATGGTGAGATTAGCCAGTGTGCCAAGGCATTCTATCACAAATTCTTCCTCCTCATGGTTTGTAATCTGCGCGGCCAAATCTCCAACGTAGTCCTAGACAGTTGATGGCAAACCATTTTTTGTTTAATTTCAATGAGTTAAACAATGCCTTATTCCCACAGCCGTTGGTAGGGACGGCTGGGGGAAGTGACAATACTGGATAACCGTAGGTCCACCCATGGTCAGATGGAGGAAGAATGAAACAGTTTTAGAATGATGTTCGCCTTTGGGTACCATTAAACTACGACTATGTAAATTCTTTAACTAGCATTCTGACTGCGTGACTGCCATAGCTTGGAGATCTACCTCGTAACAGATCGATTTGTGGATACAAGCAGTTTTGGATGAAGGAGGAAACCCCTCTAGGAGGATCACTGGTAGTTTGAATCTGCCCCCAACCTTTAGCGTCTTGTATATTTTAAGTAATCCATGCTACCTTTTAGATTGTAAGTTCATGGGCCATCTCGCTTTACACTTGTAATAAAAGATTTTTCCATCATTTTTGGACCAGTATGTCTAATTATGTATTGTACCATCTTCGATCCATTCTCCATGCCACTTGTACAGTGCTTCAGACAATGTTACCACGTTAAGTAAGATAACAGTTTTTGGAGTGCTCTTTCAAAAAAGGAAATTTAAAAAGCTATTTAGAGTTGGTATGATATTTTATATATTACTGCTGGACAATCTAAATGTGATGCCCTTAAACACACATAATATACATTAAAGAAAAGAATAGTTGAGAGTGAAGCAGTGTATCAAAAAGTGACTATTTCATATATATTTAGGGTTTATCACCTAAATAGTCACTTTTTGATACACTGGTCCACTCAACTATTCTTTTCTTTAATGTTACCACATTATTAACACTGTAACTGTAATACTATATATACATATATCGGGTAAGTTTCAAACCAACATTGGTGAGAGAAGGAAGTACAAAACATCAGATACATTTGACCACAAGTCGAAATTCACAGGAAGCATTTGTTTTACGTAGATGCACATGTTGACGAAATGATTGTGTGATACCACCATCCAGCTCTTCCATAATACCAAATGATTGAGAAAATGAAAAGAAATGACTTACTATGAATACATTTTTGGTTTGCCCTTCGTGCTGCGAAATATTCCGAATCATCTTCATAAGCAAAGGGTCCTTAAATTTCAAAGCTTTCTTCATCAACATCTTCAGCCCGTTTCCTACAGAAAGAAGTGTAGAAATGTAACCAGACATCATATTCCTCCACTGATATCGAGGTACAAGGCATTCGAAACATCAAAGAAACAAGTTCTACAACCAAACCTGGATTGAAGGAACACCAACAACATTGCTATATATTCATGCAAAGAAAACACAAAAAAATAATGTCAGGAAATGCAAGCGCTCCGAATCCAAAAGAAAAAGATTTATTGCACAAGGAACAAACCGGGGAAAACAAAAGACAAAAAGATTTACATTTTTCAGACCACCCGATCCTGATATTAGCCCCCATTCCCTCTCAAAAAATGAATTAAAACATTAACTTGAACCTGTAGTCCCATGGTGCCAATCTCCATGTGGCCACCACACTGGCCCAGAGATTAATAGTGAATATATTCTTAGCCAATCCGACGCTTCCCCATAGTGTGCTGTGCCAATCAGCATCACCCAATAAAGATGTCTTCGATCAATGAAATGTTGAGCGTTTGATAACTTCATGCCGAGTGTAAAGACGCCGAATGCAGGTCCTGTAAGGATTGCAGCACTGTAATAGGAAGTGACTCTACTGGCTGCTTAAGGACACATGTAAATATTGTGTTTAATCAGAACAGGCAGCATTTAAGCTGCAGACCCTGTAGAGACATGCTATATGCATAAAATCTAACTACAATGGTTCTGGTGATAAGTTCCCCGTAAAGATCCCACAGTGCTCTATGTCTGTTATCATTTCCTTCACTCAAACATTGAGATGTTTGGCCATGTTTTCTCAAACCACAGGGCACGAAGTGGCTTCCACCCTATGTTTAATCTTCCTATGATAACAACACTGATTGGCCAGGATACAAGGAGGAATAACTGGTATGGGCATACCGCTCTATTTTCAGACTGTCAAGGTCCGATAAAAGTAAGGAGAAAGTACATTGGGACCCCTGAATTTACAAGGTACATACTCTGGAATTTATATGAAGTATAGCAAGGCAGAGGCCAACTTGTTGTGGACTACATCTCCCATAATGCTCTTACAGTCATAATGATGGCAAAGCATGATGGGAGAAGTAGTCCACAGCTTCTGGGCATCTTTCCTTGATGCCCAGAAGCTGCCCTCTCTCTAAAATGTAGACGTCCTCATTACCACAGTAGGTTCTGCCCATCCTGAATAGCAGAAGGTCTACAAATCTTCCATATTGCTGGATTTTTACATTTTGAAACACTTGGGAGTGCTGAAGATTTCCTATCCCTACACTAGAGCAAGCAACAAGATACGACGGCTGTTTAATCCACCTACCAATGTTTCAATTCTTGCCGTCTTTGTGACGGGCTCCCATGATCAGACCGAGAACCTGGACCCAGTGCACTTCTTAGCCACTTCAGGAACCCTGAAACTCTTCAGTCCCACTTGCCAAAGCTGGATTGATGTCTCTCAGGAACCTTTCCACCCGACCAAGCGGCAGCTCTCTCCTTCCAGGCAGATATCGTTCCTTTTCAGCTCCTTTCCCAGGCAGGTATCCACACCACTGCCTGTACTGTGACCAGCTACTGTCTTTAAAAGGCACTTGTGGCTCTCAGGCCTAGCTCTTTCCACTTGTCCCAGCATCCAGGGACCAAGCAGTGAGCCAACAGGTTCAAAGACTTACTGGGATCCACAAACAAATCGAGTCCCAAAAGGAACCAACATACAAAGCCTTATTTTTTCTTAGGACTTTTATTAAACTTACTGTGACAAACTCAATAAAATACAAATAACCAAATCATATGGGGAAACATACAGGAACTCATAATAATGCATTAACATCTTTATAAAAGGGTGGGGAAGACAACGAACAAGAAATATCTCCCCGAAAATGCAAATTAGCAAACTGAGCTATTCCGGTAGAAGTTTAAAAATTCTAACAACCAACATATGGCGCTGTACAGCCTAATCTATCTGGTTGGACAGGAGAGCACACAAAACATGTAATCCCAAACAAGCCCAATACACACTCCCTGCACCCACAATGGACACAGGGCGACACAGTCTCCAAATTCTTACCTTCACAGATCAGCTGGGCGTTCCGCTTATTTGCTGCCAGATTTATACAGAAAGATATTAACTCAAGATCAATGCGCTCGTCAGAAGATTCAAACAACATCTTCATTAACTGAAAACAAAAACCAGAAAACACTCATCAGAAACCTTCGTTAATGTATTGAAAATACGAATGTGATCAGAAACTTGTAACATTCGACAAATGGTTAAACAATAGAAAATGTATAGTACCGTCTTTCCCCCAAAATAAGTCTGGGTCTTATATTAATTCCGCCTCCCCACCTCCCCCGAAAAACGCACTTATTTTCGGGGGAGGTCTTATTTCGGGGAAAAAGGGTAGCAAGCATGTGCTAGAAAGGTCTACGTTCGGGAGTTCAGTAGCAGTTCAGTAGCGCATGGAATCCCACTAATCTATGTTTACAGGTTAGCGAACTAGCAGCTAGGGCTTATTCTCAGGATAGGGCTCTTATTACAAACATCCCCTGAAAATAAGCTAGGGCTAATTATCGGGAAACGGGGTACCCGAAAGGGGAAAACAACAACAAAAACATTATTAAAACGTTTGAGGAATCAGCAATTAAAGTGAAAATTGTATTTAATAATCTTTAAAATGTATATTTTCGCAGACTAGTACAATCTAAAAAATATATTGTATATATAATATAATAAGAAGCTTATTGATAATTATTAACATGGAGTCTTTATGCCCAAACAGCCAAGTTAGTAGAAATGATCAGAGTTAGCTCTGGTTCCAATTTTGGTCTAAAACCTTTTAAATTATTTTGGATTTCTGACAATGAACACGTTCGTGAATAGTCCTAGCACCCCGACACCTTTTGGGACACAGCCATCTGGAGTCTATGGGCTTTAAAACATTTTGATGGAGGGGTAACCGTTAACTGGCCTATATTGCTTAGATAACATGCAGTAGTAAGCAGGGTTAGAAAGCTCACCGCTCCAGAAATACTAACTCTTCTGCTCTATATAAAGGCAATTGTATTAACCAAATAATGCAAAATTGGCTTCTCTCGGACAGTTTGTGATTAGTCGGATCAGCGGAGATTGGGCCAATTTCAAACAAACTACAAATTAATAGGAACTCATTTGGTTGAAATAACAGATTTAGGCATTTTTGATTAATGGGTTACCGTTTGGTTGAACCATGCAAACTGTGACAGCCGTAGGTTATTAAACTGTAGTTTGGTGTTTAGTGAATATTACCCAATTTATTTTATCACGTCCACACGCACACACACAAACCATGTTTCCCTATAGAGAGCTACTTCAATGGCTACAATGAAAGCAGTACTCCCCATGGGACATAGAATCAGATTGTAAAAACTGCACCACATGTAGACAAAGCCTGGACGCATTTTGTTGTCGTTTGTCCTTGTATTTAATTACAGCCTTCTACGTTGACATAAGCTAAAGTCCGTACCAAGTGCTCACTATCTGACCAACGTGGACATCACCATTCTGCCCATCGGGAGCTCATATAATAAATCCCAAATTATCTTAATCCATGCAAATACAAAATGACATGGCGAAGGGGAAAGCTTGGACACTGGCTACTTCCAAACAGATATCACGTCTAGTACGGACTCACTCACTGAACACATTCATTTTATATATCCATTATATGTGATGGATTCTCCTCTTAGCCAGTGTTATTTCTAGCCATGATTGATGAATAATTGACTAAAGAGTGATGAATGAGGTTGCTCTCAGATTCTGACCTAAAGCAGCACATGGAGAGGATTAATGTATGTTTTGTATATAAAAGGCTTCACTAATCCACTTATGGTCCTCCAGCTAAGAACTGATGGCTTCCTGCTTCTGTGAGTTAACGTTTAGTGTGCCGAATAAACCTGTGATTGAGAGGAATCAGAACTCTCAATGAAAACAACAATTCAAAAGCTATTTTCATTTTATTCGGTTAATCAGGCATGTTACGGTAAGAATTAAATAGCCCCAAATATCTACAGAATCAACAGATGTTCCACATTGGTTTCATTTGTAAAATCCCAAAATGTGTTTCATTTGTAAAACTTCTGTTCATGCAAAAAAAAAAAAAAAAAAAAAAAGACCCAAAACATAAAGAAATGAATTAATTTTGTGTGTCAACGTGGTTCGTCAGAGTGCAGCGTGTTAGTGGCCGATCTGGTGGGGAACGGCGTAATTAACGAAAGTATTGACTGACAGGTCTGCGTACAAGGTCCGTGTATTTAAAATTAAAAAGGAAACCTACTTCAGATTCAATTAGCGTGGGCAACCTCCCTTCTCCAGTCTGTTTGCTTTAACGTGTTACACTGGGGCTCTGCGCGGCTCATTATGCAATTTGATTTAATATGATTGAAACCCGTGGCACTTCAAAAGCACGCATAATTGCGCCCCGGTGGGAAATATTAACATTGAATTTGTCCTGCTTGAACAGTGCCCATTGTCATCTTTTACTGATTTAGCAGGACGGCATTTAGAAAGGCTGCAGGCATTCTGAAGAGGTAAGCAAGGTCTTACTCAGACAAGTCCCATATAGAGTATCGGATAGCACACAGCCCGTACTAAAATCACCGTGTCTAGACTCTCTGGCACCCGACTTCACTTATTTACCACTGACCAGAGACCAGCCCCTACAGCTCTCTATGGAAGCATATACACCTATCCTGAACATCTTTAAGTGATTATGCCTCGGATCTGCATGTCTTAGGAAGCCCTCTGTCCTGATCAACTGTTTGATGTGATGCTTCGCACTCTGAACTGCTACATAGCGGAGGACGAACTCATGATCAAAGTGGAACCCAGTAGACATGGGTGGATAGCCGAGGGAATCCTTCCAGAGCGCTCCATGGTGAAATTAATCGAAAATGTCATTTTAAGATCACTGCACCGTGCCATGTTCTTTGATTGGCCAAGCAATTACCAGGAAAATAGTTTATAAACATCTGGTTTATATTTACACCATTTAAAACAAACCCTGCTTTTTCCAGGGGTCCACGTAACAATGAACTGTTAATGTTTTATCCTAGCTCCTACTAGAATAACACTATTAGCTCCTGACCTCTGGGAAATTCAGAACCCCTCCAACGGTTTTAAACATCAGCTTCGAAAAAACCCTGCCGTCTTCAAAGCAAAAATGTTCAGAGATTAAATCCCAACTCCGGGACCAAAATGTGACCTTTTTGCTAAAATGGACAACAAGATTATTCTTAAAGCTCTAAATGCATCATTGCACAGATAAATATTTGCACATGGACACATGCTTAACAATGGCGCGCACAGCATTTCTTATTCACATAATAGGTCTTTGTAAAACGGTGTATTATAAAATATTACGCACTCTTTTGTAGTATTCGTTTATATGGGAAAAATGAAATCCAGACATGGGAAATTGCAATGTGTCTTTTCTCGTAACACACTTACTAACTACATAAAACATAATAAAGTGAACTGAATCATGGGCTGGCTTAGCATTATGGGAAATGTAGTCAATATACATCTAGTCTACAAATAATGGCGGCACTGTAATTTGCTGCTAATAATAATAATAATAATAATGCTAATTGGTTCATTTCGTGTTGCCACAAATCCACCCAAACATTCATTACGGCTGACCTTAGCACCAGAAAGGTTTCTGGACACACTTCTTGCTACAGTCTGGCCGAGATTACGGGGCATGCAAGCCACAGCGCCTTACATACATGCAGACCGTATCTCTCCTAACTCTCAGCCGGACTAAAATATAGTGAGCATGATGAGAACATGACCTGCACAGAGCCATGCAGGTAAAGGGGGCAGCATGCGTACCACTGGGAGCAGAAACAGTAACCATATGTAGCCTGGCAGTGCTGCTACACTCACAGATAAAGCAACACTACAACACACACATTATATACACACACACACAGCACTCTATATTAAAACGGATATTAATAGGTGTTAATACACATACAATACATAACATACAGTAACTACATCCCCTATTTTAACTCCTGTATAACTTGTGTGAGCTTTGCAGTTGGTGATCTGCAGCACCCTCGATACCCTGAGGGACGGTGATCCTCTGGAGGTCCGAAACATTGACATGTCGGTTTGCTATTAATATGGAATATTGTGGAACCCATATAAGGATCCTTGGCTAGTAGTGTAGGACCTGTGAGGAAGGAGAGAGATCTCCATAGGTTTGTACACCGCCAGTCTTATAGATACCCGGATAGCTGTGTTATAGATTGGTATGCCGCCAAGCCATGAGCAGTAAGAATAAAGTAAGGAATGTGCAGCTTCCATGGGTGCAGTCAGACTGGACACTGCAATGGGTCTCTAGACTGTGCACAGCAGTAACACTCAGTCTAAACAAATCATTGACTTAAACTGACACAATAGCCAGCAAACCAACTTCATCTTAATGTAGCAGTTTTGGTGTAAGGATCATGCTCCTGCTGTCTCACTGCTCAATTTTTTGCCATCGAGGAGTTGAGTTACTGTTTATTTAGCCCTAGCCACACCTCCCTGCATGTGACTTGCACAGTCTTCCTAAACACTTCCTGTAAAGTCATCTAATGTTTACACTTCCTTTATTGCAGTTTGTTTAATTTATAGTTTCTTATCTCCTGCTATGTTAATAGCTTGCAAGCGCCTCCAGTGTGTGATTAAAGTTCACTGTGGGTATGTCTTGCAAAGCTGTATGTCAGGGGTTCCCAAAAGGTAGATCCCCAGATGTATTAGAACTACAACTCCCATGATGCTTTGCGTGCCTTTAGAGTGCTTTAAGAACGACAAGGTGTTTTAAAAAAAATCTGGGGATTTACCTTTTGGGCACCCCTACTGTAGGACTCTCATCTGCAGCCTTTACAACCCGTCCCCTTCTAACCCCGCTCAGACTTTCTGCGGCTGTCCAATCCAGCTCAATGAGAAGTCTTTGCAAGGCAGGTGCTCTGGGCAATTGCGGTCTCTTGAGTTTATCTCCACTGAGCCAAACAAATCAGGAAGTATTTATTTATAAAATAAATTACCAGGAAAATACATTGAGATTTCTCTCGTTTTCAAGTATGTCCTGGGTCCACAAATCATTGCATTGATACAATAAAATACAAAAACAATATTAATACACAATATATACAAAATTTAACATAGAACAGGCTGGAAATATATAATCAACCATGACAGGTGCATTCTGTATTGAGGTATGTAGAGAGGGATCTCTTAAAGGACTTTAGGCTTGGGGAAGATTTGAAATTGTGCGGGAGGTCATTCCACAATTGTGGCGCTCTGTAGGAGAAGTAACAGGACTGGCTGTCATACAGCTGGAGGGGTGTAACCAGGTTCATTTATAAAAGTGTAACTGTCTATGGTATTCTGCACTATTTGCAAAATAAAAAAATGGAACACACTTTTCACACAGGTTTTCATCAAGCGGATTTGCTATAGGTGTCTGGAGTGTCTCTTGAACTCCTAAATGGCAGAGGATTGAGCAGTGAGGCTGCAGGGTCATGATCAACACACCAAAACTGCTTCATTAAGCTAAAGGTGTTTTGGTGCTTCGAGTATCCCTTTAGGCCAGGTGGTCAAAGACTCCACCTTAAGAACAAAAGTAACATGGCAATGAAAGGAGAAATCTGACAGCAGGTTATGGCACATTGTGACGGACTGTCTGTCAATCGATGCTCCTAGCGCTTACCAAGGACCATCAGCACCACATCGGACACCATAGCTACCGCAGACTCCACAAACCGCTGTAGCTAGGTTTGGGTCTCGCGGTCTCCTTCCCACCCTGGTACTCCCTCTGGGGTCCAGGACCGTATAGGAAGGACCTCTCCTCCAGGAGAGTATAGCTTAAGAGAGCTCTTACAAGAGCTAGCAGTGATATAGCAGTTATAGCCGTTCCCTACAACACGAGACAAGGCTACAAGTTGAAGGTAAGACGGACTGGTTTATTGAGCACAGAGGCATTTCTTTTATACAGATTTTCAGGCCAGAGGCACACCCCCTGGACCTGATGGTACACAGGGACAAAAGGCACACAAACCAATGGGAACAATAATTAACACAGTAACACTCCCACATACAGTCAGCAAGCCCTCCCCTCTGCCTGTGATATAATTAAGCTAGCTAATGGAATAACTTAATTATCCAAAGGCAGAACATATCAATTTTTACCCCAAACACAGAAAACACCCCCCAAAACACCACATATCCCCAAATTATACATCTCTGGATAGCCCTGATCTGGGTGAACAACATATCCAAAAATCACCCAGATCAGATCAGGGGTTCAAAAGTTTTCTGGAAGTCATAATTGACCGACCGCATGCACATTTTCACGCTCAAAAAAGTTCCAGAGAATTTGGCAGTGCGGCCGGTCTATTTCCAATAGTTCAAATACTAAGTTCCGTTCAAATGCACGAACGGGGGCCGTTCGTGAAAATACTCAAAGTTAAAGTGGCGTTCGAATTGTCGAACGCACTTCGATTTCCATCAAAGTGTTGCACACTGGAGAAGGTAAAGTTCAGCGGTGTTCGTTCGCATATCCGATTTGAGTTCCATGAACTCGACGACCAAACACCGCTGAACGCGTTTGGTTGAATTAAAATGGCCGCCACCATGTGTTCGTATGCAAAGTGCAAATCCCTTCCAATAGACAGTACTTTAGAATCCAATATGCACAAATGTAGTTTTTAAAAGGCAATAAACCCCAGGGGCCATAGTCATAGGTCAAGAGGTTGGTAAGCAGGCCTCTCCAAATCCCAGTGGCGAAGTGCAATTGGTCACACACATGATGAGTTATTAATTATTCTACCACTAAAAAGGTCAGTAGTTTTCTAAAATCTCAAATTTCCTACCAAGCAGTGCAGTGTGGCAGCAGTACAAGGTGGGTTAGTGTATAGATTGCAGGCTGTGTTTACCCATGCTTTGTGACACCAAGTCAAGTATTGTAGAATCAAGAGGTCTCTCACACTCCCTCCACATTCAAGGACCTGGGGTTGGCTAAACTTCAGTAAAGTAATAGGAAAACAGAATGGTCCATGCACTCAAGGTATGTATCAAGCAAGTTATTGGAGAACACAGCAATGTTCTGATCTCCATGGAAATCTTTATAAAGTTTGACAAAGTCCTCAGTGGAGACCGAGACATCATTGTGATCCTCAATAAACCTGCCTGATATACACACCTAAAGTGCTTGGACCATCCTGTTTTTCTTACACCTTGCCTCAGCATGACACTAGCAAGTTGTCTCAGTTTCGAGAGTCACCGAGTGTAAGTGGACCTACACCACTCACAGGTCCAGAGTACTCAATATATTGCAACCAAATTAAGAGGCGTGTGTGATGAAACCACATATTTGGGGTATTTATTTCAGGTCTGCATTCAGCAATTATTTCGGAGAGAAAACAGAGTTCTAAAGGGCCCTGCTATATACCTGACATTCGGATACTTGCTCGCCATGTGTTGGAGGAAACAGCGGCCATCTTGACCCCAGAACACAGACAGCGGGACTTTGTCATTGAGTGTCTGGTATCCTAGACTGGCCACTCGACCACACGATTCCACAGGGCCTCTTCCGATGACGTCTATTCCATTTTTCCCCATTCACCAGGAGAGCGCTATTTGGTGTGGCTACTCCTGTTACACCAGTAAATCAACACTACTGCTGAGACCCAAAGACAGTTGACCGTTTTGGGACGATTTTGGAGACTTTCGAACTGACCGACCGCGACCAACGAACGTGTGGAACTATTGTGGGCATTCACCTTGTTCGTGGTCGGTCGAATCTTTACCTCTGAGGCGTTTCCGCTGGGAACGTGGGATCAGAGCGCTATTTTGCCATGCTGGGGCGCTCTGGAGCCAGCTATCTGGACATATATGTGGGGGTTGTTATGGATTTCATATTTCTGTATTTTCTGCTGAGTCACGGTGACTCAGGTTTTCACGTGGGCGTGTTGTATGTACCTTGACTTGCATAAAAGCCAGCCATCTGGCCGGATAAAACGTTTCTATTGTACCCTTCATCTAGTCACGACTGACGCTTTGGTATCCAATTGCTGTGTTGCGGTGTTTCTCGTCTCTGCTCGCTAGGATTTTGATAACGAAAATCCTGGATATCAGGGCTATAATCACAAAGTCCCATCCCGGTTTGGGAGTATGCAAAAGAATGGGTATTTGAGATACCAGCGTTCTTTACAGCGTGAAATAAATAAAAAGTGAAATAGTGTGCTGTTTGGTGGACCTAGAAGAGATTATTAAACAGTACCAGACAAAGGAGAATCAATTGATCTATCCTTAACCCAATCAGGTCGGCTTCCTCTTTGAGTTAAGAGAAAAAATCCCGGGAGAATAAGCCAGCCAGAAAAAATCCCGGGAGAATAAGAACAGCCTGCCTTCTCTGTCCCTCTCCTCAGGTCAGTCCCCCTCTCCTCAGGTCACTGGCATTTGTTGGCAGAGCAGGCAACTGCCATCAACTGCTTCAGGGGCGCCCTGAGGTGGCAAGATGGCCAACTCCTGGCCCCCCTGTGACAGGGCTCTTCTCGGCGCCCGCACCTTTGGGCACATTGAGGACCGGGCCGGCGTTTGGGGGGGGGGGGGCGGTCTCAATGGTCGCTCTTCCATTGCTGCGGCTCAAGACAGGGGCAGTCAATGCCTTGTTTGCCTAATGGTTTTGCCAGCCCAGTCTGTAACTGTGTCTTGTACAAAAATATGCATGTCCAGGCTCATAATACCTAGAGATTATCCAGTGCATCATGAATTGCGTTTGTCTGGTACTGCTTTCAGGACACAGAACAAGGATGAAGATGTTGTGACATCACACTTATAGAGGAGTAGTTCTGACATAATGCTTCATTTTTTTAGTTATGGAGTCAGCTCGCGTCTGCATGTCAGCAGCCCCAGGCCTCTTAAAGCTATGAATTTAGAAAACATTATTGCCAGGTTATTTGGGATTTTGAATAGCCCAAATCCAGGCACCACTTCAAAATGTTTAGACGAAGGAAATCAAGGCTTTCTTTTTAATAAAATATGCTTCAAATTAAAGTGGATGCCCTAAAAAAGGAACAAGTGCTTGATAGGACTCTCCAGAAACATCAAAACATGTTTATGAGATCAAATGCCTTGAAGGCAGCAGTGTACTTAGGCAGCTTGACAACAGTAACAATTCTGATAGACAACATTAGCAAAAAGCCTACTCTGAAACAGTCAAAATGGCGGATTTTATTCTTAATGAATCAAAATGAAGTTTTATTGCGAAATGAAGACTGGATCTGTGTCTGAAGGACCTATCACCACTTGGTGACACGTATGATATAAACATGCATGAGAAAAGTAAAGGGGGTGAAACCAAATACCAAACGGAACAGGAATAACTCAGGAAAAATATCTTTAAAAAAATAATGACATATTCCTTCTTAAAGGGACACTATAGTGCAGTTTAATGCAGTTCTGGTGTCTATCCTGTCCACGTATGCCTTTTCAGAGATGGCAGTGTTAAAATTAGTGGTTAGGGACACCTCTAGTGATAGTCACTGTAATATCCCAGCCATTCGTCAACTTAGAGACTATAGTTACTACTCTGGATCTCTGGACTCTAGGACTCTATAAAATAATCCAGTCGTGTGCACATATACATTTAAAGTCTTCATCATACACTTTGGATGACATATTGTCTTCCTTTTTTGGGGTATATAAGCCTTTTTATCCCTCCGTGAGCGCTCAGAATACTTGATGCCGATCAAGCAGTGCCATCAAAGTTAGACGTACCTGTGGTATACAGTCGGTGTATGCAAACATTGATTTGAAGCGGTCGTCCATGCTGATATGATACAGAATACACATAACAATTTGCTTGTAGTTTTCATTATCTGGAGAGCAAGGAAACACAGGTTATAAATACATGTCAAAGTGACGGACCCCAATCTACGGAGATCTCTGTAAAGATTGCGAAGGCTGAATTGGTCTCTTAGTCCACGAACGGTTAGCAGAAAATATGTCTAGGCCAGCGGTTCTAAAGCTTTGGCAAGGTAAAATTAGTTCTGTAGAATGAATTTGGCAACTAATTCTTCAATAGGAAAATTAGCTCAGCTCATGCTTTAAAGGGACACTCCAACGATAAATAACTTTTTAGTAGATATACCCCTCAATGAACCCTTACGCATTTAATTATGCACTTTTTTTTTTATTGACTATATCTAAAAACTGGCTGCATAAATGGCAGAGATCTGCAGAAACTGCCGGGGCATGATCTATACACCATAACCACTTCATTAAGAAAAAGTTGTTTTGATGATTAGTGTCCCTTTAATGAAGCAAAGTATCAGAACCCAGCACATGGACCTCTGTGTACTTTCTAGACCAGAATAAGGATCACGGACTACATAATACTAGCACACCCTGCGCTACTTTGAGTCTATCTAGAACATTTTTAATTTAATATTTAATGTCTTGGTTTCATTTTTGTATAAATTATCTGAACCGCCTCATACGGCCACCGATTATGGTCTCAAACGAGAGTGCTGCTAGGTTTTCATTGTTCAGCAATTTATGATACACATAAAAGATGGACCCATCATTCAAATTACATCCAATTTTAGACATTTACAAAAAAAATTAAATAAAGTTGAGTTGTATCACTATCCCCAGCATTGTCACAGGTGTATCAATAGCCAGCTTGGGTGGCTAATGTCATTTCTGTGCCAATTTGGGTTCTAACGCCAGCATCCAATGGCTGCACAATCCATCCGCCGTGAAACCTGTGATAGAATTTATCTTGATTCCAAGGCTCAAGCTTATAGGTGTCATATAATGATATCCTATATTAAAATTGGCTAACTTGGACTCAGGAAATGCTTGATGCTTAAACAACACTTAAGACCATATATGTCTAAGTTCCGGGTGCAGAGAGCCCCCACCTAAGATGTCTCTGCTCTAATCATTTTGTTCTCTCTTACCTTGAAACTTATTTGTTATGTGTACATGACGCTCATCCCTATGTCTTATCTGTACTCTCTTCCTATTACTGTTCTAAGAGTATTTGCACGTAAGCACTTACTTTTTAATGTATAAAACTCAGCTGATGAATAAAACGGCGGAGGCTTATTTTGAATACCAACAGGTGTCTGGTGTCTAATTCTCGCTTCTCCAAGTGCACTTGTAACAACAATTTGGGCTTCCTCTGAATATAACAAAGATCAACATTTGGATCCACAACACGCCCATGTCCTCCTTTACATCCGTCCCCCTATGGCAAGGAGGAGTAACATCGGTGGAGGAAGTTAGGGCTCAGGTCTCAAAGGTAAATTAAATAATCACTTGGATGAATCAAGGTTTCTGCCATTTCATTCCATTCAGCGACAACCTGCCTAGTCAAGAGGGTCTCTGTAGAGCGAGATCGAATGACTTCTTTTACTACCCACTAGTAAAAGTACAAAGAATCAGAGCAACACTCCGGTGGAACTCTCTCAATGTTTAGTAAAACACATGGTCCAAAAAAAAAAAAAAACCCAAGTGAATCTGAACTAAATAAACTGCTAAAACAGGAAAAGCTGGAAAGGTGTACCGACAATAAGAAGTTAATAGATTAAGGAATAAAGTCAACAAGGAATCTAAAAACGAATCTCTCTATGTGACGCGATGAATACAGACTCCAGGAATAGGGTTTAACATAAGAACATTCGAGAACCAATCGCTACTTATCTCTATCATTACCGACATCTCAAATACAGGCAATAAAGGGCCATCTAATAAAACGTGTACTTTCATGCAGGCCCCCAAAAACATCGCTCTTGCATGCAGAGAATGAGGCCATAAAATATTAAATTTAGCCTTTTACAATATTCCAAGAATATTTCCCTGCAGAGGTCATTTATTCCTATTACCATAACTGCCCATTAGCAGCTGCTAACATTTTATGGATAAAATTGCTCCAATAAAATACTTTTAGCTAAGAAATAACAGCTGGGATACAGCTGGATAATTTGGGTGGTAAATTCAAATAATGATTTTTGTTTGCCAATTAGGACTAAGAAATAAATTCCAGTGGGTTGGGAGTAGGACCTGACTTTGACTTCATTGGTTCCAACGGCTTTATCGGAGGACGAGAAAGAAACACAGTGGGCGATGGACGTGCATGCTTCGCCAAGTTTTGAGAAGGCGAACGGCGCATTAGAAACTTTACAATATCAATATGTACACTCCAGCTCATAGCGTGTTCATGGAGTGTGTAGATCACATAGAGCAGTGGGCCCCAACACAGTCCCACGTGGACCACCAACAGTCCAGGTTTTGTCAGTATCTCCATTTAAATTAAAAAAAGGGAAATACATAAATCCGGGACTGTTGGTGGTTCATGAGGAATGGGTTGGGAACCACTGATGTATAGGATTCACTCATTGAGAATCAGACTTCAGGGCCACCTTAGATGTATTCTGGTAATTTTGCATCGTGTAATAGACCATATACGTCAACTGCATTGGAAAATATGGATGGTTTTGGAGACATGTGTACAAGTAGGACGGTAGACTTGTTCTATGGCTACACGGACCACTAGATTGCTGATAAAGTTATAGCATTATATACACTGCCCAAAGAGTCAAAATATCTTCTCAATCTTTTACAATAAATGCAGGTCTAACCGAGTAGACTTCATATAACTTTCCCAGACAGGTCTGCCATGATGTTCCCTGAGAAGGATCATCTGTCCCATGTGAAGAGAAAGGCAGGACAAACACATGTGTAATTTATGACCAACAAACATGGATGCTACACTTAATTTAACTATTGGAACGCATTACTGTAGTTCCCAAAGCAGTCAACAGGCTAGGATCTCAGCATTTTCCAATTCAGTGCAGACACAGAACATAACCTGGGTTGATAATGTACTTTGAAGACTGGCTTGGAAACCCCTGGTCTAGGGATTAAGGCCTACAGCATTCTCACACTACATCTTCCATAACTGCAAGCGAAGACCAGAAAATAACTAATAGTTAGAGCTTGGATAAACTGTGAATAATGGCCGAATGTATTGGTCTGCTAAGATTTCAAGTCCATAGGCTGCTGCATGTACATCAATCCATGACAAGTACTATCTGCTACCGCCCATGTCATTACGGTGTCAGGGGGTAATGGCACAAAAGGAGAAAGCCATCATTAGGTGATTACACCTGTTAAAAACTCTATTCCTTTCACTTTCATTGCCAAAAGCAAAAAAAAAAAAAACATTTTGGAAGAAGGCGTTGTAAAAAGACCGCCTGATAGAACAACATTTGTCAAATCCACTGAAAATATTTCAAATGCTGAATGCACGTTCTAGCACGAGTGCATGGGTACATTTCTGCTAGTGTAGCAGTTGTTGTGTAGCTATAGGTCATTCCCTACCAGAGCACCAGTCTGGGGCCTCTCACTCTATTCTTTGGTGTCTGATCATATCCCATAAAGTCATGTCCTCCTGGAGCCTCTCATTCTGCTCTATGGTGTCTGATCATATCCCATAAATCCCTGTCCTCGGTATGTGAACCAGTCTGGAGTCTCATTCTGCTCTATGGTGTCTAATCTTATCCCATCAAGCCCTGTCCTCGGTATGTAAACCAGTCTGGAGCCTCTCACTCTGCTCTATGGTGTCTGATCATATCCCATAAAGCCCTGTCCTCCTGGGTCCTCTCATTCTGCTCTATGGTGTCTGATCATATCCCATAAAGCCCTGTCCTCGGTATGTGAACCAGTCTGGAGTCTCATTCTGCTCTATGGTGTCTAATCTTATCCCATCAAGCCCTGTCCTCGGTATGTAAACCAGTCTGGAGCCTCTCACTCTGCTCTATGGTGTCTGATCATATCCCATAAAGCTCTGTCCTCCTGGGTCCTCTCACTCTGCTCTACGGTGTCTGATCTTATCCCATAAAGCCCTGTCCTCCTGGGTCCTCTCACTCTGCTCTATGGTGTCTTATCTTATCCCATAAAGTCCTGTCCTCAGTATGTGAACCAGTCTGGAGTCTCATTCTGCTCTATGGTGTCTGATCTTATCCAATAAATCTCTGTCCTCGGTATGTGAACCAGTCTGGAGCCTCTCACTCTGCTCTATGGTGTCTGATCTTATCCCATAAAGCCCTGTCCTCCTGGGTCCTCTCACTCTGCTCTATGGTGTCTGATCTTTTCCAATAAATCTCTGTCCTCGGTATGTGAACCAGTCTGGAGCCTCTCACTCTGCTCTATGGTGTCTGATCTTATCCCATAAATCCCTGTCCTCGGTATGTGAACCAGTCTGGAGTCTCATTCTGCTCTATGGTGTCTAATCTTATCCCATCAAGCCCTGTTCTCGGTATGTAAACCAGTCTGGAGCCTCTCACTCTGCTCTATGGTGTCTGATCATATCCCATAAAGCCCTGTCCTCCTGGGTCCTCTCACTCTGCTCTACGGTGTCTGATCTTATCCCATAAAGCCCTGTCCTCCTGGGTCCTCTCACTCTGCTCTATGGTGTCTGATCTTATCCCATAAAGCCCTGTCCTCCTGGGTCCTCTCACTCTGCTCTATGGTGTCTAATCTTATCCCATCAAGCCCTGTCCTCGGTATGTAAACCAGTCTGGAGCCTCTCACTCTGCTCTATGGTGTCTGATCTTATCCCATAAAGTTCTGTCCTACGCATTACTGTAGTTCCCAAAGCAGTCAACAGGCTAGGATCTCAGCATTTTCCAATTCAGTGCAGACACAGAACATAACCTGGGCTGATAATGTACTTTGAAGACTGGCTTGGAAACCCCTGGTCTAGGGATTAAGGCCTACAGCATTCTCACACTACATCTTCCATAACTGCAAGCGAAGACCAGAAAATAACTAATAGTTAGAGCTTGGATAAACTGTGAATAATGGCCTAATGTATTGGTCTGCTAAGATTTCAAGTCCATAGGCTGCTGCATGTACATCAATCCATGACAAGTACTATCTGCTACCGCCCATGTCATTACGGTGTCAGGGGGTAATGGCACAAAAGGAGAAAGCCATCATTAGGTGATTACACCTGTTAAAAACTCTATTCCTTTCACTTTCATTGCCAAAAGCAAAAAAAAAAAAGAACATTTTGGAAGAAGGCGTTGTAAGAAGACCGCCTGATAGAACAACATTTGTCAAATCCACTGAAAATATTTCAAATGCTGAATGCACGTTCTAGCACGAGTGCATGGGTACATTTCTGCTAGTGTGTCAGTATAGCAGTTGTTGTATAGCTATAGGTCATTCCCTACCAGAGCACCAGTCTGGGGCCTCTCACTCTATTCTATGGTGTCTGATCGTATCCCATAAAGCCCTGTCCTCCTGGAGCCTCTCATTCTGCTCTATGGTGTCTGATCATATCCCATAAAGCCCTGTCCTCGGTATGTGAACCAGTCTGGAGTCTCATTCTGCTCTATGGTGTCTAATCTTATCCCATCAAGCCCTGTCCTCGGTATGTAAACCAGTCTGGAGCCTCTCACTCTGCTCTATGGTGTCTGATCATATCCCATAAAGCTCTGTCCTCCTGGGTCCTCTCACTCTGCTCTACGGTGTCTGATCTTATCCCATAAAGCCCTGTCCTCCTGGGTCCTCTCACTCTGCTCTATGGTGTCTTATCTTATCCCATAAAGTCCTGTCCTCAGTATGTGAACCAGTCTGGAGTCTCATTCTGCTCTATGGTGTCTGATCTTATCCAATAAATCTCTGTCCTCGGTATGTGAACCAGTCTGGAGCCTCTCACTCTGCTCTATGGTGTCTGATCTTATCCCATAAAGCTCTGTCCTCCTGGGTCCTCTCACTCTGCTCTATGGTGTCTGATCTTTTCCAATAAATCTCTGTCCTCGGTATGTGAACCAGTCTGGAGCCTCTCACTCTGCTCTATGGTGTCTGATCTTATCCCATAAATACCTGTCCTCGGTATGTGAACCAGTCTGGAGTCTCATTCTGCAACGGTCACTAGTCTAATACTATCCTTACCTTTTTGTGTCATTTTACCCCACTCCCTCTGGCATGTAAGCTCATTGAACAGGGCCCTCAACCCCTCTGTTCCTGTGTGTCCAACTTGTCTGGTTACAACTACGTGTCTGTTCGTCCGCCCATTGTAAAGCGCTGCGGAATTTGATGGCACTATATAAATATCATAATAATAATAATAATAATTCTGCTCTATGGTGTCTGATCTTATGCCATAAATCCCTGTCCTCGGTATGTAAACCAGTCTGGAGCCTCTCACTTGGCTCTATGTTGTCTGATCTTATCCCCCAAAGTCCTGTCCTCCTGGAGCCTCTCATTCTGCTCTATGGTGTCTGATCATATCCCATAAAGCATTGTCCACCATGGGTCTCTCATTCTGCTCTATGGTGTCTGATCATATCCCATAAATCCCTGTCCTCGGTATGTGAACCAGTCTGGAGTCTCATTCTGCTCTATGGTGTCTAATCTTATCCCATCAAGCCCTGTCCTCGGTATGTAAACCAGTCTGGAGCCTCTCACTCTGCTCTATGGTGTCTGATCGTATCCCATAAAGCCCTGTCCTCCTGGATCCTCTCACTCTGCTCTATGGTGTCTGATCGTATCCCATAAAGCCCTGTCCTCCTGGGTCCTCTCACTCTGCTCTATGGTGTCTGATCTTATCCCATAAAGCCCTGTCCTCCTGGGTCCTCTCACTCTGCTCTATGGTGTCTGATCGTATCCCATAAAGCCCTGTCCTCCTGGGTCCTCTCACTCTGCTCTATGGTGTCTGATCGTATCCCATAAAGCCCTGTCCTCCTGGGTCCTCTCACTCTGCTCTATGGTGTCTGATCTTATCCCATAAAGCTCTGTCCTCAGTATGTGAACCAGTCTGGAGTCTCATTCTGCTCTATGGTGTCTAATCTTATCCCATCAAGCCCTGTCCTCGGTATGTGAACCAGTCTGGAGTCTCATTCTGCTTTGTGGTGTCTGATCCTATCACATAAACCATGTCCTCGGTATGTGCACCAGTCTGGAGTCTCATTCTGCTTTGTCGTGTCTGATCTTATCCCATAAATACCTGTCCTCGGTATGTGAACCAGTCTGGAGCCTCTCATTCTACTTTATGGTGTCTGATCATATCCCATAAATACCTGTCCTCGGTATGTGAACCAGTCTGGAGCCTCTCATTCTGCTTTGTGGTGTCTGATGCTATCCCATAAATCCCTGTCCTCGGTATGTGAACCAGTCTGGAGTCTCATTCTGCTCTATTGTGTCTAATCTTATCCCATCAAGCCCTGTCCTCGGTATGTAAACCAGTCTGGAGCCTCTCACTTTGCTCTATGGTGTCTGATCGTATCCCATAAAGCCCTGTCCTCCTGGGTCCTCTCACTCGGCTCTATGGTGTCTGATCATATCCCATAAATGCCTGTCCTCAGTATGTGAACCAGTCTGGAGTCTCATTCTGCTTTGTGGTGTCTGATCTTATCCCATAAACCCTGTCCTCGGTATGTAAACCAGTCTGGAGCCTCTCACTCTGCTCTATGGTGTCTGATCTTATCCCATAAAGCCCTGTCCTCCTGGAGCCTCTCATTCTGCTCTGTGGTGTGTGATCATATCCCATAAAGTCCTGACCTCGGTATGTGAACCAGTCTGTGTGCAGTGATTGGCTCAGCTTCCCCTATCCCCTTCCAGAACTATCAATAAATACATATATTTACAAACAGCTGTAGTTCCAAGGTACGCTCAAGTGCAGTCAGTGTACTCTTTGTACCATCATTAAAACGTAAGAGAGTTAAATAAATTATTAAATGTGATTTAGCCTAATAAGGTAACTTTCTATTAAATTTAATTGGTTCTGAAATAAAACCATTATAAAACAATCATTTACTGATATTTGGAATAATACGACTCCCTTGGATCCTGAAACTAGCTCGGTAGCCTCTCTCCATCTCGTGTATGCGGCAACGAATATTAACTAAAAAATATTAAGAAATCAGATTAAAGGGATTTGCTGAGCCGGACGGAATGTTTGGCCGAAGTTGATAAAAGGGTAGGTTTTACCAACAAACCAAGCGCAAAATGTAATACTTCACGTAGTTCTCTCCTTTAAGATACTGTGACTCCCGGGGCACTTTTCGCACAGGTTCGATTGAAAACATGTGGCCGTTTAGGTCTCCAGCAAAGAAATCCTGAACATAATTGGGAGTTCAGGAGGAAGCATAAATTTTACTGCCATTAGTAACTTCAAGAAAGGCCGATATGACTCCAGCTCATTCATATGATACGACATGTGCTTCTCGTTAGAGACTTTGCCCCGCATGACCTTGCTGTTTTGTATGATTGGTAAGGTATGAATAACTGTGGTTGCCTCTTCTGGAGACAAAAATAAAGAAGATTGCCACACGGTGTACTGTGGATCTCATTTAATTGGATTTCTCCTGGATCCTTGTAGACTTTTTAATCAGAGCTCGTGGTATAAGCACGCCTATATTAAAGCAGAACTGGCACAGGAGAAATTTGGACAGAAACCAAAAAACCAATAAAAAATATCTACGGTTTGTGCAAGGAGTTATTTAAATTCCAGCTTGTTTTTGAATTAATTTCATGTATTTGGTTTTATTGGCACAGCCAGGGCACACTATGTAAATGAAGGTAATAACGCTGTGCCAGGCAGAGTGAGGGAGATATCTCAGTGATGCCAGGCGCATAATGGGTCAATGACTGATTTGGTCATGGAAATCGTGCAGAGGTAAGGGTAGCAGCTCCATTTTAAAATATGGCTAACTACCAGCTGCATATATAAAATTGGAGAATATGGATGCAGTTTAGCATCATCACCTGTGTTTGGCACACGCCTGGGTAATTAGAAATAAGAAGGTTACGCAAAATTCACACCAATTAGGATAATATTTAGATCTTAGACCTGGCATATACAACATGAAAATATTTATCATCCTCCACCCCCACAAAAACAACAAAAAGACAGCCCTTCCCCTTCCTTATTCCAAATTTCATGCACTACCAAGACATTGACTTCAATGCCATTTGCAAGTGAACTGAAAGAATCGTGCTAAATCTTCCCACTGTCCGAGCGATTTCTTTCATTCAAGCCCAATAATGGCTTCTTCCACTCGCAGGTCAACTAAGTGTCCGCACTCTGGGAACGCCACCATGTCTACTATAGGTTCTACACCTCACCAGCAGCGACAGTCCGCTTTAAATCTGGTGTATTCAATCTGGGATTTTCCAGCTGCCATCTATACTTTGGACAGAAGAGATATTCACAAGCTTTGGGTCTTGTATCGCACATTTTAAGTTCGGTTTGTAGTTTTATTTATTTTTAAACCGAACACTTAAAGTACTATGATCACTAAAGTGCGCTGTACTGGTTCTGGTGCAAAAAGAGTCTTGGCATCCCACCATTTAAGTAGTCAAAAAGTTTGACTTTTAACCTTTGGTCTGCCCACCTCCATTCTAGTCACAAGAAAGCTGAAAACTCCTCAGCAGGTATTTCCAATAGCCCAGCAGTGATCACTCTCAGCCAGTACAATCTGGCTGTCGCAAGTAGCGGAGGTTGGAAGCAGCACTTGTCGGACTCCATGTAAGAAGTCAAACTGAGAAATTCATTAGTCTGACTAGGGGTGATTGACAGACAGTGCCCAGTCTGATGATGGAGTGTGTGGTCATACCTCCAGTGGGGGCAGAGCAATGGAAAGCAAGGACTCTCGTTCAGTGTACGACTGCTCAAAAATGCTCTAATAGTGAATGGAGGGGTAGTGCCAGGGCACTTCAGGCACTATAACCACTTCAATAAAATGGAATAGTTTAATACTTAATTGAGAGTCAGTGCTATTGGACTCCAGGCACTATAACCACTTAAATGAGATGGAATGTTTATAGTGCCAAATTCAACATAAAACCAAGAAGGATATTCATCAGAAGTCCTAACGGTGAAACATCACGGTTACTGTCGGCCTCAGACTTCATAGTAAACGTATTGGATTCCTGGCCAGACAGTGCTAACCATCTGTTTAAATGGTGGGCGGCAGAAATAGTTACATTATTCTGCTTCATTTCAGACATCAGACGTCCATAATGAATCTTATTCTTCTTGTCTTCCAGAAGTTACTTTTCACATCTCTTGTCGGACGTTGGTTTCCTGTCCTAGTCTCTATCCGGCCTTCGGTCTAATGGAAGGTTTTATCAGTTCTGTATCCCCTAGGACAGCAACCTGTGGGCCAGGTATTCATCGCGCTACGGAGCTGTTTCATTGTAATTACTACCATCGCAAGGCGAGTAGAACGAGAATGTTCTAAAAGGTTTTAGAAACATGTACATGAATACATTCTAAGTTTAAACAGTGAGGCAGTAAGAAACCAAATTCAGGAGGAAACAGCCACAATGTTTGCTATACTCGAGCCGGAGAATTTATTCAAATCAGCTATTTATTCACTTTTTTGGCCAAATTTTTAAATTCACTGCAAAATCTGTGTTTAAGGTATGAACAGCTGTTTTAAACCACTGAGTACATTCAGAATGTAATCTCCCTGTCTATAAACGGCTGTCTACTAAACCAAGATATCGGAAATTAATACATTTTAACAAGTTTTCAACTATGTGCAAAACTCTGCTGTGTTATTCATAAACCGGATTTAATGTTAAAGATAAACGCACCACTTTGATTAATCGTCTGCAATATTCAAATTAAGCAGCAGATGTCACTGTGAGCCGCAATTTTAAAAAGTGAGATTTATTTAATAATTTTGCACAGCAAAGGTTCTTGGGAGCTGTAGTTCTCCTAACATCTTTCATAGGCAGAGACAAATAATTGCCCTGTGCAGATTTGAGGCAATGCTAGCCAGCTGCACCCCTCACTTTAATTCGATTTTAATTCCAGGTTGTTAAAATGTAATAAGTGACTCTAGAGGCACGCAGACCATTTCTACTCATTGAAGGTGTCTGGGTGCGTTGTCCCAGAACCCTTAACCCTGCAAAGCTTATTATTGCAGTTTCTTTATAGCCACTAGAGCAGGGGTTCTCAACCCAGTCCTCAAGAACTCCCTACTAGTCTAGGAATAAGGGATTACCTGGGTGTGTCTAAGGTGTTTAGGAAGAAAAAATAAAAAATAAAAACACCTTAGACACACCCAGGTACTCCCTAAATCCTGGACTGGTAGGGGGTCCTTGAGGACTAGGTTGAGAACCCCTGCTCTAAAGGGACTTCCAGGCTGTTAGGCGACTTTTGTATAATGCTTTCCTATGTGGAAATCGGCATGCGATCGTGGCTATTGCCGTGCATGCGCATTAAGTCTCCCTAGTGGAGCAGATGTGGACCAGAGCCAGCGCCGAGGGACATCGTCGCTAAACCCAGAGAGGTGGGTGGAGGTATGCACAAAAGGGAGCTATTTTGTTTTATTTTTTAAACACTATCTATACAATGCATTTAACAATGCAGGTTTACTTCCGACTTGGACTGCCCCTTTCACTAATTATTAAGGCTGAAATGGTACCGTGGGGCATTGTATGTCAGACCCTACAATATAATGGTAAATACGGCAAATCACCAAAAGACATTTTAAAGAAAAATGGAAAGTACGGTCGCTTTCAGACATAACTTCCCCTACTACGTGTTGTAATTTAGGCAAAAATCTATGAGGGGGATAAGGGAACAACGAGGTGATAATATGATTGACAGTTTGCTCCTGGTGAATTCCAGTCACAATGAGCAAGGCTTCACATATCAGTAAGGAAAGTTAAAAGGGAACACACACTTTTTTATAGAAATGCCACCAATTAATAGATCACATTTAAAGAAAAAATAAACACTACATAAAAATCCCCTCTAAGGCTTGTGTTAACCTTTTTTCATATATTTTTTTGTAATTTATATTAAGTATTTAGCAACTAAAGGGACACACTTTATGGACCCAGACCAGTTCAGCTCATTGACGTGGTCTGGGTGCAGTGTCCCAGGTCGGGCTAAGTTCCACCAACAGGGGGCCACGATGGACGCACCCACTTGCAGGATAAAGAGCTGTTGATTTCTTTCTCCGATCACACAAATATTTGGCCAATTACAGGTCGCAAGCCAATAAAATATTAATAAAGTGACGTTCCCCTTTAGAGTGAGACATGCATTTATGAAATCCGTCCAATCTCAGACAAATCACAATAGTACCTAAGAGTACGGTGAGCTTGGGAAGAAGTCCTGCCTGCACCATCTTGTTTCGCAAGCCTGTGTCAAACGACAGATTGAGAAGAAGTCGCAGGGTGATGTTCAGCAAATCCTCGTGTTCGCAAGGCACCATTTGGGACAGTTTTTCAATGATATTCATTTCAGCCTGGGGACAATAAAAAAAAATTAAAAAAATCATAACTCAAACAACAAACTTCATACTGAAACATAAAATCTCTAGACAGGAATTCCTTCATTCCGAGAGAAGGACACAGAAATGCCGGCAATGGATTTTCTATGGTTACCAGCAATATTAAATTCGATGTTACAGTGCCACAAATTTACAGACACAGATTTTGGTTTGTCGTTACTGAGAGGGCAATGTTAATCCCTTAACCGACTCACTTACCTTTCACAAGTAAGTACAAGGTTTTTCACGATTTGCAAGGGTTACTTACAGCACCGTGACCACGGTCATAGCGCTTGCACGGTTTCAGTTTGACATATTGCACATAAAAAGAGTTAAAGTAGAAAGTTAAAGGAGGTGCGTTAGCCAGTCTGGAATATTATGTTCATTCTGTGCATATTTGGCGTTTGACCCTCATCGGTAATGTGTAGCTGATAATGGCTAAACTTAGGTAGAAGCTTGGCAGGGGACGTGCCTTCTGAATTACCAATGTGTCACAGAACAAGAAAAATCTTATTATCTGAAGAGAAGTAGGATGGGTGTCAGAGGTTTTGGGCAGACTAGATGGGCCAAATGGTTCTTATCTTCCTTCATCCGGTCTGTGGGGTTTTATATAGGTCCCTCATCCAAAAGATGGAACAATCCTGAAACACTGTAAACAGATATATTTTACCATTTACAATATTACTCACGAATGTTTCCTCTTGTTTAGAAGCATTGATCATTAGAGCCCCCATTGATTTTATTTAAAGCCCCGGACGTGGTCTGGATGCCTTGAGAGCTCCATTTAATATTCGCTCCTTTTTATCACCTGATTTTATACATATTTCGGTTCATACTGACATTACGCTATGAAGTTCACATCAAAACATAGTTATCTATGTATCTACTACTATAAACAAAAAATCCCATGTAAGACGAATTATTGTAAATTCTTGGAACACATGCGGCTTGCAAACCGATAAGCCAACTTCATGTTCACAGAATATGAATATATATAAAAAAAATAATAATATCCCAAGAATGCGTGCAATACAAATTCCAATAGAAGAGCGTGGTGTGCTAAGACATATTTAATATAAAATCAGCGACTTTAGAATAATCTCATATTATGTTGGTTTATAATACGCTAATAAAATCATTGGAGCGGACAAAGCCAGATGGATAAAGGACATCTGGAGTCCAGGACACGCTACGAAAATTAATAGCAACGGTATCACCTTGGTAGGGGATCAACGTCCAACAATAAAAACATGGCACATGCATATATCGTTAGAATAATAATAATAAAATAAAATGTTTCACGCAGTACTTTAATTGAGGACTAAATCAAATCTAAAAATACCAACAGAGTGAAAAACTAAAAAGAAGGATTTATGAAGCAGTGTCGCTGTTGTAAGAGTATCTTTGGTTTATAGAAGGGATGGAGCAGATATTCCATTAGAGAGGGGGGCAGGGGGGGATTTACAGGAACACCCCTTAGAATTCATTTTCCCCCGCATGTTTTTTATGGGGTAAAAAAAAACGTCCCCCGTCCCCCCTTTACCAGAGACTGCGTATTATGCATGCAATAGCTTCTTTCCAAAGCTGACTAGTAATACAGCTCATTGAGAAAGGAGGAAGGAAGGTGGGCTCTCCCTAAAGTGCTTTACTTATTCAAATATTGCCATCCACATAGTACATGTACCCGTCATGGTTAATACTAACACTATGTGGGGAAATACACAGAAATTCGCTATGTTGGCCACAAGAAATGGCAAAACATAAAAAAACAAAAATTAAACAAATTTGACAAATTGAATACATTTAGCCATAAACTCAACAAAGTTAGTCCTGCTTGGGGGAAGTGTCCACATGCCGGCCAACTGGCTAGTAACGAAGCAGGAAACCATGAGCAGAAAGCCTGGTCTGGTGGAGACGCTGGGCAGGAGGTAAGTGTCACGGACCCGGGGTTGCATATTACAAGGTGCCTTCATTATTTAAATTATATGGACACATTGGAGCTGAGTGTTTTGGTGGGGATAAGGGTTGATTTCAGCAAGAAAAACAAGGAATTATGGGACTTGATGGAGAACCGTATTTACTGTAAACTACCTTACTGTATGCAATAAAGGCAGTTCTGTTTAGCCCCTGCATGTGTTCGACTCATGGTGTGGGGTGTAGGCTAGAATCATTAGCTATATTTCGCCTCGAATACTTTGAGCGCCCCCCAAGAAGAAGTGACGTGGGTCCTGAGCCGGAGAACCAGCAGGCTGTTACAGTAAGTATGTATGCAATGAAATATATGGTTTATGATAAATTCGATACTATTTCAAGAAAGTTAGAATGTAAAATGTCACAAGTTTTTACAGTATGTCGTACTGTGAAACCAATGCCATGAGGACATTCATTCAATGTCAGTTCTCTTACTATCAAACAGATTCAAATCTCTACTATGTGAGAGGAGTCTAAAAATGGATTTGGGGATGTATCAGAAAGGGGATAGTATTAAGAAGTTACAGTTACAGGTGCATTCATGGAATTAAACAGACATTATAGGCACACAAAAAAAACATTAGCTTAATGAAGCCGTTTTGGTGTATAGATTATGCCCCTGCAGTCTCACTGCCCAATTCTCTGCCATTTAGGAGTTAAATCACTTTATAAAGCTCTAGCCACACCTCTCCTGGCTGTCAATCACACAGCCACCCTATACACTTCCTGTTGAGAGAGATCTCCTGTTTAAACTTCCTTTATTGCATACAGTGTCGCAATTTCAAATTTCAACTAATATTTGGTAGAAATTGCTGCTAGAAACAGCAGCATCATCCTTGTGTGATTATTGTTGTATGGAAACACAATTCCTTTAAAAAACACATTTTCAGGCTTTTTTAAACACAGCAATTTACATTTGACTGAACGAAGTGGTGGTAAATGAACCCCAGCTAATGACCATTCTCCCATCCAGTAATCTCACCATATCATTCTTGTTCTCTAGAAATATGCTGAGTTTCTTCAGAAAGGAGACCACGAGTATGAGAAGTTCAAAGTTCTCCCTGTCCAGAGCCTTGACTAGCATGTGTACAATGTTCTTATTTCTCATCTTTAATTCCGTGCGAGTGTCCTCCGCCAGGTTCAGCAACAGATACAGGGCCACTATAGAGGGCAATAGAAGGGATCTTACAGCATATTATTTGCACTTTGGGAAAGATAAAGACAACCCCGCAAAAAAAAAAAACAGACTCTACATTGAAAATAACCTTCCTTTATAATGCATCATAGAACTTAAAGGAACACTAATGTGTATTCCTGACCTCCATCTAGACAACCATCCCAATAACTCCAAACTCACCTTATTTCAAGCACCGCACTGGCTCCTCCCCCGATATGCCTCTTGGCTTCCAAGGAGAAGGGGTGGAGCCAAACTCCACCCTGGCCACACAGAATCTTCTCATAGAGATGTATTGAATCAATGTATCTCTATGAGGAAAGTATAGCGCCTTCAAGCACAGTGTGCAGCACAGCTCCAGGAAGCACCTCTAGTTGCTGTTTGATACGTTGCCACTAGAGGTCTTCCTAGGCAGAAATGTAAACACTGCCTTTTCTCTAAAAAAAAAAAAAAATGGTGTCAGGGACAGGCTATAGACAACAGTACAACTAAATTAAGTTGTATACCGTTCATTAAAGGACCACTATAGTCACCCAGACCACTTCAGCTCAATGAAGTGGTCTGGGTGCCTGGTCCCTCTAGTGTTAACCCTGCAGCTGAAAACATAGCGGTTTTAAAGAAGCCGCTATGTTTCACTGAGGGTTAATCCAGCCTCTAGTAGCTGTCTCACTGACAGCCGCTAGAGGCGCTTTCGCGGCACTCAATGCAAAAATCGCATTGAGAACGCATAACGTTCATAGGAAAGCAGAGTAGGAGTAATGCTTTCCTATGGGCGTTGCTTTCCTATGGGCGTTTTTAATGCGAGTGCGCTGCTCTGGCCGTGCATGCGCATTCAGCTCCAGTCGGGAGCTGACGTCGGAGGGGGAGGAGAGGTTATCAGCGCAGAGGGAGCCCGGCACTGGATTCAGATAAGTGGCTGAAGGGGTTTTATCCCCTAAGGGAGGGGGACCCCCCCTAAGGATTATATGGTGTCAGGAAAAAGGGTTTGTTTTTCTGACACTATAGAGGTCCTTTAAGCTGTAAGCTTCAAACAAAGTTTATTAAAAAATTAATTTGACCCCTTAACCCAGCAGATGCTATATAAATGGACACTCCAGACCCCTAAAGCAAGTTACTTGCTGAAAAGCTGTATGTGTGAAGAGTGTGTCTTATTTTTTCATTTTACAAAAGTGCAGATTTCAATAGAAATTGTCACTTTTACAAATGAACCTGGTTACACCCACTGGCTGTCAATCAGACAACAAGTCCTGTTACTTCCTGGTTTGTTTATGTAGCGGATGGCACTGGGCTGTCCTGCAAATGTCTTTTGAATAACTGCATTCGTGTGATCTGCTGGTTTTCTATGTGTTTAAAAGAACTGTATTCCTCTGATTGTTCGGTAGTTTTATTCCCTTAGTTCATTCGAATGAAACTACCGAACAACCAGACCCCCCTGTGTGAAGTGTGTCCTCAATTACCCATTGCAACATTGTTGCGAACGGGTAATTGCCTAGTAAGTAGCCGTCCTTTGTTCTCGGGGGTGGCCGCCATTCGACAAACGAACACGTGGCGGCGGCCATTTTAAAACTCCCGAACAGCAGTGTTTTGCCGTCGAGTGTCTGGAACTCAAATCGGACACTCGAGTAGGCGAACACCGCTGAGACCTCCACAAGCCCGGTCCGTTCGGTTCCTAACTACCGAACGGCCCCTCGTTCGGTAGATAGAAAGAACCGAACGAGGGGATTCAGGCGAACCCTCCCTAGCCTCTATAGCTAGAGGCTTTCGTGTATTTTATTCCCTTATGCCAGGACCGACCGCAGGGCCCATTCGCATGGAACCTTATTCGGCTATCTCAGTTAGTGCGGTCGGTCATTTTATTCCCTCCATACATTTCCCGAACCCCTGGTCTGATCTGGGTGATTTTTGGATATGTTGTTCACCCAGATCAGGGGTATCCGGGGATGTAGGATTTAAAGAGGTACCCCTACGTTTAGGGGTACATCCAGAAACGGGGGGAATTACTGTACTGGATAAGGGGATTATGATGCTGGCTGAGGGGAGGAGATGTGTGGGAGGTTACCAGGACAGGATTGGCTACTGTAATAATGAGTGTAAATCCCTCCCTTGCATGGGAGCAGGCTTTAAAAGGAGACTGTGGATTAAAGCTTTCAGTTCTGCTCCTGAAACTGTGTGTCGTCCAGTTATTGGGATTGCTGTGGGGATATTGCTGTATTTTACCTGCTGGAAGCCTTGCCTGTGGATTGACTATTTACTTGTTCCTGAGCCTCACTTGGATTATAAGCGGAGATAACCTGGGTAATATTGCATCTCCGCTACAGTTTAGCTCAGTGAAGCAAACCTTAAGAGGCAGCAGAGCTCCTGCCTTGCAAAGACTTCTCATTGAGCTGCATTGGGAAGTCTGTGATTGGACAGCCACAGAAAGTCTGGGCGGGGTTAGAAAGGGAGGGCTTGCAAAGGCTGCAGACAAGAGATCTACAGGTATTATAAACTGTTGGTAGATATATCCCAATGACAAAATGTATAATAAGTCTTCATTTCAGGAATATTTACTAAACAGTGATCTTTGTTAATTTTGTATTTGGGGATTGGAGTGCCCCTCCAAGTACTTATTGGGGTGAGTAAGTATAAAGCTCCCGCAATGCACGGGGGCTGTGTAGAGAATTGCAAGGCATTATTACCACCAGCAAAGTATACATTAAGGAAAAATCCCACTAGTGCAGAAAATGATTCCACGTAAAGAGGAGCTCACCTCGTAGAAGCTGTTCTTGTTTAACAAGTAACCCTTGGTATTTCTTATAAGTCTTCTCATATTCCTTTTTCAAAGTCTGATTATCCGGTTCATCATCAAGTGATCAGATCAGTTAAGGAGAATTGGTTCTGTGATTACATAGTTCTAGATGAGTATGTGAATGGTGGTTAAGAGACTGCCGTCCGTCGGCTAGCTAGCATTACTATTAGATCTACTCAGATTTTACCGTAAATGAACGTAGCCAAAGGTTCTCATATATCCATCTAGTCAGAGGGGGTCTTACTTGGCATGCATACACAGTGCACGTACTTGTACAGTTATAGAGTTAAGGACATAGGAGAAAGGGTAGATCTGAGTGAGGGTCCAAGGCCTCCCACAGATCGGGCCCTCACTGTGGCTACTGGCATGAGGCAGAATGTCTCCTTAGCCACAGATCCAGCGGGGGCAGGGTTGCGTGCAGTCTAGTAAACTAATTTGGTGTGAAACTATTCAAAAATGTTTAATGAGGAACAATGGAACTTCAGGTACCATAACCACTTGAATGACATGAGATTGAGAAAACATTTGCAATATCAGGTGGCAGTTACCAAGGCAAGGTATTACCAAGCTTTTAAAAAAAAAAAAAAGAAAAAGAAAAAATATATATATTCATTCACAGGACAAAAAACAAATAATCTTGAATAATTTAAAAGACCCCAATATGAAACATGGATATTCTGGAACAGAAATTGACAAGGGGAATGGACGATTTTAGTTACGAAGAAAGGCTAAAAAAAAATCTGAAAATATCTCAAAGGGATATGGTAAATTAGAAAAATACATCCAGGACCAATACAAAATGTTCTCTACTAATCTGTCCAATAATAAAACTGTAAATAGGACACGGGGACACTCACACTTGGGAGGAAAAAAGGAGATTTCACTTAAAGCAGAAGAGTGGGTTCTTCACTGTGAGAACAATAAAGATATGTTTTATTGTGTCAGATTCTGGCCAGATTTAGGTCAGGATGGAAATCTCTTCAAATTGGGCATTTCACTTTTTTTGGATCAGCGGGAAGATGTGCGAAAGGCTCACCATGCTGAAGGTGCATATTTTCCAGACTAGATAACTATGTAACAATGTAAAATATAAGCCATAGTTACACATGGCCAAGTCAAGATGTCACACAGCAAGCAAGATTGACAGATTCTTAACCCATGAGCGTACGCACGTTGGAACGTAAGAAAACCCACAGTGTGTTTGAAGCAGATTTCAAAATGATTTTTTGGACACACAGAATTACAAAGACCCGGCATTTCTCTCACATTTCCCCCAAGTTAAACAGCTTACAGGCAGCTCGCAATGTATTTAACATTTTAATCATCAAGCCACAAGACTGCAAGGAAGGCCAGCAAGTCTTCTCCTTGACGTTTCCCCAGAGCCTTGTTTTAGGGTCTTTTTGTAAAACCTCCCTAAGCAATGTCATTTCATGTGGGGAGTAAAATGTTATAGAGTGGTAAAATAATGCTATTAACTGGGGAAGAACAAAAACAGAACTTCTAAGATGCTAACAGGGAAGGAAGAGGCCAAGAATAGTCTCCACCAATCGGGAGCACCTCAATATGGTCTATAGGGGGTCTATCCTGCAGCAGGAGTTTAACCCCCAATATTATATGGGAACAGAATATTCCGATAGGTGCAGCCTACTGTGCGTGACTTCCAGGGAGAGAGGAAATGAATGCTCTGATCTTGTTAAACAAAGGATATCGGATCGTTTCTTCTTGGACAATTCTTCTTGCCAAAGCTCGTGTCTCTTCAACTCGTGATCAATGATGTTCATGCAGAGTGCGCCAATTTTATAATGCGTGATCAACCCATGGAACTGAGAAAAACTAAGAAGGAAAATAAAGTGTAATTATAAATTCTAATCTTTCTTCATAGATGTGACATTTAAAAAAAACAAAAAAACATCTCTCTGCCACCAGTACAGCTGGTGGTCAATGGAACGCTTCTCGATTGCACAAAGAAAGCAATCTCCTTACATTTTGAAGAATTAGAGGGACTCTCCAGACCCCTAAAGTACGTTATCTGGCTAAAAAGCTTTTTTAAAATGCGTGTCATCTTTTTTCTTTTTACCAAAAGTCTTCAATAGGAATAATCACTTTTATAAATGAACCTGGTTACACCCCCCAGACTGTCATACACCCGGTCCTGTTACTTCCTGCATTGGGTAGCTCATGGATCTAAACTCAAAAGACAGCAATTGAAGAAGCCTTCAAAGAGTCCTCAAATCCGTGTATTGTTGAAGTAGTATGCAAAAAAAAAAAAAAAAAGGATAAAACTGAATATAGTGCATAGTGGGTTTTTTTTCCCTAAAAAAAAAAAGCCCCGTCTGTGGAAACGCGTTTTATGCTGTGTATTTTTTTTATTTTTGTCTTAAACTAGTTTTTTTTTTTGGCTACACTTGGACCTTCCTGATTTTATCCTTCAACATTTTAACCGGAGGATTCACATGTATTTCCTTGGTGGGGAAGATACTGCCTACGCTGTATGGGATTGAGCATTCCTTTTATTACTTTTATCTCAGCTGCACAGAGAGCACTATATTCTGTTTTATTTTTATCCTATATGCTAGTGAATTCTTAATGCCATAACGCTGCACATTGGGAGAAAAGATTCCTTACCGCTTGACATGAAGAGTAACTGATTGGCCTGGAGAATCTTCCTGTAAGGATCGGGACAATCAACACGTGGATATTATACCACCCACGCGCATACATCTGGAGAGGATCATAAACTCCAGGAAATTGTAGGTGTTACTCAATTGAATTCATCAGTTTCCAAAGATACTGCACTAGATTCCATTGTTATCCTCTTTTCTTGCATACTACCTCAACAATTTACAGATTCGAGGACACAGAACGCGCTGCTTCACTACATCCCTTTTTATTAATGATTATTCAGTTCAAGTGAGAAGAACCATTTCCATTTGCCTATTTTAGACTAGAATATAAAATTAACGTTAAATTTCATTGTGTCTCATTAATTAGCCAACATTGGCCTTAAAAGTTACTGGACGGTCAGTGGCACACCTACAAGGGGTAAGAGTTCACTCACCAAAGGCTAGTGGAGAGTGGAAATGCGTACATTTATATATTATTTGGTATTCAGTCATCTATTTCTCACAAATAGGAAGCTTTCCAAATGGTTTATCTACAGAATTACCAAATGAAGTCTATAGGAATTTGTGTAGATAAATCATTTGGAGAGTTTATTAAACCGAGGTCTATGTGTTTATATCTGTATTTACCCGGGTAAGGTGAGAACGCAGGACAAATATCTGGATCAGATCGCTTGCCTTATATAAACCGAGGTCTATGTGTTTATATCTGTATTTACCCGGGTAAGGTGAGAACGCAGGACAAATATCTGGATCAGATCGCTTGCCTTATATAAACCGAGGTCTATGTGTTTATATCTGTATTTACCGGGTAAGGTGAGAACGCAGGACAAATATCTGGATCAGATCGCTTGCCTTATATAAACCGAGGTCTATGTGTTTATATCTGTATTTACCCGGGTAAGGTGAGAACGCAGGACAAATATCTGGATCAGATCGCTTGCCTTATATAAACCGAGGTCTATGTGTTTATATCTGTATTTACCCGGGTAAGGTGAGAACGCAGGACAAATATCTGGATCAGATCGCTTGCCTTATATAAACCGAGGTCTATGTGTTTATATCTGTATTTACCCGGGTAAGGTGAGAACGCAGGACAAATATCTGGATCAGATCGCTTGCCTTATATAAAACGAGGTCTATGTGTTTATATCTGTATTTACCCGGGTAAGGTGAGAACGCAGGACAAATATCTGGATCAGATCGCTTGCCTTATATAAACCGAGGTCTATGTGTTTATATCTGTATTTACCCGGGTAAGGTGAGAACGCAGGACAAATATCTGGATCAGATCGCTTGCCTTATATAAAACGAGGTCTATGTGTTTATATCTGTATTTACCCGGGTAAGGTGAGAACGCAGGACAAATATCTGGATCAGATCGCTTGCCTTATATAAACCGAGGTCTATGTGTTTATATCTGTATTTACCGGGTAAGGTGAGAACGCAGGACAAATATCTGGATCAGATCGCTTGCCTTATATAAACCGAGGTCTATGTGTTTATATCTGTATTTACCCAGGTAAGGTGAGCGCGGGACAAAATATCTGGATCAGATCAGCTTGCCTTATATAAACCCGAGGTCTATGTGTTTATATCTGTATTTACGGGTAAGGTGGGAAGCAGGACAAATATCTGGAAAGCTTGCCTTATATAAACCGAGGTCTATGTGTTTATATCATTTGCAGGTAAGTGGGAGGCACAAATATCTGGATCAGATCGCCCATATAAACCGAGGTCTATGTGTTTATATCCGGGCAGGAGAGCGCCAGGACAAATATCTGGAAGATACTTGCCTTATATAAACCGAGGTCTATGTGTTTATATCTGTATTTACCCGGGTAAGGTGAGAACGCAGGACAAATATCTGGATCAGATCGCTTGCCTTATATAAACCGAGGTATGTTTGGTTTCTGACAGCCCAGGTAAAGTTAGATACAGATGAAGCACGGTGTGAGAGGATATGACAGATTTTATGTGTGTTTTTATGTACTATGGAAATCCTTCATTGCTTTTTAAAGAGTGTCGTCAATCAATGTTTTTTTGCCATGCAGTTTTATAACGAAGGACCCTGTAGGTTTTTTCCGGTTACTTTAAGGGTTATTGAAGCAGACACTTGGTTGTGATTGGATCTACATGACATATGGATCAGTCTTGTGTTTGTATATCTATGGTAAAGGAGCGTCACCATTTCTTTCAGCCTCCGTTCCCACATTCTGTTGCTTTGCCAGGTTTATAGAGTGTTGGGGCCGGCGCGTTTTACGACTGACATTTAGGGAGGTTGCGGAATCTTACCTGGAGAAACAGAAGTAGATATAAATGATGTTGGTTGCGAGCTCCACGCTCTGCTTCCAGTCTTCTCGCAGTACTCTGGCCAACGCACCCAGTGCGGTCTCTGTATGACACAAAACAAAAAACAATGTCATGGTTACAATATAAACACACAATAAAGTCAAAACTTGATATTACACAACAACGGGCATCACATTTTAACTTCTTGTTTTATAAAAAAACTAGTACATTTAAAGAAACCTAATGATTATTTTAAAGGAAATACATGGACTTTTTTATATATTTTTTTTTCTATAAAATGTCACATTATGTGCCTGAGCAGCCATGTTGGCTTAGACTCTACTGTTATCTGACCAACTGCTGCACAGCCTAACTTGCAATCACACAGAGCTATCACAGCCGCATTGACCTGAGTGGGCACTTCGAGTGGCACCAGGCTGTGTGTCTCCTCTGCAGCCTCACAGTGTTTAAAAAATTTCCGTTCTCTTCTGCGATTGCAAGCCCTCCCCTTCTGATCCCACCCAAACTTTCTGTGGCTGTCCAATCACAGACTTCCCAATGCAGCTCAATGTTTTTTCCAATTGTATTAATTCTAAAGAAAAGACCGTGCCTTTTCCATAACAGAGTACACCCAACGTATTGAGAACATGAATGTACATAATCTGAGCAGACTGACATTAAATTACCATTATGCAGCAATTCTTCCAGATTGTCAGGGTTACGCGCCAACTGCAGGATCAATGCTGAACCTCGGACTTTATCGGCAATATCTTCATACAAAAGTTCTATGTATTCATCCATATCGTTAATATTAGCGATTTCGTCAATCTGGGGAAAATTAAATAAATGGTTATGGCAAGATCGATTTGTTTAGTCAAGTCAAAAAAAGTTGATGGTCTGACATTTCAACTTCTCGTCAATTTCCTTGGCATTTAGATGCTCCATCTTATGATGCTGAATGATGGGATAGAATAAAATAATGTAAACAGTGAAATGGGCAGTGAGACCATGTCAAGACCCAGGTACATGACAGCCGTGTGCCAAAAAGTATTAACAAAACAGAACTCATGGGCATATTTTTGCGTTCCCATTTCGAAAGGCAGCCCTGGACATGGCCTTCTGGCTTACCTCGGTGCCTTCAAAGGGTGGAGGGTCCTTCGGTTTGGCGGAAGTCTTTTCTTTTTTTTCTGTCAAAGAAAAGGAAATATTAGGATCAAAGGTCATCTATTTGTTCATGGTCTGAAACCCATGTTGGCTCATTTGCTGTCAATATGAAGATTTTTAAGAATTATATAAATGCAGTAAATCTTAAGCCCAGGCTCGCCCGCCTCCTTCGGCACAGTGGGGTATATAAGGTTAGTAAATCTCTTTATTCAATGGATACAGGGGAGGGTTCAATAATCTAAATAGCTGGTCTAGTAGTGTTAGAAAACATGTTTGTATCCTTAATGTTAGTGTTCCTTTACGGTACTTTCATAAATAAAAATCCTACGGTCAATTATATCACTCTCAAAAAACGGTCAAGGAGATAACTTGCCCAGTGACGGACGAAGGCGAATGACATTTGTGGCAAAAGTGACCTCGCCACTGTTTTTTGGAGGGGCCTGTTTGCCAGCCTCCTGCCCTGTGACTATGGCCCTAGGATGTATTGTCCTTTAACCCCTTAAGGACCAAACTTCATGTCATGTGTCCTTAAGGGGTTAAGGAACTGATTGTTTTTAATTACTTCGGAGCAGTATTGCAACTTTAAATTGGCACTTCGGATACAGCCTAAGTAGTCGAAGTGGCCGCGGCCATTTTAACTCATTCGAACGCGGTGTGTGCAGCCAAATCTATGGAACAGTTTTCGGCTACCCAATTGCACGAACACTGCTGACCCGTACCTTCTACTCTACTTCGACACTGCGGCTGGAGACGAAGTCCCGTTTGAAGATTCGAACGCTTGTTCGAATGGGACTTAGTCATTTTCTCAGTGTAAAATTGACAGACCGCACAGCCCAAATTTATGGAACACTTTTGGGCATGAAAATGTGTGTGCGGTCGTTTATAAAGGACTCCCAGTTAACTTTTTAAATACTGGAGGGATTTGTATGATTTTTGAGTATGTTTATGTTTAAAGTATGCTGATTCTGTAAATGTATGTATGTATGTATGTATGTATGTGAATGGCATGTATATTTTGGAAGTTATTAATATTTTGTAAAAACTGTATATTTTCTGCCTGTGATAATTAAGTTAGTCTATTGTGTTGAGATAATTGTATCACAGGCAGAGGGGAGGATTTTGTGTGTAATTGCTGGGAGTGTCTAAGAGTATTGTACGTGTTGATTGGTTGTTTTGCAAAACCCTGTGGGCAGTACTATGTGTACAAAATGTGCATAAAAGCAGAGTGTCTGATTAAAAGCTTCAGTTCTTCTTCACCCTCAATCTAGAGCCCTGTCTCTTATTGGGGGAATTGCGATATTACTACAAGGGATTGCTATTCTAGGCATACTGTCTTGCTAAATCACTACTAAGCTCTTTTAAGAGCTTGTCCCATTCTTAGGAGTCTATGGTGGTTATGGTGTTGGCTGGAGTGCTTGGAGCCCTCGGGAAGCACTAGGAGCATCCAATAACGGAGGTACCCAGTCTGGGTGCCAGGCGATCCGTTAAAACATTGTAGTTGACAAACGAGGTAGATAAACTGGACAGTTGCTGATGCAGGTCAGTTATAATTTAATAAAATAGTTAGCAAATGACACTGACTGGGTTGACTAGGAAGCATTCCTCCGAAATCATTGAAGGGGTTCCCACATTTAACATCAGATTCTAAAGCGACCACCACACCATGGACACAGGACTAACGTCAATCAGGGATCTATCGATATGTCAGGGCAAAAAGGGTTTTCACCCAAGCAGCCAAGTGCTTTGAAGCCTGCTTTATCTTTATAATAAATAAAAAGAGGTTTTATGCTGGAATGCCTACATCCCATTTAAAAAAAGTTTTTTTAAAAACAGAACGAACACACACACACACACACACCTATTTACTACTTTAAAAAACCCTGTAATTTGAAATTAAAGCTACACGGTCACCCCCGCTGAAATCATGAGTATTTAAAGAGATAGAATCTTTATGAAATACAAATTTTTACTGTGTTGGTATTCCAGTGAAACTCCAACCCCGGAGTTGGCTCTATTTAATACACCTGACACTCCAACGCACTGGGCGGAGTTAGCAACGTCTACAAGTGTCAATCCCGCCCAGCCAGGAATTGGCTCTGTCTATTTAATACACCTGACACTTCAACGCACTGAGCGGAGTTAGCAGCGTCTAGGTAACGGCATTCCAAGGCATAAAAGTGGTTAAACCGCCGTTTAGATAAAGATCTTCACAGGCACAGCTACCGCAGAACACCAAACTCCCGAACTGAAACCTCACGAATAGCTGCTAGCAGACGAACAGGAAAAGCACCCAAGTGGCTTACACTCCTGGCAATCAGTCTCTAACAGCATACAGTAAATCCCCCCAAAGATGAGACAGAGCTCCGTGTTGAGGGGGTCAAGCAGTGGTCTGGTTTATTCAGGGCTACCTGCCCAGTATTTATGCAGGTCTCCCACCTGGGGACCAGATGGAAGACTGTGACCAAAAGGATACAGTAGCCAATCACATACAACACAGTCAAACACTCCCACAGTGACATCACAATCCCTCCTCTCCTGGAGATAATTGGGAAGTAATCAAATTATCTCCAAGGACAGAGGCAAAACTCCATTAAGCACATGGCCGTAAAAAGACAGTAAAATACAATAAAATACACAAGGTTACATTTATTACATAAAATACAGACATGCAACATTTCCCCAGATTGTTTAGGTCTGAGCGCACATTAATACTGAATGGCGCTCAGAGCACACACATACAGTTCAATTGCCATTGAGCCAAAGTCTTTTATTACACGAATAGGCTCCATGGCATAGCTATCTGGGTTAAATGAGTTCATTCAGTAAATCCGTGAATGAACCGGCCACGTGTGAACTGCAGACTGCTGCCATCCAGTGTTCAGTATGCGTAGCAGCGGCTACACGGTATAGTCAATTAAGTTGCGGTCAATTGACGGCACACGCCGGCTTCTGGGCGGCCAATTAACGGCGCCTGCCAGCTAACCGCGGCTCCTGGGAGGCCAATAGACGGCTGTTTGTTCGGTAGATAAAATCTACCGAACGCCCGGGCAGAAATACATGAATAGACCTTTCTGCATAGGAAAATAAAGTATTTAAATGCCGGTCCATAGTCAAAAGGCAGCAGGCAGGCAACCAGGCTCCTCCAATGCACAGTGGCGAGATTGGTCTCATCACAGTCTACAAGTGTCAATCCCACCCAGCAGGGAATTGGCTCTGTCTATTTAATACACCTGACACTTCTAGGCACTGGGCGGAGTTAGCAACGCCTACAAGTGTCAATCCCGCCCAGCCTGAATTAGCTCTATTTAATACACCTGACACTTCTAGGCACTGGGCGGAGTTAGCAACGCCTACAAGTGTCAATCCCGCCCAGCCTGAATTAGCTCTATTTAAAGGACCACTATAGTGCCAGGAAAACATACTCGTTTTCCTGGCACTATAGTGCCCTGAGGGTGCCCCCACCCTCAGGGACCCCCTCCCGCCCGGCTCTGGAAGGGGGAAAGGGGTAACACCTTTTCAGCGCTGGGGAGAGCTCTCCTCCTCCTCTCCGCCTCCGATCCGCCCGCCCGGCTGAATGCGCGGCAAGAGCTGCTTGCGCATTCAGCCTATCGCGCTAGGAAAGCATTTACAATGCTTTCCTATGGACGCTCGTGCTCTCACTGTAAAAATCACAGTGAGAACGCATAAGCGCCTCTAGTGGCTGTCAATGAGACAGCCACTAGAGGATAGGGGGAAGGCTTAACCCATTCATAAACATAGCAGTTTCTCTGAAACTGCTATGTTTATGAAAAAATGGGTTAACCCTAGCTGGACCTGGCACCCAGATCACTTCATTAAGCTGAAGTGGTCTGGGTGCCTAGAGTGGTCCTTTAATACACCTGACCGTTCTAGGCACTGGGCGGAGCTAGCAACATCTACAAGTGTCAATCCCGCCCAGCCTGGAATTGGCTCTATTTAATACACCTGACCGTTCTAGGCATTGGGCGGAGCTAGCAACATCTACAAGTGTCAATCCCACCCAGCCGGGAATTGGATCTATTTAATACACCTGACCATTCTAGGCACTGGGCGGAGCTAGCAATGTCTACAAGTGTCAATCCCGCCGAGCCAGGAATTGGCTCTGTCTATGAAGAATCTTACTGTCTTGCAAGATCCCCCATAGACCTTAATACGAACGATGGTGGTAAGTAGAACTTTACCTGCTCCCCCCGGCCACCGAACCCCCACCAATGATGACACAGTTGAGGGTCTATTCTGCAAAGTCTCCAGCTGGTGATAGTGCCGCCTTAACCGATCAGCAATTCCTCAACCCAGTACATGCTGCTAATTTGCTTAACGAGTCCCGATTTCTGTGTCCTCTCCTGATTTTGTTCAGCACAGTGCTAGCAAATCATTAGACATGTATTGTGAAGGACACTAGGCCCGGCATCGAGCATTTCAGCACTACTCTGTGCAAGGTCCTGGAGGCTGGGGGCCAGCCAGGCAGGCTCCTTCTGTGAGTCACATCAGAGGCGACGCTCCTTTAGAGATCTCCAACCCATCTCAGAGCCTCCATGTTGGGATGTACAGGTTAGGAGAGCAGAGGACTTTTAACAGCATTAACAGATGGGCTTGAAGTCATTACCCCAATAAGCTCAGAGTCAGCTTAGATACCAGCTTGGGAATGACGTAATGGATAGGTCTGGCAGAGTATGAAATTACCAAATCAGAGAACCACCTCTGATACAATGACACCCAAGCATAGTGGTTAGGACAGACATGGTCAGGCATCCTAAGACATCCGTATATAGTTTGTGACTTCACCGCCTTGCACCTTAAAACGCCACATAGCTCACTGTAAATATTAATTTATTTTAAAAATATTAAAACAACCAGAGAAGTTCAAACAATTTAAGCTTATTTTTCTAAACTTGTCTCTTGTTTGGATTGAGCGTTTGCCTTTTTTGTCAGTCGTTTTACAGAAAAGCTTAGATTTTTTTTTTCATTATCGGATAGCTTAACGTTTTTGTAGTGAGCGTACATTTCTTCTTTTCTCCACTTTATTGCTGCTGATTCAGAGTGACACCGTGTAGCATTCGTTCAAACTCATCTTAACCAAAAATGCAGTTTCTGTGAGCCCGCTATTGTTTCGGCCGCACCTAACACTAGATATATTGTCAGAAAACGGACTGAATGATAGCGAGCAGGAAATGAAACACGGAGTTATATTAAGCTGGGGCGACGTGTAAAAAAATAAAATGGCTTTGTAAAACACACTGGGTCTTAATGAAGAAATACTTTGCACTTCGGTGTGTTAAGGGAGGATAAAGCTGGAACACACAGAGACAGCAATTTAGCAAACCGAAAGAAAATGGCACGTTTTCACACAGAATATTTCAGCGGAAAGCACTTCCAGATGCTTTCCGAGTAAAAAGATAAAATGACAACATTGAACAATTAAAAAACAGAAAGAAAGAAAAAAAAGGATTAAGATTTTCGAGGGGCTTTTGCATTCATGAAATATTAAGGCATTTTTTTAAGCATTAGATTTATTTAAAAAAAAAAGAAAAAAGAAATAATGTTTAACCTTTAAATTGCTGCCAGTTTGATTTACTGCGGGTCATTTCGTTTTATTCTAATAAAATGATCTTATCAAAATGGCGACATGTCATCGGAAAATTCACGCTAACTGAGGTACAAAATGAAAGCACGGGTTCGGAAGAAATCTAAACAAAATATATATTCATTAAAGCGAATGATTGACGAACTGGAAACATTCTCCAAGACAGCCAAGCTTCTAGTTCGACTAGTCTGGCCTTAAATTAGAATTCCTGTTTTAGTGAATTACTTTGCTTGTTTTCATTCTCTTTCAATAACAGCCGTCTGATATCTCCTAAATGGACGTTTTATTATTCCCACCCCATATGACGACAGATCGGCCGAGTGAATTTAGTTTTCATTGAGCGGAGCTTCGGCTAGTTTGTTAAAGCAGTTCTCTCACTCCCACGGATATTCCGACAGTCAAAAGATAGAAGACGACTACTCTTGTATTATGTATTTTTACTACACCTGACAAAAAGCAGAACTAGCACGGTCATGTTTTGTTAATCCCCCCCCCCGGCTATCACTAGTAACGGCTGTAGCGGAGTAGCAAGGGTTAATCCACGATCATTCCGCTGGTAACCAGGAATCAGCATACAGAACACAGGTAGCCCCAATGACGAGACGACACACAGTCTGGGAGTCAACTGAGGGCTTTATTGAAACAGCACCGAATGTATAGGATTTTCACTGTACGGGGTTTAATCACCGTGCAGGGTCGTTTCCCAGCATCCCCTGCTGTACAGGGACAGTGATGACATCAGCAAGTACAGATAATTGGATTAACAGTGGTTACAGGAAAATACAGGATTTCACATTAAAATCTATAACTCCACTAACGCCCATCTCATGTAACCCTGAAGTGGGAGGTGGAATGATGCCAGGGGAACTACAAAGCTTCTCAAGATCAGACTGGATTTACATGCGCCAATGGTGCGAAAATGGTACCCTCAAAACCCTGACGGAATTGCTCCCTGACACAATCCCCACGGTCCTAGACCGGTTCCAATACCTGCAGGTCAAGTCATACTACTCAACCACGGTAGCCAAACAACAATTTCACCGTGATCTTACGCACTTTGAAACACTTTGCGCAAGTAGACGGCACATGGAACGGGGGATTTCGACCCTATACGCAATGCTTATCGGTGGGAGACATGAGCCGCCCCCGAAATTCATCACCAGATGGGAAAGAGAAACCGGAGAATCCCTGACGACCCAGGACTGGGACAAGATATTTCTACTCACTCACAAATGCTCTATTAGCTCAAAATTTCAAGAGATGAGCTACAAGCTGTTAACAACTTGGTACAGAACACCTGATGTGCTACATCGCATGAACCCGAATATAGAGGATACATGTTGGCGGTGCAGAAGAGAGAAAGGCACCATGCTCCATGTCTGGTGGACATGCTCATCCATCACCCCCTTCTGGGAAATGGTAAATGCCAAAATCCTCGAAATATCAGACCCGGAACTCCCGCTCCAGCCCCTCCCCATGCTACTACACCACACGACCATGACACTAAAGACCTATAAGAAATCATTAACGAAACATCTACTGACGGCAGCGAAATCCCTGATACCCACAATGTGGAAACAAACGGCTACCCCCACCTTTCAACAGTGGGTAGACAGAGTAGGAGAAATTCGTTCTATGGAAAGCATGACGGCAGACATCCAAGGCCGCACGGAAAAATGTAACCTGACATGGACCCCCTGGCTCCTGTACATTGCTGCGGACAGAACTGTAACCTAAAACACCTGCCACCCTTTTCCCCTCTCCCCCCCAGCTACTCAACACACCTCTTCCTATTAAGATATATATACCCCCTTCCTTTCTCTCTCCCCTTCTTACTCTCTCCTCCTCTCCCTCATCTACGCCCCCCACCTATCCGGACATTGCTGGGCCAAGCTAACTCAAATTTAGATATAGAACAGGACCGGCATGCCACGACAGACTACCGCACAGACGCCACAACCCAAGCAGGTGATGGAGGGGTCAACAGACAAAGGCCCACATACTCAGACTATAGTACTACACACGCCTAAGTCACCCAAGATGCCCGCAGACCTATATGTGGGGGGCACCGCAGTACGATTAGCAGTATAGGCACTCTTGCCCGTAAGATCCACACATTGACACCCCCCCTGCCAAGATGACCACACTCGACAGGCGCAGAAACCATACAAAAGAGGCTGACCGACTCAAACGTGGACGAGAATCACTGCACTCGATATGAGCGACACACAAACAAACTCTATTCATGCCGATACAATATAGATAACTGCAAAAAGCCAAAAGAAGGACAAAACTGAAAGTGCGGATATTGCCACCCTTGGAGTTCGCTTTGGTTAAGGCGACTCCCCTACCCCTGACTAATCTCCTTTTCCCATTCTCACACACACCCCCACTTCCCTTGGACAATAACTGATAACTGAAGAATGTCAAAAACATATAATAAGAATAATAAGATATAAGGAAGTCAAATGGGATGTACTTCACTACTGTTGTATAGATAGCACTGTAATATAAAAGCAACATTTATGTGATACTTTAATGTACACTTGGATTGTGATATTGACTCAAAGCTATTGTGCTCTTCTTTCTGTATTTCTCTGTTTATGAAAACGCAAAATAAAGATTGTCAAAAAAAAATAAAAAAAAATCTATAACTCATGCAATTTCTTACAGATTTCCACGATTGATCCCCTCATTAGACTGCGGGGATCTGAGGGTACAATCTCACGAATTACCGCTCAGATTCCTGCAGAAATAACCGAATGCCACATGATTTATTTTTTTGAGTTTACTGATACTGAAAAAGGAGAACTCACGAAGGGCTCCAATCTACCGAAAGAGCGGATCTCCCGAACGCTCTGGAAGTCCAGCGGTGTTTGGAAATCAAGTAGCTGATTTCAGTTCCAAGCACTCGACGACCAAACACCGCTGAACTTTTACCAACAAAGATGGCAGCCGCCACGTGTTCGGCATACGAACAGCGGCCACCCACAAAAACCTATTAACAGCACTTGAAACATTGTTGCACCTTGTTAATGAGAGACACATGACCTCAACGGTGTGGTCTCTCATTCAGTATTTAGTCAGTTCCCTGAACAGGACTGTGGATATTGTTCGTGAACCGATTGTCTTGTTCTCATAGCCTAACAATAAGCGATACGGCCATTTTAAAAGTCTCGAACACAGTTCAAAGTAATAAAAGTCCTTTTGCAGTCACAACGGCAATCTATCCTCCATATACATCAGTGTTGCAGTCTCACGCATGCTCCTGGCTCAGGGGATTAACCACCAGGAGCCCACGCGGATCCAGCGGATGGAGATCCCTAGACTCACAGGCCATGGCATCGGAAGCAGCCACGTTACCATTGGAGTTCTTTGGAAGATATGCAAAGAACCCAGACGGTGACAGACTACCGGTAGTTTTAAAGTCAGATACATCTCTCTCTCTCTTATATGATCAGAAAATCACAAAAAGATTAACTGAACTAAACAGTAGATCACATTTGCTGTAGCAAATTCCCCATTTAGAGAATGGACTCATATTTAAAGATAAAGTCTTACCTTTTCCAGAAACCCCATCCTGTCGATTCTGAAGGTAGTAGAGGAGCTGCTCCACTTCGGACAGTTTAGATGGGTGGATGAGCTTGCATTCTTCAACCACTTTGCGTGCCAATGACGCAATATCAGTGTTGGCATTGAGACTTTTCAGCCGAATGCTGGATATAAAAACAAGAAGGTAAAAATAAATGAAGCAACTTCATCAATATGTGCGCTCAAATATATCGCTTGTATCGCTATCTCGAATTATACGCCAAAATAAACTGGATCACCATTAACCCACTGTATAAATTAGGATTAAAGGAATGTTACATTAGCAGACATGCTGTAAGATGTGTTTATTTTAAATGAAAGCACTTTAAAAATGTGTCCCTTCTGCAACAGTACATCAATTCTTAGCACTGACCTCTACACTAATCATAGAGGTCTCTACCCACAATGGCTGTCAGAGAGCAGGAGATTCCGCCTACAGACATTTTGCCGTCCTCATCATCACAGCAACAACAGAGTGCGCTAGTTTCTGCAATAGTCCTGTATGTCCTGATCTAAAGCAATACCTACCCTCACATCTGGCACATAGCCATCGGAATCAATAATACCCGCTCACACACGCCTGGGATATGGGAATCAGTAATACCCGCTCACAACGCCTGGGATATGGGAATCAGTAATACCCGCTCACACACGCCTGGGATATGGGAATCAGTAATACCCGCTCACACACGTCTGGGATATGGGAATCAGTAATACCCGCTCACACACGCCTGGGATATGGGAATCAGTAATACCCGCTCACACACGTCTGGGATATGGGAATCAATAATACCCGCTCCACACGTCTGGGATATGGGAATCAGTAATACCCGCTCACACACGCCTGGGATATGGGAATCAGTAATACCCGCTCACACACGTCTGGGATATGGGAATCAATAATACCCGCTCACACACGTCTGGGATATGGGAATCAATAATACCCGCTCACACACGTCTGGGATATGGGATATGGGAATCAGTAATACCCGCTCACACACGTCTGGGATATGGGAATCAATAATACCCGCTCACAACGCCTGGGATATGGGAACCAATAATACCCGCTCCACACGTCTGGGATATGGGAATCAGTAATACCCGCTCACACACGTCTGGGATATGGGAATCAGTAATACCCGCTCACACACGTCTGGGATATGGGAATCAATAATACCACACACGTCTGGGATATGGGAATCAGTAATACCCGCTCTCACACGCCTGGGATATGGGAACCAGTAATACCCGCTCACAACGCCTGGGATATGGGATAATACCCGCTCACACACGTCTGGGATATGGGAATCAGTAATACCCGCTCACACACGTCTGGGATATGGGAATCAGTAATACCCGCTCACACACGTCTGGGATATGGGAATCGATAATACCCGCTCACACACGCCTGGGATATGGGAATCAGTAATACCCGCTCTCACACGCCTGGGATATGGGAATCAGTAATACCCGCTCACACACGTCTGGGATATGGGAATCAGTAATACCCGCTCACACACGTCTGGGATATGGGAATCAGTAATACCCACTCACACACGTCTGGGATATGGGAATCAGTAATACCCGCTCACACACGTCTGGGATATGGGAATCAGTAATACCCGCTCACACACGTCTGGGATATGGGAATCAGTAATACCCGCTCCCACACGTCTAGGATTTGGGAATCAGTAATACCCGCTCACACACGTCTGGGATATGGGAATCAATAATACCCGCTCACACACGTCTGGGATATGGGAATCAGTAATACCCGCTCACACACGTCTGGGATATGGGAATCAGTAATACCCGCTCACACACGCCTGGGATATGGGAACCAATAATACCCGCTCACACACGTCTGGGATATGGGAATCAGTAATACCCGCTCACACACGTCTGGGATATGGGAACGATTAATAATCGCTCACACACGTCTGGGATATGGTGATCAGTAATACCCGCTCAAACACGCCTGGGATATGGGAACCAATAATACCCGCTCACAACGCCTGGGATATGGGAACCAATAATACCCGCTCACACACGTCTGGGATATGGGAATCAGTAATACCCGCTCCCACACGCCTGGGATATGGGAATCAGTAATACCCGCTCACACATGTTTATTCAATAGATGTTGATTTATAGATACAAGATCAATTTAACCACCATTCCCAGCGCAGCGCCCTGAAGTCACCCCACACATAGCAGCCAGGCCATTGTTGAATGGTTTACATATACGTGGTTTAACTGGTCAACCCCAGCCATTGCTAAAGCAAGAGTAACCATAACTACTGCATCACTCTGTACTAGGTGGGGTGCTTAGAGTGTCCCTTCAATTTAAATCTGAATTGCAAAACGTGCGCATTACAATAGCGTACATGATCTGGTTACACCTTGACCGCAATAAGGCATTCAGCAAATTAATGTCAGACTGGAATTTCCCCAGAGCCAGCTTGGATCATTTAATCAACTCAACAACAAAAGTTTTTTCATAGAAAAATCTAAAACTTGAACGTACATTTTCTGACAGCCTTTGCGCTCGCCAAGCATTGGGTCTCCCATCTCCCCGAGGATGGTGGCTTCCACTTCATAGTTGACCACGAGGGCTTTCTCACTCGGATGGACATCTATGTTACCGCCTTTTACTTTGCTGCAAAGAAATGAAGTGAATTAATACATATACAGAGAACGGATTAAATGTCTACAGACCGAAGGACCCAAATCAAGAAACGTCCACTCAATGCGCACACTGGTAGATCACGTAGTAATGGAGTGGATATCGGCGTGAGTGCAGTAGGCTGCACTCAGAGATAATTCCCTGGGGTCAGGATACTGGGGAAAAACTCCAGAAACCCTTGATGGTGTGGTGCTATGTGAACGGCACACTTACTTTGACCATTATAATAAAAGCCCAGAGAGCACTCAGAATCCCAATACCTGAATTGTAGGTTAGAAGATATTGGTATTTTCCCCCTCGGATGGTCTCTTCAAAGCCTTTACTGGCTCCTCGATCTCGGACCTGATCCCAGACGACTCACCATTTCCCCCCAGTCTGGGAATCTCACCACATTAATCCCCGTCCCACACCCATCAGCTGTAACACCTCAAATAATGTGGGGCTTCCCAAGGCTCAGAGTAGCTCATATAGGCCTCAATTTATCGTGTTTTTGGTAGTTTCTCAAATGATTTAAATAATTTTTGAAAAACAATATTTCAAATAGTGGTTTTCAAAATACTAAAATATACCACATTTAAGAAGTGCCCACTTATTCCACAGCACTTTATAATATTATAAAAGGGACATTTAACAATAAATGAGAGGATTGCAAACGGTTACAGGAACAATAGGTTGATGAGGATCCTGCTCAGAAGAGCTTACAGTCTAAAAGGAGGTGGGGCAACGAGGGGGATAACTACCAAACAACATGGTGGGAAGGTAGATCGAGAAATATCCCTCACTGGAGGGGAGAGTGGCCCTTTAAGACAGAGCAGTAGACAGGTTTGTGAAATAGACGTTACTCTGGGAGGCCATGAAAGTTTCTGAAAAGATGGTGGATGAACTTATTTATAATATATAAACATTTTGTTTTTTTAAATCATTTTAAAGACATATTTAAAAAAATAGAATGGAGGGCACAGTTTGCAAATAATAAAACCCCCATTATCCAGAATGTGGGATTTATATCAGTTACACAGTATGCTCAGAGAGAGCGTCTGCAAGTCGTCACGTTACATATATGTTGACGTGTGAAGAAGTTATAATGCACTGATCGTGTGTTTGCTGCGATACAGTGCGAAACGCTGACAGCTGGACGATCCTTTATAAAACGACATCTTTCATTTGGCTGCCAGGCAGGCGACGTTAAATCAGGTTTAGATCGTATCAGAAGCTGTCGACAGACAAACACGCTATTCACATTTCCAATCTTTAACAGAATTCTATAAGGGACTCAAGAATGGGGTTAGCGCCTCAATATCATGATTCGCAATGGATTAACAAGTGCTGGAAAATGAGGACGCAGGCAGAAATTCAAACAAGTCCCTTATATCTTTAGAATAAGTTATTCATGCTTAAAAGGATGCAACATCGAACTGCAATGTTTATGGTTACAAGAGTGCCCTGATAACCCCAACAATTTAATGAGTCAAACGACTTCGTAACAGTTTGACAAACAGCACATTAAAAAGCTGGAGACCTTCCTTACACCCCCTATAGTAAGATACCTGACCCTTAACCTCCAAAACAAGACTTACTTATATCGCCTTGTCACGGTTCTCACCGCAGCAGACAGACGGCCAGACATGGTTCCCAACAAGAGATTTGAACCAAAGAACTTTGCAGTCCTGGTCCTGCTTCCTACCTCTAAGCCACAGAAGTTCTTGTAATCCACAAGTCAGTCTGGTCCTGTTCTTCCTGGCATGTCTATTACTCTGGGGGCTGAACCTTGACTTTGGATGTGCTTCACCTGACCCTGATCAGACATTAGCAGGGTATTTAAACTCAGCCTCGCCCGATGATCAGCATCAAGTCTTTGATCCTGTTGTGTACCAGTGTTCCTGTCGTTTGAGCTGCTACTTGTTATTGACCCCGGCTTCTGACTACGTTTACTCTGGCATCCCTTGACTTCGGCTACACCTTGATGATCCTGCTGTTTGAGTCCTTGCCTGTCCTGCGACTTGGTACTTAATCCTGCACAGCCCCCGTGTACAGACCCACCGTACCTGACCACCTTGGCCTGTGGCAATCTGCAAGGGTGAGCAACATATCTGCGCTACAGACTCCCAACCCAGGTAAGACCCTGACACTTCTATAGTAAGATACCCTCCCAAACATGGCGGAACCAGCCTCGCCACTGAATAATAATGATAATGTCTGTTATCACTGTCAGTATTAATAAAGCTTGGTGTATTGATATTATTATTGGTATTTATATAGAGCCAGCCTTGGTGTATTGATATTATTATTGGTATTTATATAGAGCCAGCCTATGCTGTGACTCTGGTCTCGGTATATAAAGCTGGCTGTATCCCCAGTCAGTGGTTATAGTGTCTCTGTCAGTATTAATAAAGCTTGGTGTATTTATATAGAGCCGGCCTATGCTGTGACTCTGGTCTCGGTATATAAAGCTGGCTGTATCCCCAGTCAGTGGTTATAGTGTCTCACTGTCAGTATTAATAAAGCTTGGTGTATTGATATTATTATTGGTATTTATATAGAGCCAGCCTATGCTGTGACTCTGGTCTCGGTATATAAAGCTGGCTGTATCCCCAGTCAGTGGTTATAGTGTATCACTGTCAGTATTAATAAAGCTTGGTGTATTGATATTATTGGTATTTATATAGAGCCAGCCTATGCTGTGACTCTGGTCTCGGTATATAAAGCTGGCTGTATCCCCAGTAAGTGGTTATAGTGTCTCACTGTCAGTATTAATAAAGCTTGGTGTATTGATATTATTATTGGTATTTATATAGAGCCAGCCTATGCTGTGACTCTGGTCTCGGTATATAAAGCTGGCTGTATCCCCAGTCAGTGGTTATAGTGTCTCACTGTCAGTATTAATAAAGCTTGGTGTGTTGATATTATTATTGGTATTTATATAGAGCCGGCCTATGCTGTGACTCTGGTCTCGGTATATAAAGCTGGCTGTATCCCCAGTCAGTGGTTATAGTGTCTCACTGTCAGTATTAATAAAGCTTGGTGTATTGATATTATTATTGGTATTTATATAGAGCCAGCCTATGCTGTGACTCTGGTCTCGGTATATAAAGCTGGCTGTATCCCCAGTCAGTGGATATAGTGTCTCACTGTCAGTATTAATAAAGCTTGGTGTATTGATATTATTATTGGTATTTATATAGAGCCAGCCTATGCTGTGACTCTGGTCTCGGTATATAAAGCTGGCTGTATCCCCAGTCAGTGGTTATAGTGTCTCACTGTCAGTATTAATAAAGCTTGGTGTATTGATATTATTATTGGTATTTATATAGAGCCAGCCTATGCTGTGACTCTGGTCTCGGTATATAAAGCTGGCTGTATCCCCAGTCAGTGGTTATAGTGTCTCTCTGTCAGTATTAATAAAGCTTGGTGTATTGATATTATTATTGGTATTTATATAGAGCCAGCCTATGCTGTGACTCTGGTCTCGGTATATAAAGCTGGCTGTATCCCCAGTCAGTGGTTATAGTGTCTCACTGTCAGTATTAATAAAGCTTGGTGTATTGATATTATTATTGGTATTTATGTAGAGCCGGCCTATGCTGTGACTCTGGTCTCGGTATATAAAGCTGGCTGTATCCCCAGTCAGTGGTTATAGTGTCTCACTGTCAGTATTAATAAAGCTTGGTGTATTGATATTATAATTATTGGTATTTATATAGAGCCAGCCTATGCTGTGACTCTGGTCTCGGTATATAAAGCTGGCTGTATCCCCAGTCAGTGGTTATAGTGTCTCACTGTCAGTATTAATAAAGCTTGGTGTATTGATATTATTATTGGTATTTATATAGAGCCAGCCTATGCTGTGACTCTGGTCTCGGTATATAAAGCTGGCTGTATCCCCAGTCAGTGGTTATAGTGTCTCACTGTCAGTATTAATAAAGCTTGGTGTATTGATATTATTATTGGTATTTATATAGAGCCGGCCTATGCTGTGACTCTGGTCTCGGTATATAAAGCTGGCTGTATCCCCAGTCAGTGGTTATAGTGTCTCACTGTCAGTATTAATAAAGCTTGGTGTATTGATATTATTATTGGTATTTATATAGAGCCAGCCTATGCTGTGACTCTGGTCTCGGTATATAAAGCTGGCTGTATCCCAGTCAGTGGTTATAGTGTCTCACTGTCAGTATTAATAAAGCTTGGTGTATTGATATTATTATTGGTATTTATATAGAGCCGGCCTATGCTGTGACTCTGGTCTCGGTATATAAAGCTGGCTGTATCCCCAGTCAGTGGTTATAGTCTCACTGTCAGTATTAATAAAGCTTGGTGTATTGATATTATTATTGGTATTTATATAGAGCCAGCCTATGCTGTGACTCTGGTCTCGGTATATAAAGCTGGCTGTATCCCCAGTCAGTGGTTATAGTGTCTCACTGTCAGTATTAATAAAGCTTGGTGTATTGATATTATTATTGGTATTTATATAGAGCCAGCCTATGCTGTGTCTCTGGTCTCGGTATATAAAGCTGGCTGTATCCCCAGTCAGTGGTTATAGTGTCTCACTGTCAGTATTAATAAAGCTTGGTGTATTGATATTATTATTGGTATTTATATAGAGCCGGCCTATGCTGTGACTCTGGTCTCGGTATATAAAGCTGGTTGTATCCCCAGTCAGTGGTTATAGTGTCTCACTGTCAGTATTAATAAAGCTTGGTGTATTGATATTATTATTGGTATTTATATAGAGCCAGCCTATGCTGTGACTCTGGTCTCGGTATATAAAGCTGGCTGTATCCCCAGTCAGTGGTTATAGTGTCTCACTGTCAGTATTAATAAAGCTTGGTGTATTGATATTATTATTGGTATTTATATAGAGCCGCTCTGGCGTTGCACTCTCGGTCTTTCGTATATAAGCTGCTGTATCCCCAGTCAGGTTATAGCGCCCCACTGCCGTATTAATAAAAGTTTCTTGGTATTGATATTATTATTGGTATTTATATAGAGCCGCCTATGCTGTGACTCTGGTCTCGTGGTATATAAAAGCTGTGGCCGTATCCCCAGTCAGTGTTATATAGTGTATCACTCGCCGTAAGTAGCTTACTAAAGCTTGCGGCTGATATTATTGGTATTTATACAGAGCCAGCCTATGCTGTGACTCTGGTCTCGGTATATAAAGCTGGCTGTATCCCCAGTCAGTGGTTATAGTGTCTGTTATCACTGTCAGTATTAATAAAGCTTGGTGTATTGATATTATTATTGGTATTTATATAGAGCCAGCCTATGCTGTGACTCTGGTCTCGGTATATAAAGCTGGCTGTATCCCCAGTCAGTGGTTATAGTGTCTCACTGTCAGTATTAATAAAGCCTGGGGTATTGATATTATTATTGGTATTTATATAGAGCCAGCCTATGCTGTGACTCTGGTCTCGGTATATAAAGCTGGCTGTATCCCAGTCAGTGGTTATAGTGTCTCACTGTCAGTATTAATAAAGCTTGGTGTATTGATATTATTATTGGTATTTATATAGAGCCGGCCTATGCTGTGACTCTGGTCTCGGTATATAAAGCTGGCTGTATCCCCAGTCAGTGGTTATAGTGTCTGTTATCACTGTCAGTATTAATAAAGCTTGGTGTATTGATATTATTATTGGTATTTATATAGAGCCAGCCTATGCTGTGACTCTGGTCTCGGTATATAAAGCTGGCTGTATCCCAGTCAGTGGTTATAGTGTCTCACTGTCAGTATTAATAAAGCTTGGTGTATTGATATTATTATTGGTATTTATATAGAGCCAGCCTATGCTGTGACTCTGGTCTCGGTATATAAAGCTGGCTGTATCCCAGTCAGTGGTTATAGTGTCTGTTATCACTGTCAGTATTAATAAAGCTTGGTGTATTGATATTATTATTGGTATTTATATAGAGCCAGCCTATGCTGTGACTCTGGTCTCGGTATATAAAGCTGGCTGTATCCCAGTCAGTGGTTATAGTGTCTCACTGTCAGTATTAATAAAGCTTGGTGTATTGATATTATTATTGGTATTTATATAGAGCCAGCCTATGCTGTGACTCTGGTCTCGGTATATAAAGCTGGCTGTATCCCCAGTCAGTGGTTATAGTGTCTGTTATCACTGTCAGTATTAGTAAAGCGTGGTGTATTGATATTATTATTGGTATTTATATAGAGCCGGCCTATGCTGTGACTCTGGTCTCGGTATATAAAGCTGGCTGTATCCCCAGTCAGTGGTTATATTGTCTCACTGTCAGTATTAATAAAGCTTGGTGTATTGATATTATTATTGATATTATTATTGGTATTTATATAGAGCCAGCCTATGCTGTGACTCTGGTCTCGGTATATAAAGCTGGCTGTATCCCCAGTCAGTGGTTATAGTGTCTCACTGTCAGTATTAATAAAGCTTGGTGTATTGATATTATTATTGGTATTTATATAGAGCCGGCCTATGCTTTGACTCTGGTCTCGGTATATAAAGCTGGCTGTATCCCCAGTCAGTGGTTATAGTGTCTGTTATCACTGTCAGTATTAATAAAGCTTGGTGTATTGATATTATTATTGGTATTTATATAGAGCCGGCCTATGCTGTGACTCTGGTCTCGGTATATAAAGCTGGCTGTATCCCCAGTCAGTGGTTATAGTGTATCACTGTCAGTATTAATAAAGCTTGGTGTATTGATATTATTATTATTGGTATTTATATAGAGCCAGCCTATGCTGTGACTCTGGTCTCGGTATATAAAGCTGGCTGTATCCCCAGTCAGTGGTTATAGTGTCTCACTGTCAGTATTAATCAAGCTTGGTGTATTGATATTATTATTGGTATTTATATAGAGCCAGCCTATGCTGTGACTCTGGTCTCGGTATATAAAGCTGGCTGTATCCCCAGTCAGTGGTTATAGTGTCTCACTGTCAGTATTAATAAAGCTTGGTGTATTGATATTATTATTGGTATTTATATACGCCTATGCTGTGATCGACTCTGGTCTCGTATATAAAGTCGGTTGCATCCCCAGCAGTCAGTGGTTATAGTGTCTCACCGTCAGTACAATAAAGCTTGGGTGTAGATATTGGCTGGTTGGTATTATATAGAGCCGCCTATGTGACTCTGGTCTCGGTATATAATGCTGGCTGTATCCCCAGTCAGTGGTTATATTGTCTGTTATCACTGTCAGTATTAATAAAGCTTGGTGTATTGATATTATTATTGGTATTTATATAGAGCCGGCCTATGCTGTGACTCTGGTCTCGGTATATAAAGCTGGCTGTATCCCAGTCAGTGGTTATAGTGTCTGTTATCACTGTCAGTATTAATAAAGCTTGGTGTATTGATATTATTATTGGTATTTATATAGAGCCAGCCTATGCTGTGACTCTGGTCTCGGTATATAAAGCTGGCTGTATCCCCAGTCAGTGGTTATAGTGTCTCTGTCAGTATTAATAAAGCTTGGTGTATTTATATAGAGCCGGCCTATGCTGTGACTCTGGTCTCGGTATATAAAGCTGGCTGTATCCCCAGTCAGTGGTTATAGTGTCTCACTGTCAGTATTAATAAAGCTTGGTGTATTGATATTATTATTGGTATTTATATAGAGCCGGCCTATGCTGTGACTCTGGTCTCGGTATATAAAGCTGGCTGTATCCCCAGTCAGTGGTTATAGTGTCTCACTGTCAGTATTAATAAAGCTTGGTGTATTGATATTATTATTGGTATTTATATAGAGCCGGCCTATGCTGTGACTCTGGTCTCGGTATATAAAGCTGGCTGTATCCCCAGTCAGTGGTTATAGTGTCTCACTGTCAGTATTAATAAAGCTTGGTGTATTGATATTATTATTGGTATTTATATAGAGCCAGCCTATGCTGTGACTCTGGTCTCGGTATATAAAGCTGGCTGTATCCCCAGTCAGTGGTTATAGTGTCTCACTGTCAGTATTAATAAAGCTTGGTGTATTGATATTATTATTGGTATTTATATAGAGCCAGCCTATGCTGTGACTCTGGTCTCGGTATATAAAGTTGGCTGTATCCCCAGTCAGTGGTTATAGTGTCTCACTGTCAGTATTAATAAAGCTTGGTGTATTGATATTATTATTGGTATTTATATAGAGCCAGCCTATGCTGTGACTCCGGTCTCGGTATATAAAGCTGGCTGTATCCCCAGTCAGTGGTTATAGTGTCTCACTGTCAGTATTAATAAAGCTTGGTGTATTTATATAGAGCCAGCCTATGCTGTGACTCTGGTCTCGGTATATAAAGCTGGCTGTATCCCCAGTCAGTGGTTATAGTGTCTCACTGTCAGTATTAATAAAGCTCGGTGTATTGATATTATTATTGGTATTTATATAGAGCCAGCCTATGCTGTGACTCTGGTCTCGGTATATAAAGCTGGCTGTATCCCCAGTCAGTGGTTATAGTGTCTCACTGTCAGTATTATTAAAGCTTGGTGTATTGATATTATTATTGGTATTTATATAGAGCCAGCCTATGCTGTGACTCTGGTCTCGGTATATAAAGCTGGCTGTATCCCCAGTCAGTGGTTATAGTGTCTGTTATCACTGTCAGTATTAATAAAGCTTGGTGTATTGATATTATTATTGGTATTTATATAGAGCCAGCCTATGCTGTGACTCTGGTCTCGGTATATAAAGCTGGCTGTATCCCCAGTCAGTGGTTATAGTGTCTGTTATCACTGTCAGTATTAATAAAGCTTGGTGTATTGATATTATTATTGGTATTTATATAGAGCCGGCCTATGCTGTGACTCTGGTCTCGGTATATAAAGCTGGCTGTATCCCCAGTCAGTGGTTATAGTGTCTCACTGTCAGTATTAATAAAGCTTGGTGTATTGATATTATTATTGGTATTTATATAGAGCCAGCCTATGCTGTGACTCTGGTCTCGGTGTATAAAGCTGGCTGTATCCCCAGTCAGTGGTTATAGTGTCTCACTGTCAGTATTAATAAAGCTTGGTGTATTGATATTATTATTGGTATTTATATAGAGCCAGCCTATGCTGTGACTCTGGTCTCGGTATATAAAGCTGGCTGTATCCCAGTCAGTGGTTATAGTGTCTGACTGTCAGTATTAATAAAGCTTGGTGTATTGATATTATTATTGGTATTTATATAGAGCCAGCCTATGCTGTGACTCTGGTCTCGGTATATAAAGCTGGCTGTATCCCCAGTCAGTGGTTATAGTGTCTCACTGTCAGTATTAATAAAGCTTGGTGTATTGATATTATTATTGGTATTTATATAGAGCCAGCCTATGCTGTGACTCTGGTCTCGGTATATAAAGCTGGCTGTATCCCCAGTCAGTGGTTATAGTGTCTGTTATCACTGTCAGTATTAATAAAGCTTGGTGTATTGATATTATTATTGGTATTTATATAGAGCCAGCCTATGCTGTGACTCTGGTCTCGGTATATAAAGCTGGCTGTATCCCAGTCAGTGGTTATAGTGTCTCACTGTCAGTATTAATAAAGCTTGGTGTATTGATATTATTATTATTATTATTATTATTGGTATTTATATAAAGCCAGCCTATGCTGTGACTCTGGTCTCGGTATATAAAGCTGGCTGTATCCCCAGTCAGTGGTTATAGTGTCTCACTGTCAGTATTAATAAAGCTTGGTGTATTGATATTATTATTGGTATTTATATAGAGCCGGCCTATGCTGTGACTCTGGTCTCGGTATATATATAAAGCTGGCTGTATCCCCAGTCAGTGGTTATAGTGTCTCACTGTCAGTATTAATAAAGCTTGGTGTATTGATATTATTATTGGTATTTATATAGAGCCAGCCTATGCTGTGACTCTGGTCTCGGTATATAAAGCTGGCTGTAACCCCAGTCAGTGGTTATAGTGTCTCACTGTCAGTATTAATAAAGCTTGGTGTATTGATATTATTATTGGTATTTATATAGAGCCAGCCTATGCTGTGACTCTGGTCTCGGTATATAAAGCTGGCTGTATCCCCAGTCAGTGGTTATAGTGTCTCACTGTCAGTATTAATAAAGCTTAGTGTATTGATATTATTATTGGTATTTATATAGAGCCGGCCTATGCTGTGACTCTGGTCTCGGTATATAAAGCTGGCTGTATCCCCAGTCAGTGGTTATAGTGTCTCACCGTCAGTATTAATAAAGCTTGGTGTATTGATATTATTATTGGTATTTATATAGAGCCAGCCTATGCTGTGACTCTGGTCTCGGTATATAAAGCTGGCTGTATCCCCAGTCAGTGGTTATAGTGTCTTACTGTCAGTATTAATAAAGCTTGGTGTATTGATATTATTATTGGTATTTATATAGAGCCAGCCTATGCTGTGACTCTGGTCTCGGTATATAAAGCTGGCTGTACCCCCAGTCAGTGGTTATAGTGTCTCACTGTCTAATTAATAAAGTATTGATGTGTATTGGTATTTATATAGAGCCAGCCTAATGCTGATACTCGATTTATATAAAGCTGTTTCTTAATCCCCAGTCAGTGGTTATAGTGTCTGTTATCACTGTCAGTATTAATAAAGCTTGGTGTATTGATATTATTATTGGTATTTATATAGAGCCAGCCTATGCTGTGACTCTGGTCTCGGTATATAAAGCTGGCTGTATCCCCAGTCAGTGGTTATATTGTCTGTTATCACTGTCAGTATTAATAAAGCTTGGTGTATTGATATTATTATTGGTATTTATATAGAGCCGGCCTATGCTGTGACTCTGGTCTCGGTATATAAAGCTGGCTGTATCCCCAGTCAGTGGTTATAGTGTCTCACTGTCAGTATTAATAAAGCTTGGTGTATTGATAATATTATTGGTATTTATATAGAGCCAGCCTATGCTGTGACTCTGGTCTCGGTATATAAAGCTGGCTGTATCCCCAGTCAGTGGTTATAGTGTCTCACTGTCAGTATTAATAAAGCTTGGTGTATTGATATTATTATTGGTATTTATATAGAGCCGGCCTATGCTGTGACTCTGGTCTCGGTATATAAAGCTGGCTGTATCCCCAGTCAGTGGTTATAGTGTCTCACCGTCAGTATTAATAAAGCTTGGTGTATTGATATTATTATTGGTATTTATATAGAGCCAGCCTATGCTGTGACTCTGGTCTCGGTATATAAAGCTGGCTGTATCCCCAGTCAGTGGTTATAGTGTCTGTTATCACTGTCAGTATTAATAAAGCTTGGTGTATTGATATTATTGGTATTTATATAGAGCCAGTCTATGCTGTGACTCTGGTCTCGGTATATAAAGCTGGCTGTATCCCCAGTCAGTGGTTATAGTGTCTCACTGTCAGTATTAATAAAGCTTGGTGTATTGATATTATTATTGGTATTTATATAGAGCCGGCCTATGCTGTGACTCTGGTCTCGGTATGTAAAGCTGGCTGTATCCCCAGTCAGTGGTTATAGTGTCTCACTGTCAGTATTAATAAAGCTTGGTGTATTGATATTATTATTGGTATTTATATAGAGCCAGCCTATGCTGTGACTCTGGTCTCGGTATATAAAGTTGGCTGTATCCCCAGTCAGTGGTTATAGTGTCTCACTGTCAGTATTAATAAAGCTTGGTGTATTGATATTATTATTGGTATTTATATAGAGCCAGCCTATGCGGTGACTCTGGTCTCGGTATATAAAGCTGGCTGTATCCCCAGTCAGTGGTTATAGTGTCTCACTGTCAGTATTAATAAAGCTTTGTGTATTGATATTATTATTGGTATTTATATAGAGCCAGCCTATGCTGTGACTCTGGTCTCGGTATATAAAGCTGGCTGTATCCCCAGTCAGTGGTTATAGTGTCTCACTGTCAGTATTAATAAAGCTTGGTGTATTGATATTATTATTGGTATTTATATAGAGCCGGCCTATGCTTTGACTCTGGTCTCGGTATATAAAGCTGGCTGTATCCCCAGTCAGTGGTTATAGTGTCTGTTATCACTGTCAGTATTAATAAAGCTTGGTGTATTGATATTATTATTGGTATTTATATAGAGCCGGCCTATGCTGTGACTCTGGTCTCGGTATATAAAGCTGGCTGTATCCCCAGTCAGTGGTTATAGTGTCTGTTATCACTGTCAGTATTAATAAAGCTTGGTGTATTGATATTATTATTGGTATTTATATAGAGCCGGCCTATGCTGTGACTCTGGTCTCGGTATATAAAGCTGGCTGTATCCCCAGTCAGTGGTTATAGTGTCTCACTGTCAGTATTAATAAAGCTTGGTGTATTGATATTATTATTGGTATTTATATAGAGCCAGCCTATGCTGTGACTCTGGTCTCGGTATATAAAGCTGGCTGTATCCCCAGTCAGTGGTTATAGTGTCTCACTGTCAGTATTAATAAAGCTTGGTGTATTGATATTATTATTGGTATTTATATAGAGCCAGCCTATGCTGTGACTCTGGTCTCGGGATATAAAGCTGGCTGTATCCCCAGTCAGTGGTTATAGTGTCTCTCTGTCAGTATTAATAAAGCTTGGTGTATTGATATTATTATTGGTATTTATATAGAGCCAGCCTATGCTGTGACTCTGGTCTCGGTATATAAAGCTGGCTGTATCCCCAGTCTGTGGTTATAGTGTCTCACTGTCAGTATTAATAAAGCTTGGTGTATTGATATTATTATTGGTATTTATATAGAGCCAGCCTATGCTGTGACTCTGGTCTCGGTATATAAAGCTGGCTGTATCCCCAGTCAGTGGTTATAGTGTCTCACTGTCAGTATTAATAAAGCTTGGTGTATTGATATTATTATTGGTATTTATATAGAGCCAGCCTATGCTGTGACTCTGGTCTCGGTATATAAAGCTGGCTGTATCCCCAGTCAGTGGTTATAGTGTCTCACTGTCAGTATTAATAAAGCTTGGTGTATTGATATTATTATTGGTATTTATATAGAGCCAGCCTATGCTGTGACTCTGGTCTCGGTATATAAAGCTGGCTGTATCCCCAGTCAGTGGTTATAGTGTCTCACTGTCAGTATTAATAAAGCTTGGTGTATTGATATTATTATTGGTATTTATATAGAGCCGGCCTATGCTTTGACTCTGGTCTCGGTATATAAAGCTGGCTGTATCCCCAGTCAGTGGTTATAGTGTCTGTTATCACTGTCAGTATTAATAAAGCTTGGTGTATTGATATTATTATTGGTATTTATATAGAGCCGGCCTATGCTGTGACTCTGGTCTCGGTATATAAAGCTGGCTGTATCCCCAGTCAGTGGTTATAGTGTCTCACTGTCAGTATTGATAAAGCTTGGTGTATTGATATTATTATTGGTATTTATATAGAGCCAGCCTATGCTGTGACTCTGGTCTCGGTATATAAAGCTGGCTGTATCCCAGTCAGTGGTTATGGTGTCTCTGTCAGTATTAATAAAGCTTGGTGTGATGATATTGTGGTGTTATATAGAGCCAGCCTATGCTGTGACTCTGGTCTCGTTATCTCGAAGCTGGCTGTATCTGATCGATGGTTATAGTGTCTGGTGTACTGTCGAGTATTAATAAAGCTTGGTGTGTTGATATTATTATTGGTATTTATATAGAGCCAGCCTATGCTGTGACTCTGGTCTCTGTATATAAAGCTGGCTGTATCCCCAGTCAGTGGTTAGTGTCTCACTGTCAGTATTAATAAAGCTTGGTGTATTGATATTATTATTGGTATTTATATAGAGCCAGCCTATGCTGTGACTCTGGTCTCGGTATATAAAGCTGCCTGTATCCCCAGTCAGTGGTTATAGTGTCTCACTGTCAGTATTAATAAAGCTTGGTGTATTGATATTATTATTATTATTGGTATTTATATAGAGCCAATACAATGGAGCTCTGATTTTCGGTATATAAAACTGGCTGTATCCCCGATCAGTGGTTATAGTGTCTGTCAGTATTAATAAAGCTTGGTGTATTGATATTATTATTGGTATTTATATAGAGCCGGCCTATGCTGTGACTCTGGTCTCGGTATATAAAGCTGGCTGTATCCCTAGTCAGTGGTTATAGTGTCTCACTGTCAGTATTAATAAAGCTTGGTGTATTGATATTATTATTGGTATTTATATAGAGCCGGCCTATGCTGTGACTCTGGTCTCGGTATATAAAGCTGGCTGTATCCCCAGTCAGTGGTTATAGTGTCTCACTGTCAGTATTAATAAAGCTTGGCGTATTGATATTATTATTGGTATTTATATAGAGCCAGCCTATGCTGTGACTCTGGTCTCGGTATATAAAGCTGGCTGTATCCCCAGTCAGTGGTTATAGTGTCTTACTGTCAGTATTAATAAAGCTTGGTGTATTGATATTATTATTGGTATTTATATAGAGCCAGCCTATGCTGTGACTCTGGTCTCGGTATATAAAGCTGGCTGTACCCCCAGTCAGTGGTTATAGTGTCTCACTGTCAGTATTAATAAAGCTTGGTGTATTGATATTATTATTGGTATTTATATAGAGCCGGCCTATGCTGTGACTCTGGTCTCGGTATATAAAGCTGGCTGTATCCCAGTCAGTGGTTATAGTGTCTCACTGTCAGTATTAATAAAGCTTGGTGTATTGATATTATTATTGGTATTTATATAGAGCCAGCCTATGCTGTGACTCTGGTCTCGTTATATAAAGCTGGCTGTATCCCCAGTCAGTGGTTATAGTGTCTCACTGTCAGTATTAATAAAGCTTGGTGTATTGATATTATTATTGGTATTTATATAGAGCCAGCCTATGCTGTGACTCTGGTCTCGGTATATAAAGCTGTCTGTATCCCCAGTCAGTGGTTATAGTGTCTCACTGTCAGTATTAATAAAGCTTGGTGTATTGATATTATTATTGGTATTTATATAGAGCCAGCCTATGCTGTGACTCTGGTCTCGGTATATAAAGTTGGCTGTATCCCCAGTCAGTGGTTATAGTGTCTCACTGTCAGTATTAATAAAGCTTGGTGTATTGATATTATTATTGGTATTTATATAGAGCCAGCCTATGCTGTGACTCTGGTCTCGGTATATAAAGCTGGCTGTATCCCCAGTCAGTGGTTATAGTGTCTGTTATCACTGTCAGTATTAATAAAGCTTGGTGTATGGATATTATTATTGGTATTTATATAGAGCCAGCCTATGCTGTGACTCTGGTCTCGGTATATAAAGCTGGCTGTATCCCCAGTCAGTGGTTATAGTGTCTCACTGTCAGTATTACTAAAGCTTGGTGTATTGATATTATTATTGGTATTTATATAGAGCCAGCCTATGCTGTGACTCTGGTCTCGGTATATAAAGCTGGCTGTATCCCCAGTCAGTGGTTATAGTGTCTGTTATCACTGTCAGTATTAATAAAGCTTGGTGTATTGATATTATTATTGGTATTTATATAGAGCCAGCCTATGCTGTGACTCTGGTCTCGGTATATAAAGCTGGCTGTATCCCCAGTCAGTGGTTATAGTGTCTGTTATCACTGTCAGTATTAATAAAGCTTGGTGTATTGATATTATTATTGGTATTTATATAGAGCCGGCCTATGCTGTGACTCTGGTCTCGGTATATAAAGCTGGCTGTATCCTCAGTCAGTGGTTATAGTGTCTCACTGTCAGTATTAATAAAGCTTGGTGTATTGATATTATTATTGGTATTTATATAGAGCCAGCCTATGCTGTGACTCTGGTCTCGGTATATAAAGCTGGTTGTATCCCTGGAAATAGTGGTTGCAGCGTGTCTCACTGTCAGTATTAATAAAGCTTGTGTATTGATATTATTATTGGTATTTATATAGGGTTTCAGCCCATGCTGTGACTCTGGTCTCGTATATATAAAAGCTGGCTGTATCCCCAATCAGTGGTTATAGTGTCTGTTATCACTCGTCAGTATTAATGCTTGTGTATTGATATTATTATTGTATTTATAGAGCCAGCCTATGCATTCTGGTCTCGTGTATATGTAAAGTTACTGTATCCCCCAATCAGTGGTTATAGTGTCTAGCTTCACCGTCAAAAGCTAATAAAGCTTGGTGTATTGATATTATTATTGGTATTTATATAGAGCCGGCCTATGCTGTGACTCTGGTCTCGGTATATAAAGCTGGCTGTATCCCAGTCAGTGGTTATAGTGTCTGTTATCACTGTCAGTATTAATAAAGCTTGGTGTATTGATATTATTATTGGTATTTATATAGAGCCAGCCTATGCTGTGACTCTGGTCTCGGTATATAAAGCTGGCTGTATCCCCAGTCAGTGGTTATAGTATCTCACTGTCAGTATTAATAAAGCTTGGTGTATTGATATTATTATTGGTATTTATATAGAGCCGGCCTATGCTGTGACTCTGGTCTCGGTATATAAAGCTGGCTGTATCCCCAGTCAGTGGTTATAGTGTCTTATCACTGTCAGTATTAATAAAGCTTGGTGTATTGATATTATTATTGGTATTTATATAGAGCCGGCCTATGCTGTGACTCTGGTCTCGGTATATAAAGCTGGCTGTATCCCCAGTCAGTGGTTATAGTGTCTGTTATCACTGTCAGTATTAATAAAGCTTGGTGTATTGATATTATTATTGGTATTTATATAGAGCCAGCCTATGCTGTGACTCTGGTCTCTGTATATAAAGCTGGCTGTATCCCCAGTCAGTGGTTAGTGTCTCACTGTCAGTATTAATAAAGCTTGGTGTATTGATATTATTATTGGTATTTATATAGAGCCAGCCTATGCTGTGACTCTGGTCTCGGTATATAAAGCTGGCTGTATCCCCAGTCAGTGGTTATAGTGTCTCACTGTCAGTATTAATAAAGCTTGGTGTATTGATATTATTATTATTGGTATTTATATAGAGCCAGCCTATGCTGTGACTCTGGTCTCGGTATATAAAGCTGGCTGTATCCCCAGTCAGTGGTTATAGTGTCTCACTGTCAGTATTAATAAAGCTTGGTGTATTGATATTATTATTGGTATTTATATAGAGCCGGCCTATGCTGTGACTCTGGTCTCGTTATATAAAGCTGGCTGTATCCCCAGTCAGTGGTTATAGTGTCTCACTGTCAGTATTAATAAAGCTTGGTGTATTGATATTATTATTGGTATTTATATAGAGCCAGCCTATGCTGTGACTCTGGTCTCGGTATATAAAGCTGGCTGTATCCCCAGTCAGTGGTTATAGTGTCTCACTGTCAGTATTAATAAAGCTTGGTGTATTGATATTATTATTGGTATTTATATAGAGCCAGCCTATGCTGTGACTCTGGTCTCGGTATATAAAGCTGGCTGTATCCCCAGTCAGTGGTTATAGTGTCTGTTATCACTGTCAGTATTAGTAAAGCGTGGTGTATTGATATTATTATTGGTATTTATATAGAGCCGGCCTATGCTGTGACTCTGGTCTCGGTATATAAAGCTGGCTGTATCCCCAGTCAGTGGTTATAGTGTCTCACTTTCAGTATTAATAAAGCTTGGTGTATTGATATTATTATTGGTATTTATATAGAGCCGGCCTATGCTGTGACTCTGGTCTCGGTATATAAAGCTGGCTGTATCCCAGTCAGTGGTTATAGTGTCTGTTATCACTGTCAGTATTAATAAAGCTTGGTGTATTGATATTATTATTGGTATTTATATAGAGCCAGCCTATGCTGTGACTCTGGTCTCGGTATATAAAGCTGGCTGTATCCCCAGTCAGTGGTTATAGTATCTCACTGTCAGTATTAATAAAGCTTGGTGTATTGATATTATTATTGGTATTTATATAGAGCCGGCCTATGCTGTGACTCTGGTCTCGGTATATAAAGCTGGCTGTATCCCCAGTCAGTGGTTATAGTGTCTTATCACTGTCAGTATTAATAAAGCTTGGTGTATTGATATTATTATTGGTATTTATATAGAGCCGGCCTATGCTGTGACTCTGGTCTCGGTATATAAAGCTGGCTGTATCCCCAGTCAGTGGTTATAGTGTCTGTTATCACTGTCAGTATTAATAAAGCTTGGTGTATTGATATTATTATTGGTATTTATATAGAGCCAGCCTATGCTGTGACTCTGGTCTCGGTATATAAAGCTGGCTGTATCCCCAGTCAGTGGTTATAGTGTCTCACTGTCAGTATTAATAAAGCTTGGTGTATTGATATTATTATTGGTATTTATATAGAGCCAGCCTATGCTGTGACTCTGGTCTCGGTATATAAAGCTGGCTGTATCCCCCAGTCAGTGGTTATAGTGTCTCACTGTCAGTATTAATAAAGCTTGGTGTATTGATATTATTATTGGTATTTATATAGAGCCGGCCTATGCTGTGACTCTGGTCTCGGTATATAAAGCTGGCTGTATCCCCAGTCAGTGGTTATAGTGTCTCACTGTCAGTATTAATAAAGCTTGGTGTATTGATATTATTATTGGTATTTATATAGAGCCGGCCTATGCTGTGACTCTGGTCTCGGTATATAAAGCTGGCTGTATCCCCAGTCAGTGGTTATAGTGTCTCACTGTCAGTATTAATAAAGCTTGGTGTATTGATATTATTATTGGTATTTATATAGAGCCAGCCTATGCTGTGACTCTGGTCTCGGTATATAAAGCTGGCTGTATCCCCAGTCAGTGGTTATAGTGTCTCACTGTCAGTATTAATAAAGCTTGGTGTATTGATATTATTATTGGTATTTATATAGAGCCAGCCTATGCTGTGACTCTGGTCTCGGTATATAAAGCTGGCTGTATCCCCAGTCAGTGGTTATAGTGTCTCACTGTCAGTATTAATAAAGCTTGGTGTATTGATATTATTATTGGTATTTATATAGAGCCAGCCTATGCTGTGACTCTGGTCTCGGTATATAAAGCTGGCTGTATCCCCAGTCAGTGGTTATAGTGTCTCACTGTCAGTATTAATAAAGCTTGGTGTATTGATATTATTATTGGTATTTATATAGAGCCAGCCTATGCTGTGACTCTGGTCTCGGTATATAAAGCTGGCTGTATCCCCAGTCAGTGGTTATAGTGTCTCACTGTCAGTATTAATAAAGCTTGGTGTATTGATATTATTATTGGTATTTATATAGAGCCGGCCTATGCTGTGACTCTGGTCTCGGTATATAAAGCTGGCTGTATCCCCAGTCAGTGGTTATAGTGTCTGTTATCTCTGTCATTGTTAATAAAGCTTGGTTTGTTGATATTGATGATATTATTTTATTACCGCTTTAGATACACGGCGTCCTCCTGCATTGCTGTTCTGGTCCCGGGTTTCACAGTCCGGTCTTGGTTCTGTTTCCGGTCGGTCCTGGTCCCGGTTCTGACTGTATTTCCGGTCTGGAGGTGGGCGGGGCCGAGTGGCAGTTTGTTCGGTTACCAAGGGAAAATTAAGCCACGCCCACCGCTTCACAGATTAAACCATATTACAAGGACAGACTCCGCCCACGATCTGGCCCCGCCCTCTACAGTATATTCTAATTGGTGAGCAGTCTCCGCCTCCTATGACGGGTCAGGCTGCCAATCACTGCAAGTCCCGCCCACCTCCTGATATCCAGCCTATCCGAGAGCCGTAAAGCGGTGTCCGTGCCGTACGGCGATCCTGAGTGCTGTGATTGTGTAGTTCTATAATGTGACTCGCTCAGTGTTTAACAGCCCGCCCCCCCTTTCTATCAAATTCCCTTTCTGGTCACTTCCTGGGCTGCACATGCTGCTACTCCTCCGAAGCCAGGTCCTGGAAGGTAAATAACACAGCCAGGTCCTGGAAGGTAAATAACACAGCCATTAACACAGCCAGGTCCTGGAAGGTAAATAACACAGCCATTAACACAGCCAGGTCCTGGAAGGTGAGTAACAGCCAGGTCCTGGAAGGTGAGTAACAGCCAGGTCCTGGAAGGTGAGTAACAGCCAGGTCCTGGAAGGTGAGTAACAGCCAGGTCCTGGAAGGTGAGTAACAGCCAGGTCCTGGAAGGTGAGTAACAGCCAGGTCCTGGAAGGTAAATAACAGCCAGGTCCTGGAAGGTGAGTAACAGCCAGGTCCTGGAAGGTGAGTAACAGCCAGGTCCAGCCAGGTCCTGGAAGGTGAGTAACAGCCAGGTCCTGGAAGGTGAGTAACAGCCAGGTCCTGGAAGGTGAGTAACAGCCAGGTCCTGGAAGGTAAATAACAGCCAGGTCCTGGAAGGTAAATAACACAGCCATTAACACAGCCAGGTCCTGGAAGGTAAATAACACAGCCATTAACACAGCCAGGTCCTGGAAGGTAAGTAACACAGCCATTAACACAGCCAGGTCCTGGAAGGTAAATAACACAGCCATTAACACAGCCAGGTCCTGGAAGGTAAATAACACAGCCATTAACACAGCCAGGTCCTGGAAGGTAAATAACACAGCCATTAACACAGCCAGGTCCTGGAAGGTGAGTAACAGCCAGGTCCTGGAAGGTGAGTAACACGGCGCCGGGACTGTGCATCTAAGGGCTTTCCAGTGGGGGTAACCTTCACCGAGGAGGTGGGAGCCTGGGCTGGGGGCGCCTATGGGGAGCCATAATGGCTGTGGAGGATGTGCTTACTTTTACATTTGTTTTTGTGAGGGAATGTGAACTAGCTGCCGCCCCAAGGTCCCGAGATGGTACTGAGACCGAGGGGAGGATGGGCATCTCCACCGGTTCCTGACTCCAGATGGACTCTACATTATGCTGGGCTTCGGGGCAGGTGCTGTAATGCCTGTACGATCCGCACTTATGGCATACCCTGGGCTGACCAGGGTAAAAACAGGATACCCGGTCAGCCCCGATGAAGCATTTGGCATATGCTGTGTGACACCTCTAATCTCCCGCAGCAACACAGAAACAGTCCACCCACTTGTCCATATCCCATCCTCATCTAAGATCTTAACAGGGGGGGATTTAACATCCCCAAACCTCTTGGTCCATACGAGGATGTCCGCTATGGGGATGGATTCATTCCTCACCAGGAAGGTGACCTTCTTAAGACCCTTGGTCACACCGGGACCCAGGGTGGCAACCTGGGAGTGCCTAAGGGGTACCTGTGTACCTACTTGTGCATCTATACTATTTACAACCTTGGCACCCTTTGCCAGGGTGCCTGTGCTCGTGCCCACCACCTGTGCACCCACGTAACATAGAAACATAGAATGTGACGGCAGATAAGAACCATTCGGCCCATCTAGTCTGCCCAACAGGCCGCACAGCACTGTGGGAGGGGGTTAACTGTACCGTGAAGGGCGCAACAGAACCGAGGGGGGGGGGGCGGCAACAGAACCGGAGGGGTTAACAGTACTGGGAGGGGGAGCAACAGTATCAGGGGGAGGGGCAATAGTATCAGGGGGAGGAGTCATAACATTACAATGAACTTGGCTGTGGACCTGTTTGATTAGGTCAGTGGGTCCCATTAAAGCAGCAACATTAGCAGCAACATTTGTATTACTGCACTCATTCCCATCACCCCCAGCCATCCCCAAACCACCAGTGGAGCCACACAGAAGGTGAGCAGTGCAATTCTTACCTCCACTGGTGGTTCTCTCAACAGGAACTGCTGGCCGGGGATGATAGGAGTCCTCGGTATCCATGGCACCCTTGGCACCAATGGTACCCACAACACCAGGACCATGCACATTTTGAGTATTAGCCATTACATAGAGGGGCACACATGGAGGAACAGACGGGGAGACACACATTGTGATACATACTGGGAAGCAGGCTGGGAAACAAACAGGGGAGGAAACTGACAAACAGGGGAAAGGAGCTGAAAACCCACTGGGGGAGCAGAGGGAGGAGGAGGGCCATCAATGTGCACACTCTGGTGCTGCACAGCCCCAGCTACTGCAGCAACCTTCATGGAAGGTCCAACGGCGCCACTATTCCCCCCACCGGGCCGCCCCATTACAGGGGCAGCTTCCATGGAGGGTCCAGCGGCACTGTCTTTCCCCCAACAGGCCGCACAGCACCGGGGACTGAGGCAGCAGCCGTTTACCACACCACCACCTTGCTCCAGACCGAACCCACCAGTGCCATCCTGCCCAGCGGCCGCCTGAGGACAGGAGGCAGAGGGTCCAACCACATCGAGAGGAAGGTCAAAGGGAAGGGAGGGAATGGGAAGGGAGAAGGGGAAGGGCCCCTCCATGGGATCACCGGTACCCGCCACAGTACCGGCGGGGATGGTCTCCCTGGCACCATGGAGGGCGGCGGGGGGTCCAGATACCTCCACAGAGGCAGGGCGGGCAGACGCCTGGGGCACACAGGTGATGCCACCTGTGGGGTTAGTATCCCTGGCCCCAGGCATCTGCAAGGCCGGGAAAGCCTCCTCATGGTATACAAACTCGGCAGGGGAGCACTCACCCTCCTCCGTGGAATCTCCAGACCCCTTGACAGGGGTCTCAGGCTGACGCCGGGCGGTGTTCTTATTGTTCTTCTTTCTTTCCAACGGAGCCCTCCCCAAGTTCATTACCAAACCTGAGGAGAGACTCCTTAATCAGCCCTCGACCCCTGTCCTGCACGTTTTTCAGCCTCCATTCTTCTCCCTTCTGTCATTCCCACTCCGCTTCGTTGTCCTTCTCTCTGGAATATTTGTATTTTATTTACAAAAGTAACAAAAGCTAAACACAACTTGGCATCAGAAGTGGTGGGGGGTGGGGGGGGGGGAAGGGAGAGAGAGAATGGGGCTCACTCTATCATGGAGCATCCCGGGGGGTTAACTGAAAAGGGAGGGGCAACCAAAAGAGGGGTAAATAAGGAGGGGGGGTAACTAGGGAGGGCTAACTAAAGAGGGGCAGGACTTCATTATTGCCATGAAGATAATTGGGGAGTAACAGAAAAGGGAGGTCCATTAACTTCATGGACAAATTAAAAGGGGAGGGGAAAGGAGATAAAAGGGCGGAGGGCTCCATTAGCATCATGGAGCCAACTGGGGAGGAAACTTAAGGGACTTCGGGATGCTCCATTAAGGAGCTCAGCGAATTACCATAAATACCAGAAATAACCAGGGGGGAGAAAAAAAGGGGTGGGACCCAACTGACCCAAGTCCACAGCCAGGAAAAAAAAACATAAACATAAACATTATCATAACCACAAATAAAAAAAAAAAAAAGCAAACCAAAATGTCCATGAAATAACCCACCACCCACAAGTTTTTGGAGTCCTCTCTCATTAAAACACCCATAAAACCCACCACCCTCAAAGAGTCTATCCCTCCGTCCTTTACACCCAAATAAAACCCACCACCCAATAAGACCCACCACCCACATGGAGTCCATCTGTCCGTCCATACTCCTTTTGAATAATACCCACCACCCGCATGGAGTCCATCCCTCCGTCCATCAAACCACCCAGTGTCCTACCCCCCCACCCAAAGTAAATTGTTCATAGTTTCATTTTTGTCCTCAAAAATAATACAAAACCCCACCCCAACCCAAGCAACACCAAACAAACCCACCCGTGCATAAATAACACAAAAAGAACACAAGAACACAATAACCATTACCAAATCACATTATAACCCCAACCTTACCCTAACTACACTACACTACCCTTTAAACAGAGGAAGGTACTCGTCTGCTAAATGTGGTAGCCTTCCATGAAAAGAAAACCATTTCAAAATCTAAGGGGGGAAAGGGTGAAGACAGAATTTGAATACCCTTCACCAAGACAAGGACGCCCATGGAACGGTTCAAGGCGGGTGGACCTTGAGATTTCGCCACAGACGCTGCCAATTGGAGGGATCCATAGAGGCCCTTTCGGTGTTATAGATCCCACGTACCGCCCTGAGAATGTCTGCTACCACCACCTGACAGGAAAGGTCTTGACGCTGAAGGGATACCTGACACCGTGCCATCCAAGTGTGATACTTAACGCCTGAACTGACTACGTAAAGAGTGCTCAAATTAAAAGCCCTCCCCCGTGAGTTGGACGTCCCGTAGGCCCACTCCGCGTAAGTCCAGCGGGATAAGCAGGGGATGCCCAAGGCGGCTGAGACCTCTTTTTGTAGACCTGTACGTTAAAGAGGCACTCGAGGAGGAAGTGGTCCATGGACTCCACTTCCCCGGAACATTCCACCCGAGGACAACTGCGATCCGTTATGTTCCTGTACTTCAAGTTCCCTCGAACGTCAAGTCTACCGTGGAAGGAGAGAAACGCCAAGTCTCGGAATTTCTCCGGAAGGCGCCTGGAGTTGCTGTTTTTCAACCCCGAGGCGAGAGTACTTGGCGGGCAGTCCTTCAAAGCAAGCTGAACGCCAAAGTGGGTGGCCAGGACCCTCCCGTCGAGAAGCCTCTTGGGAGAGTCCCGAACCTCCTCCACCGTGACGTTCCACCTGCGGAGAATCCGCACTCCCTCGATGACCGAAGTCGGGAGATAGCTGGAATGCCGAACTCTCATGCTCTTCACCTTCCCGCCGCGAAACCAGTCCACCAGGAAAGGTGCGACCCACTCCCTGAACATACATACCCAGCCAGGCTGCTCGTCCTTCAGGAGAGCCCCGAAATTCCTTTTCAGGAAGGTGTTGGTAAAGAAGACGATGGGGTTGACCACGGCCAGACCCCCGTCCTTTCTGGCCAGGTAAGTGACCTCTCTTGATGAGGTTTAGTCTGTTCCCCCACAACATGCGGAAGAACAGCGCAAACATCCGAGTGTGGAGGGACCTGGGCAAAAGGAAGATGTTACTGACTTAGACGAATACGGTCAGAACATAGGTTTTGATCAGTTTCACCCGTTCTCTGTACGTCAGTTTCCAGCTGTGGCTCTCCTCCACCTTGCTGGAAGCTATGGCAAGCCGTTCGGACCAGTTCCTGAGAGCCAGATCCCCTGGTCCGAACATCACCCCCAAGATTTTAATTTCAGACTGGGCCCGCGGGAAACTGTCTGGAAGAGGGAACTGATCCCCCTTCTTCCCGCCCCAGAAAACTCCGCTCTTGTCCCTGTTGATACAAGAGGTTGAAGCGGCAGAATATGCTAGGATTAAATCATCCACCTCCGTGGCCTCCCCTGTGTCGGAGAAGACTACCCTTAAAGGTCTCTCCGGAGCCCTGGCCACTCCTGCAACGTGCTCGTCTCGACCCTTCGGATGAAGGGATCGACTGCAAACACGTACAGGAGCGGGCTGAGGGGACAGCCTTCCCGGACCCCAGATCGGATCCTAAACGTCCCGCCCCTTCACCCGTTCACAAGAGCGAAGCTTTTGGCCCCTCTGTACAAGGTGATGACCCAATTGATGAATTTACCCGGCAAGCCATACTTCCGCAAGACTGACCACAGATAACGGTGATCGACCCGATCAAAAGCTTTGGACTGATCAAGTGCCAGAAGGTATATCCCCCCTTCCTCCGGCCCTGCACTTCTCGAGAGCTTCCCTGACCTCAAAAACGGCATCGAAGACAGTTCGTCCCCCGATTGTACAGTACTGGGAGGTGGATAGGACACGCCTCGCTAGGCCTTGTACCCGTTTCATCATAATTTTTGCCAGGACCTTCCTGTCGACATTTAACAGGGATATGGGACGCCAGTTCCCCACATCCGCTGTGTCGAGCACGTTCGGCTTGGTCAGCAAGATCGAGGGTGGCAATAATTCTCGCGCCAAGCTCTCATTAAACACCTCAGTTAAATGAGGGGCCAAGAGATCGCAGAACTGTTGGTAAAACTCAGCCGTCAGCCCATCAGGACCTGGCGACTTACACTTGTTCTGCTGATGGATACTCTCTGTGACCTCTTCTATGGTGATCTCGCTAATCAACTCGTCAAAAGAGGTCGCTATGCTCAGGGAGGGTGAGCTCGCTTAAGAAGTCATCCACCTAACTCCCATGGGACGTTCCCCCCCCACCCACCCCCTCGGTACATTGGGGTCTGTCCTTACCGATGAGCTCCATATAGTAATTGTGGACCACCTTCAGAATCCCGTGAGGAGACTCCTCAAGGAACCCGTCAGTGCCCCGCAGACCAGAGATAGTTTTGGTACCTTCCTTCCGCTTGCAGCTAAGATAAGGATTGGGTGAATGGTAAGACCCATGATCCCTCTCCTTTACAAGGGAGGCGTACCTGTCATACTGATAACTCCTCATCAGGGCCTTGACCGCTGCAGTGTCCTCTGGGTCACCTCCCTGCAAGATCAAGACCTCCAACCTCCCAAGCAAGCTCAGATACATCTTGTACCTAGAGGACTGCATGTTTCGGGCAAGACTGCGAAACAGCCCTCGAGTTCTGGCCTTCACCATCTCCCACCACTCAGACTTCGTTTGGCCTAAATTGGCCAATGTCATCTGGTCGTGAAAGAATTCCATGAAGGCTTGCTGAACCCTCTGTTCCACCAGGAGGTCTGAATTTAGCCGCCAGATCCCTCTACCTTTAGGTGGGGTACTATGGACGTTCAACTCGCAAGATAAAATGTGATGGTCGGAGAACTCCACCGGCGTAAGCATGGGTGCCGTCACCGGGAAATTCTCCTTAAAGAAAAACCTGTCTATCCTACTCTGACAAGTACCTCGGTGATACGTGTACCCACCCGTGGGATTGGGAGTGTGGTGAAGGTACACATCGACCAATCCAGCCTGACTAACCATATTGTTTAAAAAAATGGAGTCATACCCCAGCCTCTGAATGGCGCCTCTCCTGTCTTGAGGCCTAGTAATGGTGTTGAAATCACCGCCAAACAGGACTTGCTGGGATGTATAAAGGTAAGGCTCTATCTCACTAAACAGGCGCTCCCTCTCCCACTTGGTTTGGGGTCCATAGATGTTAATGATTCTGAGAGGTTGCCTGCCCAGTGACACCTCTATAACCACACAACGTCCTTTCTGCAACTCAATAACCCTGTTGATGTAAACATCAACTTCCTTAAATAGGATGGCGATTCCCCCATATCTCTCTGTGGCTAGAGAGAAGTAGGAGGGCCCCCATCTTCAGTCCCGCTTTGCAGCGTGCAGGGCCGCGAGGGTTTCCAGCCGGGTCTCCTGTACCAAGATGACATTGTACGGAGCCTGGCTGAGGTGGTCGTAAACCAGAAAGCGGGCCATGCTGGACATAATGCTGTTCACATTCACCATAGCCACAGAGAGTACAGGAAATGTCGCCATAAGGGTATTAAGCATAAGGAGATCTTCCCTTCCTTCTGTGATCCCCCTCCTCCTCCGAGCAGTACCTCTTCACTGAGACTCCGGAAATACAGTGGCCCGTCGTCTCTCAGATGTACCTCCTGTCCGACCTCAACCTCTGCCCCCACTCCGGGGAGGTTCGCCATCTCCTCCTCAAGCTCACAGTCAGCCCAGCTGGCAGACAGTGCGTCGTACTGGTTGGATACTGGCACTGGGGCCTCCTGCAAGCCTGAAGAGGAGGAAGACCCCCTCGCCCCACCGCCCTTAGAAGTGGCATCCCCCCCGTTTCGGGCAGCGCCGAGGTCTTGGAGGGAGGGAGAGGCTTTCCCTTCCTCACCGTGCTCCACTCTAGGGACTGCATCTAGTCCACCCACCTGTCCATATCCCATCCTCATCTAAGATCTTAACAGGGGGGGATTTAACATCCCCAAACCTCTTGGTCCATACGAGGATGTCCGCTATGGGGATGGATTCATTCCTCACCAGGAAGGTGACCTTCTTAAGACCCTTGGTCACACCGGGACCCAGGGTGGCAGCCTGGGAGTGCCTAAGGGGTACCTGTGTACCTACTTGTGCATCTATACTATTTACAACCTTGGCACCCTTTGCCAGGGTGCCTGTGCTCGTGCCCACCACCTGTGCACCCACGTAACATAGAAACATAGAATGTGACGGCAGATAAGAACCATTCGGCCCATCTAGTCTGCCCAACAGGCCGCACAGCACTGTGGGAGGGGGTTAACTGTACCGTGAAGGGCGCAACAGAACCGAGGGGGGGGGGGCGGCAACAGAACCGGAGGGGTTAACAGTACTGGGAGGGGGAGCAACAGTATCAGGGGGAGGGGCAATAGTATCAGGGGGAGGAGTCATAACATTACAATGAACTTGGCTGTGGACCTGTTTGATTAGGTCAGTGGGTCCCATTAAAGCAGCAACATTAGCAGCAACATTTGTATTACTGCACTCATTCCCATCACCCCCAGCCATCCCCAAACCACCAGTGGAGCCACACAGAAGGTGAGCAGTGCAATTCTTACCTCCACTGGTGGTTCTCTCAACAGGAACTGCTGGCCGGGGATGATAGGAGTCCTCGGTATCCATGGCACCCTTGGCACCAATGGTACCCACAACACCAGGACCATGCACATTTTGAGTATTAGCCATTACATAGAGGGGCACACATGGAGGAACAGACGGGGAGACACACATTGTGATACATACTGGGAAGCAGGCTGGGAAACAAACAGGGGAGGAAACTGACAAACAGGGGAAAGGAGCTGAAAACCCACTGGGGGAGCAGAGGGAGGAGGAGGGCCATCAATGTGCACACTCTGGTGCTGCACAGCCCCAGCTACTGCAGCAACCTTCATGGAAGGTCCAACGGCGCCACTATTGGACACAGCGGTGAATCCTGCCCTCTTTGAGCCCTGCGCAGACCTGGCCGCCTCCCATCCAGCCCAGAAGCGATCCAGGAGCTGCGACGTCATAAAGGAGACGTCGAACTCCCGGGTGCCCGAGGCATGGATGAGCGCGTACAGGTCCACGGGTGCAAACCCCATATACTTTCTGTCAGGCACCTGGTCTCACCCCCAAAGACGAGCCATACTACTTTCCTCCTGTTCCCAAAGGAAACCTGAGGACACACAGCAGGTCCGCCCGCCGAGAGGCGAGGTGGCCCAGATGCCCAAGCATTGGGCACGCTGGGACCCGTCACCTGGGAAGGGGTGGGGCGGACTCCCCCCGCAGGACCAGTAGAGGCCCTGGTCACACCGGGACCCGGGGCGGCAACCTGGGAGTGCCTAAGGGGAACCTGTGTACCTACTTGGGCATCAACAACTTTATTTACAGCTTGATCCATAACTTTATCCATAACTTTGGCACCCTTTGCCAGGGTGCTTGTGCTCGTGCCCATCACCTGTGCACAAACATGAAAACGAGGAAGGGGGGCAACATAACCGGGGAGAGTACTGACATAATGGGGGGCAGCTGGACTGGGGAGGGCACCAGATGAATTAAGGGGGATAACAGAACAGGGGGGCATTAACTAAATCAGGGGGGACAATTAAACTAGGGGGGACACCAACAGAACCGGGGGGGGGGGCGGGGAAACCAGGGGGGCAAATGTAGTAAAAGCTGAGTGAACCTGGCTGTGGCCTTTCAATTTTAGGTCAGTGGGTCCCTTTAAATAAGGCACTTTTAACATCACCATTCAAACTCCCATCACCCCCAGCCATCCCCCAAACCACCAGTGGGGCCAAATTGCAAGGCATTAACACTTTCCTTACCTCCACTGGTGGTCCTCTCAGGTAGGGTGGCTGGCTGGGCATGATGGGAGTCACCCACACTCGCTGCACCCCGGGCACTCACGGAACCGCTACGGCGGCACCTGTGGCACTGGAAAAACCGGCACCACAGGCACCAGCCATAACATACAGGGGGACACATTGGGAGACAGACTGGGTGACATACTGGAAAACAGATTGGGAAGCAGGCTGGGAGACAAACAGGGGAGGAGACTCACAGGGGGGAATAATTGGAACACTTACTGGTGCAGGAGCAGAGAGAGGAGGGCCATTACATTGTATACTCCATTGCTGCTCAGTCCCAGCTACTGCAGCAATCTTCATGGAAGGTCCAACGGCGCCGCCATTCCCCCCCCACCGGGCCGCTCCGCTTCAAGAGCAGTCCCCCTGGGGGGTCCGGCGCCACCAACTCCCCCCCGGCCGCACAGCACCTTTCATGGAGCAACGGCTTTCCACATCACCCTGCTCCAAACAGAACCCAGGGGTGCCATCCTGCCCAGCAGCCACCTGAGGACAGGAGGCAGAGGGTCCAGCCACACCGGAGGATGCAACCACATTGAGAGGAAGGTCAGAGGGAAGGGAGGGAAGGGGAAGGGCCCCTCCATGGGATTGTTGTAGAATTATAGAATTCTTGAAATTATCTAAGCTAATACTTTGGCAGGAAGAAATGTGCGTCAGCAGAACAATGAGTTTCTGTTGAATGAAATATTGTAGCAACTGAGCCACATGTTGGTCTTAATAAAGTACGTGTCAGCTGAATAATAAAATGTGTATTTACTAAAAGAACCTTGAAACTAACAATACCAACTACTCAAAATGGCTGCCAAAGCACCCCTCCCATCGAGTGAACACCTCGTGCTTGTGTCCACTCCCGTGTCAAGGATGACACCACCTCTTGATGGGAGGGCATCTAACTAACCACTTAACACCTGAACCAATTAATAATGTTTATTTGTTGTTATCTTGAATTCTTCAGTGATGTAAAAATGCCTTTATAAGGGTCTGCGCACCCATTTTCTGTTAGAAGCCATTAAACTTTTCCGAAGTTCTTTCATTAACCTGAACCCTGTGTCTCAGTGTGAATTTACTTCTGCGTGCACGCAACTTTATTATCTTTAATTTGGACAGGAACAGATAGTCATTCAAATTAATTGGTTTGCAGAAAATAATCTACTACAATTTGGCGCCTTCAACGTGGGGCTCTGGGTTATGTCCTGCCTGGACAGCCGTCCAAGAAGACGCTGGGGGGGGATGAATCTTGGGGGAAGGAAAAGAGCCTGATCACCTCTGAATACACGGTAGAGATTGCTGCAGCACCTAGCCGGTATGTTCCTGCCCCTGTGATTGACCTGTCCCAGTGTCTGTGACTGCTGCCGAGAGGACATCAAAGTCAGGTAATAACTTGCCCAGAGTCTTTATATTGTTAATGATACCTAGTTTACCTGCATGTTGACTATCTGTTGCCTGGGTGTGTTTGTATTGGTTTGTGTTTAGCTTAGTCCCCGGGGAGTGTGAGTGCCTGTTTACCCCTTTTAGGTGCTAGGTGGCTCTAGCGGTAAAGGAAAAAGGGGAGGGGACCTGGTGGAAGTCTGTGTGGACTCACTACTTTCTCAGGTCCGGGGTGTCACTTTGAGGGCCTGGCTAGCCTCATTGTGCACGTTACTCTGCTTGCAGAGGGTGAGACACTTCAGCCTCGAACGCTGACGCTGGTAGTGTTCTGTTAACCTCTCAGTGCCCGCGGATACGGACACTGTTAGGTTGTGGTGGGATTGGATTCGGGCAGGCATTGCTGTTTCCATCACCGTGCAGTAGTGAGACTTGTGGGTGGGTCCGCAACAGGGACACTACGAGGTTGAGGGAGGTGGCTGAGGCCACACGAGTAAAGGAAAGGGATTTGAACTGTGATGCATGCACTGTATTTTATTTGAAATGTTGTCTTAATTGTCTGTCACACAGATTCCTGTGCTTGATCTTATCTTACTCTCTGTGTTATTTACACTTTCCCCTCTTATTTCTATTTGTTGAGAGAAGTGATTGGTCACACACTTCTCGCCACGCTCCAATTCCGCGGCTACCTCGGGTAGGCGGAATTAGTGACTAGTCTACGTTTTGGGAAGACGTACGTAGGAACCCACTCTTACGTAGCAGTCGAGCACTGTAGACCTTCTTTTCTCTCTTTCTCTATATCTGGGACGCCTTTATATAGGGAGGATGGGACAGAAGTTAAATAAACCCAGTAAGGGTTGGTTAGCATGTGATCTAGTGGAAGACAGAGAAGGAGAAGAGATGGTTAAGAAAGTGAGGAAGATTGCTAAAGTATGTGGAATTACGTACCTCCGTGCGGCAGATTGTAGCCAGAGAGCTGGCGTAAGTTACTGACAGAGAAGAAAGGGAAGCTGTCGGACCACGATTTGGTTCGTACAGCAGAAGCCTGGTACCGAGTAGCAAGAGCTATTCAGCAAAAGGGATAGGTTGAGGAAGAAATTGATCACAAAGGTTTAAGATTGTTTGTGTATTATAATAATTGTGTTACTGGGAAGTTCTCCCAGCCGGCGCCCAGGAGGTGACCACTCCCAACATCGCGTCAGCAATGACCGAAATGCAGCTGACCATGGTCCCCACCCTACCACCGCCCCTGTTTACCCAGTCCTGAATGCTGATGGATCCTTCTCCCCCCCCATCAGTCCTACAGATCTCGTCACCCTCATCCTCTCTCACCACCCTCCCTCTCCAGTCCGTTTCTCCCGTCCGCTCTTCCTCCCCTACCTGCCCACTTCCTCCTACTCCTCCTACTAATCCCTCCCCTCCGTCTGTCCCCTCCATCTCCTGCCCTTCCTACCCCACCTGCTCCTCCTCCCACTCCACCTGCTACTTATTCTTCCATTTCCCCACCACCATACCTATATCTTATATCCTTCCTCCCTTCCTAATCCATACCCATCTCCTCCGCCCTACCCGTGCTCTGCCCTAGCACCTGCCCAAATGGCCTGGCCATTCCCCTACCCTTATCCCGCAACTCCGCCCTATTCCGCCACTTCCTACGTACCTTCTGTAGCCACACCCCCGTCCCCGATCACGCCTACCCTGCCTCAACCTGCTCAAGTTGTGCCCACATCCAACATGGCCGCCACTTCCTCCCTTAACCCCAACGCCACTTCCTTCCACGCCTCCAATATGGCAGCCCCCAGTGGTGCTGCACCTCTAATGTCAGTCCTTCCAAATGATTTGTTACCACCAGCGAATACCACACCATTAGCTCCGGCAGGCGGAGTGCCCATTCTACCCCCGGCCCTGACACCTCAGGTAGCTACAAATCCTACAGGGGTCCAGAAACTCATCGCCCCGCCTGCCCCGGTGCTCTATCAATGACCCTTTTGGTCACCGGATTCAGGGAAAGAAGGCCCCTGTAATGTATGTCTCCTTCAATCCCACTCAGGCCTCTGCTCTAATGAAATCACTCCCTGACCCCGAAAAACAGCCCATGTCCTTCTATAGAGGGGTAGTTCAAATTCAACAGACCTATTCCGCCGCATGGCGTGATTTGTTAAGCATCTGTGCCATAAAGGCTGGAGATGCTTATTGGCCTAGCATTGCCCGCTACCTCTGCAACAATTGGCTCACTAGTGATACTGACTATGCATCGGGGATTGAATTCTGTGCCCAGCTGAAGGACTGGGCTTAGGATAAGCTCGCAGACTTAGCAGCTGGCCTCAACGATGTTGTTCGGGAAAAAGGTGAATCTGTGGAGAGGTTCTATGCTAGACTTTTCCAAGTATTCTCAGACCTGGGATTTGATCTCGGCAACAAAATTCACTCCCAGATGCTTTCTGGTGCCTTTGTCCTAGGCATCAAAGACTCTATACGCAAGGGTATTATTGCTGCTCGCCCTGAATATAGGGTGGTTCCCCTGGATAAGTTACTCTTAGTTGCCAGAGGACTAGAATCAGCACAGAATCCTAGAAAGTTCAATTCAACTCCTATTATGGTGTCACGCCCAGTCCCAAGAGGCACCAGGCCCGCTGATGGAATCTGTTTTTAATTGTGGGGGAAAAGGGCCATTTCAGGAGTGATTGCCCCGAGACCCGGAGATACCGAAAATCATATACAGACGAGGAGGTGCCTAAACCCACACCAATAACAAAGGCTCCAAAACCTCCCTTGCCCGATTCAGTCCAAGAAGATTAGGAAATTGGCAAGCCTGTGTCATTAACCCCTGTCATGGCAGTATATTCATGGGAACAAGGGGGGCCACTAGCCACTGTAACTTTACCTATTGAAGGTCACCCTACCACATTCCTTGTTGACACAGGTGCAGCCCGAAGTGTTCTGAGAGAACAAGACCTGCCTGATTCTTCATTCCTTTCCAATATTGACGTCTCCTGTGTAGGTGTAGATGGCCTCCCGAGACAGTCCTTTAACTACTCCTTTACGGGTTGGCAACTGTCCCAATCTGCTTGCCCGATTTGTGGTGTCTTCAACATGTCCTATTAACCTATTAGGTGCTGATGTCCTTTCCCGCCTACAGGCATCTATCACCTTCACACCGGACGGCCAGGTGGAACTATCTACTCCCCTGTCCGAATCAGACACCTCAGCCTTGTGTTCCCTGCTTTTGATGCTTCATCTAGAAAAATCCCATGGGACTGCAAAGGCCCTGAGGGACAACTTTCCAGAAATTCTAATGACAAGTGTCCCCAAGAAACTATGGTCTTCAGGCCCAGAGGACATAGGTCATCTAAAGGTCCCACCTGTGATGGTAAAGCTAATTCCAGGAGCAAAATTACAGAGAAACTCAATATCCATTGAAACCAGCACAAGCTGTGGCCATCACGGAACAAGTACAAGCACTACTGGCTAAAGGTGCTCTTGTCAAGTGCGAATCACCATGCAACACCCCATTGTTCCCTGTGAAGAAGAGGACACCTAAGGGTGAACCTGACAAGTACAGGATGGTCCAGGATCTTCGGGCTGTCAATGAGGCCACAGTTTTGGACACCCCAATTGTGCCTAACCCACACACCCTTCTCTCTGGTGTTCCACCTTCTGCCACATACTTCAGTTATTGATCTGGCCAATGCATTTTTCAGTGTCCCTCTGGACCCCACCTGTCAGTACCTGTTTGCCTTCACGCATGAGAAACAATACACGTGGACTGTTATGCCCCAGGGAGCACAAAATTCACCAAGTCAGTTTGCAAAGTCTTCCATCCTTGATCCATGGCAATCTGACCACCCCGAGGTTGTCCTGCTCCAATATGTTGATGACCTGCTCCTTAGTGGAGATGACATCCCCACGACAGAAAAATGTTCTCTGGACCTCCTTTGTTATCTTGCAGATCAGGGGTGTAAGGCATCTCTTGTCAAACTTCAATTTTGCCAGGCCACAGTAATCTTTCTAGGCCATTGCCTGTCCCATGGCACTAGACACCTCACCCGTGATCGTGTCGGAGCGGTTTTGGCCATTCTGCCTCCAAAAACTCCAAAATCCCTCCACGCCTTTCTAGGCCTCACTTCTTACTGCCGAGCGTGGATCCCAGAGGCCTCTCTACTCATGCAACCTTTGTACGATGCTCTTAGATCAGACCCATTCTGTCTGTCCTCAGAAGCACATGACAACTTCTGCACTCTCCAATGTGCTATTGCCTCTGCTCCCGCCCTTGGCTTGCCAGACTACACCAAACCATTCAAATTATTTGTGTCTGAAAGACAAGGCCACGCTACAGGAGTCCTTACTCAAGCCCGTGGACCTGGCGGCCGCCAAAGGCCTATTGGCTTCTTCTCTTGCCAACTAGACATTGTGGCTAGAGGAACCCCCTCTTGCCTCCGAGCTGTTTTTGCCGCTCAGGAACTCATAAACCGCACTGGGGACCTGGTTCTTGGCCACCCTCTGACTGTTTTGGCACCTCATGATATTTCTGCCATACTTAACCAGGTCCAACTCAAACATGTCACCCCTGCCAGGCACCTTCGTCTCTAATGTCATCTCCTGTTACCTGACAATGTTACCCTTCAAAGATGTCAGGTTCTGAATTCGTCCACTCTTCTGCCACTCCCTGAGGGGGGTAGCTACTATGGATTTATCATGGATGAAGGCTATGTCCTACTTCTTACCCACACTATTAAAACAATGCACCTCAATTTACCCTTTTGTGACGGGCCAGAATATGCCTTCTGCACCATGTGGTACAAGCCAACCATCAACCCTGACCCTCATTATGAAGATGAACTTTATCAATTAGTTGAGGCAAAACTCATTCTACAAGATTTTTACTGCGATACTGAAAGCAACAGTATGATTTTGGTTCAACTACCACTTGGACTAGAACATCTATATCACCATTGGGACACAGACATTCCACATGTCCCTGTTACCAAATCAAAGAAAGTCATGGGGTGATCTCGGGCCCATGGCAAAACTATGGGCCACCATGGATGAACTACAGCTCCAAGAAAAAGGCGTTGTCAAGTACCCAACAACTGAACATGTAAAAGCATGGCCACGGTACTTTCTGGAAGAAGAATTTGAAGATCTGGTCACAAAGCACGACTATGATCCAGAAACTCCCCATAACTGTTTTGAACAGATGAAAATGGAAACACATTTGCCAACAGTGTATGAGGATCCACTAATAGATCCTGACCTCACCCTGTTTGTGGACGGCTCAAGGTATGCTGATGAAGGAAAATATCACACAGGATATGCCGTCACCACAACAGATGAAATTATCAAGTCATCATCTCTACCATCAACAATGTCTGCGCAGGAAGCTGAATTACAAGCCCTAACTTTAGCATGCAAGATATCTGAAGGAAAGCGCGCCAATATCTACACAGATTCAAGATACGCACTGGGCGTGGCTCATGACTTCGTATTAATTTGGAAAACAAGAGGATTTCTTACCACTGCCGGTACACCAGTCAAGCACAGTTCTGCAGTCAAGGAGCTGATGGATGCCCTCCTACTCCCAGAAGAAGTGGCTATTCTGAAGGTAAAGGCACATGGAAAGTTGGATTCGGATGAAGCAAGGAGCAAGCTGCAAGAGAACTACAGGAAGTGGACAGAAGTGTGTCCGGAAACGAAGAAACTCCCACATTTACCTTGCAGACACTTCCAACTGATCTAAAAATCCTATGAGAACAGGCTGCAGTTGCTCCTGAAGAAATAAAAAGATGGAAACAAAGGGGCAGTTCTGAAGGATGGAGTGTACTCCAACAACCTCAAGTTTTGCCTCCCTAAGAATTTGTACCCAGCAGTCGTACAATGGGCACACGGACCTGCACGTTTATCAAAGGATCTAATGAATGCTCTTGTACAAAAATTCTACGAAGCACCCGGAATTACTACACTAACCAGGAACTACTGCAAGGCCTGTGTTTTGTGCTAAATGCAATCCAGGAAAAACAAAGTTCCTCCAAAACATCTGGTTAAACCCATGTATCCATTTCAAAGGATTCAAATCAACCACATCCAGATGCCAAAGAGTGGTCACTATGAATATGCACTAGTGAGTGGACATGTTCTCAAGCTGGCCAGAAGCCTATCCAGTAGTCAACATTACCGCCAAGACAACAGCAAAACGTCTACTCACAGAAATTATCCTGATTCTGATACGGGCAACCAGTCTGCTTCCTGGTGATTGGGTCCTAGTCAAGAAATTTGTGCGTAAACACACCCTGGAACCAAGATTTGACGGACCATTCCAAGTTCTACTGATCACCTCCACCTCCGTCAAGTTGCCTGGGAAAAGCAACTGAATCCACGCCTCCCATTGCAAAAAGGTTCCTGTCCCAGAGGAAGCAGACTCCTCACAACCAAATCTGGTACATCATCCCTTTGATTAGTTTCCTTGAGGCCCAACAAGTGGCCATTACCAAAGATGTGGGTACACATTCTGGTATAATTCATCATGCACCCGCGTAGCTACATTCACCTTTGATTACTGTGACATAGTAGATTGCCCATTTCCCAAGTCACAGATTCAAACCATTTACAAAGATATACCACATGCAAAGGACCCCTATGTTTGTGTAGTTGACAAGCAATGGGGACACAACTGTGACCATTGGGGGGGCTGCAGGATGGAATACTGGGCCTGCCTGGGGTTATAAACCCAAAAGTGCCTTATCTAAAGTAGATGACCATGGTAGATCCCTCCTTCAAAGAATGACTTTAAGAAAGCCTGGAGGAGGTCTGCCCATGAAATTAATGTTAAACATTGAGCACCCTGGTCCAAAGGATGCTGACCAATATGTAATGGGAATGTATTGGAAAAGTGGTTCCTATAACAAATTAGGTCATTTCTATCTTAAAGATATGTGCCACTCTCCAGAGTGGCAAGGGGCTGTTCATATGGTCCTGAATCCACTGAAACCACATATCCAGTCTTTTAAGGACATGATGGCCATTGCTAACCCCACCTTCGAAGACACCATGGCCACTGAAACTGGTTACAATGATCTCAATCTATGGTTAGAGTGGATGAAATATAATGCTAATAAACATAAAACCGCATGCTATGTGTGCGGTGGTACTCTACCTCATCTTGGCACAGTTCCTCAAACTCTCCCTTTGGAGATAGAGAATTGCTTCCTCAGTCTTTTTGCCTACCGCTATATTTTCAACAGCTCCCTCTGCGAAGCATGGACGCCAGAGTACCCCCTCTTAATTGGAAATGTCAAACCCCCAGATGGAATCACGATTTACAAGGGTAATTACACTTGCTATGCTAACTATGACGGGATTGGTAAATTCATGGGTAACTTTTCCAATGGCTATTGTGCCACCTACAGAACTGTTCCTATACGCCTGTTGCAACACCATACCAGGTCATTGGGGGATATTTACTGGTTATGTGGGGATCTACAGTTAAGATCTAGGCTGGAAACTGAGTGGTAGGGTGAGTGTACCCTAGCCAAAGTTATCATGCCCATTCATATTATTTCTGATAATCATCATGACACATACGACCCTCCACATACACCAGCCAGAGTGAAGCGCAAAACTCCAGTAAAAGGCAGTTTTGACCCACACATTTACATAGATGCCATTGGGGTACCTAGGGGGGTGCCTAATGAATTTAAAGCTAGAGATGAAGTCGCTGTAGGTTTTGAATCACTGTTCACTATAGTCACTGCCAACAAAAACCTTAATTGGATTAACTACATTTACTACAACCAAAAGCGTTTCGTCAACTACACCAGGGATGCCCCCCAGGGCCTGGCCGAGCAGTTGCAGGCCACATCCCAGATGACCTTCCAGAACAGAATGGCCTTAGACATGATTCTAGCTGAAAAGGGGGTGTATGTAAAATACTACCTGACACCATGACTTGTTGCACTTATATCCCAGAAAACACAGGTCCAAATGGTAAAGTCACTATGGCCATAGCGAAGTTAGAGAAACTCTCAGAAGAGTTGAAGAGGAATTCTGGCGTAACAGATCCCTGGGAAAGGTGGTTTGGTTGGATGTCAGGTTGGCAGAAAGCTTTAGTCCATATTGGTATGGCTCTACTAATTTTCCTTTTTGTTCTCGCTCTTCTCGTTTTTGTCCTCCCATGCCTTAGAAAATTCTTACAGAAGACTACAGACCAAGCGACACTAACTTTCACTCATCTGACAATCAATGATCAAGATCTCACCTCACCCTGTATTCCGCTACAAACTCTCCCTTATACTGATAAAGTGCAGATGTTCTAGGAAGGGAACCAGCGCAGGGACAGCGTCCGTCTGTATGGGTTAGTCTGTTGTGGGAGATGTGGTGGACTAGCCGCTGCGGGTTACCCACGGAGTGAAGTGTTCGAGGGCCATACTGACGGATGAGCTGCAGCCTGTTAGGGTCAGATAGGGGTAGACATGCACTTTGCAATAACACCAAGCTAGCGACCATAGGGTTTCTGTGTCTTTGGGCTAACAAGTCTTCTGGTATTAACAAATAAAGTTTATCTTTTAGTAACTAACATTTTAAGGGGGGACTGTTGTAGAATTATAGAATTCTTGAAATTATCTAAGCTAATACTTTGGCAGGAAGAAATGTGCGTCAGCAGAACAATGAGTTTCTGTTGAATGAAATATTGTAGCAACTGAGCCACATGTTGGTCTTAATAAAGTACGTGTCAGCTGAATAATATGTGTATTTACTAAAAGAACCTTGAAACGAACGCTACCAACTACTCAAAATGGCTGCCAAAGCACCCCTCCCATCGAGTGAACACCTCGTGCTTGTGTCCACTCCCGTGTCAAGGATGACACCACCTCTTGATGGGAGGGCATCTAACTAACCACTTAACACCTGGACCAATCAATAGTGTCTATTTGCTGTTATCTTGAATTCTTCAGTGATGTAAAAATGCCTTTATAAGGGTCTGCGCACCCATTTTCTGTTAGAAGCCATTAAACTTTTCCGAAGTTCTTTCATTAACCTGAACCCTGTGTCTCAGTGTGAATTTACTTCTGCATGCACTTATTGGTTTGCAGAAAATAATCTACTACAGGATCACCGGTACCCGCCACAGTACCGGCGGGGATGGTCTCCCTGGCACCATGGAGGGCGGCGGGGGGTCCAGATACTATCACAGGCAGGGTGGGCAGACTGCTGGGGCACACAGGTGTTGCCACCTGTGGGGTTAGTATCCCTGGCCCCAGGCGTCTGCAAGGCCGGGAAGGCCTCCTCATGGTATACAAATTCAGCAGGGGAGCACTCACCCTCCTCCGTGGAATCTCCAGACCCCCTGACAGGGGTCTCAGGCTGACGCTGGGCGATGTTCTTTCTCTTCTTTCCTTTTCCAACGAAGCCCTCCCCAAGTTCGTAACCAAACGTGAGGAGAGACTCCTTAATCAGCCCTCGACCCTGTCCTGCATGTTTTTCAGCCTCCACTCTTCTCCCTTCTGTCCTTCCCATTCTGCTCCGCTGTCCTTCTCTCTGGCCTTCCTCTCTGTCTCAGCTGCGCCCTCCGGTGTGGTAAGGGTGGAGGCACATTGCACCCCAGGTGAGTGATGGGAGTCAGCATCCGAGTCCCTGCTGGACTCCTCACCTGGGGACATGTCCCTCCTACCCCCAAGGGCCCTCTGCCTCCTGGATTGTGCTGCCTCCTTGGCCATCTGTTGCAGGATGGACTGGATGTCCGCCATCTTGGATTCAGTTTGGAGCAGGGTGTAGGAAAGCCGCTGCTCCTCCAGCTTTTTCTGGGCTATAATGGCCCTCACAGGACCCCTTTTGTGGTTAGAGGTCCTGCTGGATTGCTCTCTCTGCTCCTTGAGCTCTGCCTGGACCCCAGCAAGGCCCGCATCCGCCTCTGCGTGCTGGGCCTTCAGGGACACAAGCAGACCCCGAAGCCTGTCAGGAGGTATGCCCTAGCCTCAACCCCCTCACCCTTTGCAGCCGCAGCATAGGTGAAGGAGGCCTGAGGGGCCTCGCTGGTACCAACCACCTCAGGGGGGGTCTCAGGGACTACCTCCTCCCCGGGACCCTCTCCCACATCCAGTGAAGTGGAGGCCGTCGCTGGCAAGTTCCTTGCACTCAGCCAGCAACCCAGAGAGCAGCTGGATATCGGCCCTGGTATGGGCCGTAGCTCCCTGGGGGACCCCCACTCCCTTCTTCCAAGCAGCAAGCTTGCTTGCCATCCCCCCCGCCAGTTCTTCCAACTGGGCAACTTGCTGCCTTACTTGCCGGGAGAGGGCCTGGTGTTCAGTCCAGTACAGGCTCCTGGTATCCACTTTTCCTTCCCCAAAGGCCAGACTGACTTGCAGCTTGTCTAGCTTGACCTTCCATCCCCAGGCTGGGGAGGAAGGCCTGAGGGCCATGCTGCTTTAGGCCCAGGCAGAGCCCCAATGTCCAGTAAGTATTCCCCAGGAACAATGCAGGGAAATATCCTGAATCTATTCAGCTATTTATAGCCCAGACTCAGAGAGATCTTCATCATTAGAGATGATTTTAATGTAAACAAAGCACTTTAAGTTCAGGTGCCAGGTACAACATGATTAGCATACAATGCTGAAATTGTGGATCTTAACTAATATCATAATAGAACAAATATACATATTTGGTAAACTCCCTGATATGCCTAATACACCAGCACAGCATGGCCCGTTAGTTCCAGGACAGTGGATTGCAGACAGGGGGATTTGTTCTCTTTGTAGCTGCTTAGTATGCATGCGCAGGAAAAAGATTAATGCAAAATGTTGTCAAAAGAAAAGTGATAAGACAGAGCGATGAAATTTGAAGTCTAATTCCAAGAATGCAAAGAAAATTGCATTATGGCTTAATGAAAACATTCATGCCACATAAGCGACAGACAGTCCACTATATAAGAAAAGTTTTATAAAACAGTGATAATTTCCATATTGTCAGTTAGGCTAGCTGTTGATTAAAAATCAGGAATTATAACAGCATAACTATTTTTTCAGTCTGGAATTTCCAGCCAAGGTTGCGGAGATACAGAGACATGTAAACATTCGAAGGAATTGAGAAGTCGTCGTTTTATATTCCAAATTATGAACATTATTATTACATACAGCCATAAAGAGAAAGACATGGCTATTAAATAAATTCAGTGCAGTACAATGCAGCATGTATTTTATATAATATATGCTAACTAGCTCATATTTTTTCCTAAACCGCGTTGAAATGATACTACCCTCCTAGAAAAAAGGGCAACAGGTGGTTATACATCCTTTGCTTCTCTAAATACTCTGTAAAAATAAATATTTATAAAACGATTAAAAATATATATTTAAGATAAATCAGGGCAAAATAAAATTGTAACTATACAGGATCTCTGATAGCTTTAAACTGAAATTATTAAAGGCTTATTTAAATAAAATTTTAAATACATTTACAGCTTTAAATGTGACCAAAAGATACTAAATGATGTGTTAAGCAGCCAGCCCAATTCACTAGAATAGCACAAGTATTCTACTATTTAAAGTGCACAATTCCTGCACATAATGACTTTGCTTACTCAGGTACAGTCTTTAGTCTATTGCAATGGCAGGATTAAAGTCCACCAATTTTAAAAGGGAAAGCTTACTTAAATCATTGGTACTATCCCACCGTACTAGCAGTAAGGAAATTAGAACAATTATATTGTACTACTGACTGTAATCCGATCAGACACATGTAATCTCAGTGAATTTCATAAACGGTTTTCATAAAATAAGATTAAATATTAAAGTTGTTTATATATCAATATATCAATGTTTATAAATAAAAGTATATAGACTAGGCAATAACAGCATTTACATGCATTCAGCAGCCTGCTTTCTCAGAGCCAGAACTGGATTTATAAAAAAAAATAGGTTTTAAAAAGTCCACAGTCAACCACACATGAATGGTGAAATAATTGCTTCTTTAAAAGCTATATGCTGCTGCAATTATGTATATAAATACAGATTAGGGCACAGTGTAGAAATACAGTTTCAAATCTGATAAATGGTGGTTCAGGTCCACCACATATTCTACAATTCTAAAAGAGGCTAATTTTAATATGTTGTAAGAGCATTGTGCATATAGATAATGCAAAATTAATGTGATATTGCAAAGCCTGCAATATTCTAAACAGACATTAAACTTTAAGAAAAAAATAATAATGCATAAAGAAAAATGCAGTGTCAATTAAAGTGATAATACTCTGATATATTAAATCACATTGCATATCACATATCTGCTATATGAAAAGTATAATTAAGGTAACTTTACTGTCCAAAGCCCCCTCACATCTATTTTATAGAATTTCTTTTTCAGTGGTCACCTCCAAAGAAGCCTCTGAAACTGGGGGGCTCAGAGGGGTGCTCATTCCAAAAGGAATCAGATTCCAGACTTAAATGTTTTTAAAATAAATGATAGAAAAGGAATCACGGGAACACCAGAACATGCATTTTTGTATATAATCTTAATTTGCAGATATTTTATGCCTTAAAGACATATACAGGATATTTTATTAAATATGCAGGTATCTTTAAAAATTAAGCAAAGTTAAAATAAAAAATATATATATTACACCACAATATAAACAGCTTTGTTAAGCAGATTCAAGTACAAGTACTTATGTCAAGAAATATACAGAATATGTTTACAACAGGCAGGTTTAGCATAAATGCAAAGTTGTTTTTTGGGGGATTTATTATTGCCCAAGAAATCTCTGAATATATTCAGACTTTTTGAGAACAGCAGGTATAGATATCAGATTGCAATGGACACCATTACAATATTGCTTTGCCGATTGAGGTCAGATTTAAAGAATAAATAAATGTTCTATAGCTCGCTAGACTACTGGCTTTTAATGAACAGTTTGCCCAACACTTATAAAATAGTTTGTTATACTGCACATTATAGCTGTGACAACATAATACACAGGGTAACAATGCTATGTCACTGTTTAATAGACTTACCCAGTATTTAAGGACGACATGTTTCTTGCAAAGTCATCGGGACTTTGAGGGAGGTTCTAACTACATTTAATTAATTTACTAAAGAAAGAAAAAAGGTTTTTTGTCTTAAAGTGAATTTTCAGCGCAAGGTCATTTTGTGTTCACAGATTATTCGGATTTTAAAAAAGCTGTTCTTTATCTCACATTATGAACTGCCTTGTAATTCCTATCCACACTAAAAGTTGGCTTTTAAATGTTATTGTTTTAACTTTAATATTTCATAGTTAATACAGAGGATAAAGTAATTTAAAGAAAGTATATTGAAAGTATATTAATTGATAAGATTTCATTTATCTATTTTGGTCCACTGTTCACTGACCTCGAGTCTCAGTCTGGTGTTCAAACAGTTTTTCTTATGATACGTCGTGAGTTTATATCCACAACTGCATTTTGCTTTGTGGAAACAAATTGAAAGCCTGGCATTGTAATACGTGTATGGACATGCTTATAACAAAGCATAGTCCCTCTCCTCTTATAGTTGGTCATTAACAGGCACTTTGATGCAATGTGTCTACCAACGCTTTTCTGTGGTCACTGGATCACATTGCATACCCTATCTCTCAGTCATGATGCAGAGTTTATGCTTGCAAGGATATCCAGACCTTATCCACCTGGTATCCGCATAAATACTCCTATCGTTTACAGGGGTTAATTACATAATAACCATTGAAGGTAATATGTTGGTTGTTCTTACTATAGAGGAAAGATAGACTTGCCCTAAAAGATTTTTTATGGCTAGGACAAGCTCTTATAGAGAGAGGTAATGTACTTCTGACTCCTGCAAAGGAATATTGGTGGTCCAATATGGGAAGTACTGTAACTCATGTGTTTAGTAATCATAAGCATTTGCTTATTGCCATATTACTGATGTACTGTTTATTGAAATATTAATATCTAACGTACTTTTTGAATTACTATATATTGGAAGTTT